TAAAGAAGACTGCCGCATGGGTGAGGACCTTTGGTAGCCCCTTTTTAGAGTCAATCTGCCTTAGTATCGCATGTGGTACTGTCATTGCTCAATGAGGTTGAACTAATATTAATATTGTTCCTCTTGAATGAAGTATGGGCTCATGACATTCCCGCATACCGCACTCTCGCAGGCAGGCTGCCAGTGCCCACAGTAGACTATATGTAGAGGAGCAGTCAATAAATACACATTACATTATATTTATAATGCTCGCCTTCAGACTGTGCTCAATACAAGTTAGGATCATGACTACCATCACTCCCAGTAAGTCTCAGGGCATAGGCGCTTGATACAGTGCGCCGGGCTTGGGGGTTCAAAGAGGCCGCCCGAGAACAATGCACAGGCGGTGCGATGCACTCTTCAGCCCAATAAAGGTCAAGTCTGTTAGCAAGACTATGAATGTACAACACCAAGACCTTTTACAAACAACAAGAGGAAACTGTATGTTTACTGTGTATAAACGTTTACACCAAGTTTACATGACTTCATTTACACACACGGAAACGGTAAACAGTAATAAACGTTTATACACAGTAAACAAACAAAACGGTTGGAGCCTTAGGTAGTTCTGCGGGGCGCAGAATGCGGCGAACGCCATATCCACCGATTCCGTGGCTTTATGACACTATCGGATGTTCAACGCCTCGTGTCTGATTGTCTGAGGATTTCTGTTGGAAAAAGATTGTCTGACACAGGGCTAGAGCTTGAACTAGTACCCCTGGGCGTTCAATGGACTGGCTCATCTGTCTCGATGGCTAGACTGCATGCACGTTTCGCGTGGTCAGGAGGTGAGTTGGCTTGAAAGAGTGGATTAATAGATACAAGAAGGGGTTCATTGTGTACGGAGATCGATGAGTGGTCATCGGTATCAGACGCGAGGGTCCGCACAAAGGAAAATAGGCGACACTTGTCCGTATTGAAGTACATAAGGCCTGTTCAGAGCGGGATGATAGACCACGACATTTCCCTCCCCCGCAACATTACGCACGATACTCACCACGCGCCGCCTGAATTCGCTTCCTGTCCTGAGTCTTCCTTGCTCGTCGGGTGGACCGGCGTCCGTCGAGGTTGTATGGCCCATACGAATACGGGCTGCCGGCAGACGAAGGCCCAGAGGGAGGAGGAGGCATATGCGCTGGGAAGAAGAACAATGGGGCCCGAGCCTCACTGTCTCGACGTCTTGGTGCCGGGGGAGTCAGTACCGGGGCTTGAGGAGGTTGACTTGGAGACCTGGCTCTGGTATTTTCGTTCTCGAACCGCGACAAAGGTGGTCTTTTGGTGGCGGACGTCGGGCCTAGGATGCTCCCTTGAACTGTTTGCCCAGCCGGAGTATGTGACGAATCGCGAGGTACGGCCCGCGGATCGTCGAGAACTTGCAATTCTTCAGATTTTCTGCTGTCGGCCAAGACAGACAGAAGACCTCTTCCTCTGGCACTTGGAAACGGCGACCACGAGATCGAAGTCCTATCTCTGAGAGACTGTGCGGCGTCGAAAGTCGCGTTCTGCCGAGGCGTCTGCTCCTCGTCGATGCTCGAGTTCGAGTGATCACGCTGCCCAGCAACTCTCGCGGCAGGTGTAGCATGAGAATTCGCGCACGAGTAAAGCGAACCTGTGGCCGCGGTGCGCGTAGTGTCGCAAGTTATGTCCGTAGCAGCCAGAGTTTTCGTTGACCGGCCTGTTTGCGGCCTCGCGGCGATATTCTTGCTGGGAGAGCTGCGTTCATTTTTTATGGGCGACCAGTTCGCTCTGTGGTGCGTAAGCACGGGATCTTTGCAGTGGAAGAGAGGCTGAAGAGGCTTCGACGTGGTGCCGTTCATGCTGGTGTTGATTACTTGGCCTATGAAGGTCAGGAGATGAGCGCACTGAGGAAAGAGCCACTACGAGGGTACGGTGGCCATTTCAGGTACCGCCTTGTACGCTGCCAATATATTAGATCAAAACAAGGCATGATATCAGATAAGAACTTGAGTATTTAAAGAGGGGTTTCTCTTGGACGCAGATAACCGTTGCGGATTGTAAGACGCATGTAGGGGATAGATGACGCGCTCGCCGGGCAAGCAGACATAACTAAAGCTGATCTGTGTTATGAGGGTATGGGTCAGCATGTAACTTACCGGTAAGTTATGTCCACTATGCGCTGTGTCGAGCTAAGGACGGCGAACAACGCAGAGGAACGAATGAAATCATAAAAGCGACTTCCGCTTACTTCGGACGGAGAAAACTGACGCTTGAACATTAATCATCATCATCGCCTCGCTCGAGAAAGGCGAGTCCGAGCCTCCCGCGACCCCCAACAGGCACGCAAGTACCGGCCGTGGTGGCCCAGCTCTACTCACGGGCGAGCCCTCATCCGCATCGCGAAGGATCTGCGTCTCATGCAAGAGCACCGAGAGGGGTTTTGCAGCTTTCTCTGAAGAGATGAACGTCAGTAAGTACTGTGTGGAGAGGAGACGAATATGCTGTCCCGCGAGTCCGGAAGTGTATAAACTCGGCCGACAGCGTCGGGATCGCCCAGATCCCGACGCCCGACGCCACCATCGGCAGTTACGGCACAGTCCAAATATGGCAGGTATGCAAGAACGCTGTCGGGCAAGGTTTTCAACAAGAGGCTGTACAGTGCGGATATAGCTTACGGCAAGGCAGCACGGCGAAGTGCGCAACACATGATTCTCCACAGCCCACTTGAAGTAGGACGCAACGGTGGAAGCCGAACCTTGCCAAAGCATGATGCCGCGGAACTGCCTCCCGAGCACGCAGCACAGCTCTCACCTTCCTATGAGCCATCAGTCATTTACTAAGATCACATTTAGAAATGAACGCAGAGCTTCCACCATCGGCTCTTGGAATAAAGCGTGTGGCAACGATCACGTCGACCTGCGGTCACGTTGGGCGGCGTCCAGATGAGAGCCAAGCGTGGGTAGTAGGTACAATGTCAGAAACAAAGAATGTCAAGCAGTCGCGGAAGCGCTGGAACGCTCGAGCACATCTTGTGCCGGCCATTGCACAGCAAGGGTCCGATGAGTATATCCCAAGGAGGATATCAACCGAGAGCTCGACGCTCGGCGGGAACACTCAGTGTTGAACCTTACGACACTACCAATGCTAGTCGGTGAGCACATCTGCTGTTCCCGGAAGGTAGATCGTCACTACTCTAAAGCCGATGTCACAGCACTAGGATATGCCCCAGTGGCATTTGGGTGGGGAAGGAAATGGGGGCTCTTCGTCATCATAGCGAGGTTGAATAACGCGTACGTTACTGGCGACGGGACGCGTCATGAGCCAAAATCTCTTATGGAGGCCTGGCCAACACCCTAATGGGCTCGCCAGAAGGAAGCCCGCTGCGCAGACGATTAGCTTGCGACTGGTTTCGGTCGCGCTAATCGTCCGGGAGTTTCGTCAATACACGGACGCACAAACCGCCGACGGCCCTGTCGCACTTCCAATCGAAATCGGCCCCGGGCGGGTATCGACCGGATCGCTCGGAGAGAGCAGACGTGAACATCCCGGACGTGAGGCGGTCTGAGAGGTAAGAGTGGAAACGTCAGCTGTTCGAGAAACTGGGGCATATCCCAAGCTGATCGCGTCCGCGGACATGGACCGACCTCAGAGGTCGAAGATACAACTGAACAAGCTGTCATGTCCGGGCTTGTCGGATGCAGATGTTGAAGTGTCCTCCAGCACCGTAGCAGGGAGCGGTTGATGGCTGGGCGCGCATAGGCCAAAAGCACGCGATCGCCTATGTGATACCGCACCAGGTGACACAGGTGAATTTGTCACGAATGAAGAGCCGTTCCCTCTAAAGATTTGTATTCACAACAAGGTTGTCAGTCAACACGTCGAGACTTGAGAAAGCTGTGCCGGATGTGGGCCAACGCACGGAACAAGAAAGTGGAGATATATGCGCCTTGTTGAACAAGGTGCACATGAGGTTGAACTTTACCGGTGGGGAGGGTCGCTGAACCTGCGGATGAACGTGACGTCGATGCCGGGGCGTTGTCCCTGGTTCGCGAATCTATAGCGCATCGGGGAAATCGAACCCGGATCTTGGGCGTCTTGGCCTTGTCTTGGTGGTCGGGATGGCGATGTTCAAGTGCTCGTTTTGCACTGCACGCGGCGACGTTGTCTGAGGATTGCTAGGAGACCTTGAAGGCAAGATGCCTGCAGAGGGCTCGCAGGACGGAGGGGAAACGGGAGGAGGCAGATGCCTAAATGGTGGCGAAGCCAGCCAAGTGTCAACGCGTCTGATGAGCGCGCGTCTGACGCCTATGTTCGTTTTGTCACACTTCACTCGCCCACGTATAAATTCGCGGTTCGAACTGTCCCCTCTCTTCATTCTCCTCAACCACAACGAGCTCGCCGTGTCAGACAGCGTTCTCAATCGCGTATACCCCTTCAACGACGCGTACGAGCCTTTACACGTCGCCGGACACGACCCCCACCCTCTACCTGCACCTCATTCCTACTCTGTTTGATTAGTTCAACTTCAACTTGCATCGCGATGCCTTCATTCCGTAAACCTCACTCATCGCCAAGCGCTCGCTCCTCCCCCTACAACTTCGCTTCTGGCTCGAACCAGACGCGTACTGGAGCGCGTAGCCCTCGCCGCTCATCTGATTCGGACACTATCAACAGGCGTGTGCTCGCCGACATTGACTGGTGGCGCGTCGAGGACAGCCAACGTGAAGCTCGAGGCCTCTCCGCGCACGACTCGCTCCGTCCAGCAATGCTAGGCGACGCGGAAGACGACGAGTGGGATCAGGAAGAGCGCGTACCGCTACCCGAACCAACGCTTCTGACATTTGCCTCCGATGCGGGGGACAATGCAGGCACCACACCCTCGTGGCATGACGTGCCTGGTAGCGGTTTGGACATTTCAGAATCCCTCATGACGCGATGGTCCGCTGGTGGAGCTGACCTGGAAGACCTGCCAGAGGTATGTCTGCGCCCGCTGTCAGCCCCCTGATTCATGTGAACATATGCTTGAATGTTATGCTCATACCTGTCATCTGTCTAGCCGCCATCTGCAGTTCAACAATTCGCTGCGCTCTCCCTGAATCCAGTCGGCCGTGCAGCGCTGCGGCGGTCGGGCAGCATTAGCTCTGCCTCCTCGGACACATCGGTCGACTCGGACTCGTCCTTCTCAACCCCCATGGCGTCGCCTGTAGGCATTGACCTCGGGTTCTCAGACTTTGCTGCTGCACCGTCTGCCGACTCTGACGACGAGAGCGAGCCCCGTCTACCGCTCGCGCGTGCTACCCGTCGTCCGGCCCGAGCGCCCGTCAGGAACGGTCGGTCGGCTAGCTACTCGTTGATCGAGGATCGGCTGTCGGGGGGCCGTCGTAGTCGCGACGTCTTCGATGACGACTGGTCTGCGCCTTCACCTTTCTCATCCAATAACTTTGGCACCGATGACGACCACTTCTTCTAAACCAACATCAGCCGTCCGGAGGTGAAAGGAAAGCGGATGGGACGCGTATGGACGCGTCAAAATCCCCGGATTTGATTAAGACACTCACGAATATCATGTACGACTCGTTAACGCCACGCGTGCACGACAAGACACGCGTCGAGCGAAACAACGTATATGCCGTACGCAATCAGCCACGACTTTCGCACGAACCTCTGTTACGCCAATTACTATGCATCTACGATGACTGATGCATGCATACGCTGCGGGTTAAAGTACACCTCGCACCGTTCAAGGCCTGCCCGTCGTGCACAATACCGCACCTCGCCGCTGTGCCAACTGCGCCGCCTTTGCGACCACCCGCTTACCTCGCCACCCCGCGCGGCACTCACCAAAATGCCACGCCCGCTTGCTCGCACAATGCTCGTTCCTCGACACCACAGAACGATGTGGCTGTCTATCCTACGTCTGGACACATGCTCAACAACGTCGAAACCTCGTCCAATGACCTGGTTCTTCGGCTTGCTTCCCCCTTTCTCATGGCTGCGTCACCTCACTCTCATCTTCATCTTGCTCCGTGATTCCTATCCGCTTATCTACACCGCGACTACTTCTTTACCTGCGGTCTAGATGGTACCTGTGCTGTCTCCACTTACGACTTTCTAAGAACAGTCCGCATCACACTTTCTTTTTTTTCCGCATTTCAACTTATGTTTGCGCAACACAATGCGTTCGCATCAAGCGACGCGTCCTCACTCTCCATATCTGCAGCTTGATCTTTCTCTTCTCTCATCTCTCATCTCTGTACCAGTAGAACATATGCATTACCTCATCTGTCTGGCATAACGCAATCGGCTTCATTACAATCGAATCTCATCTTGACGTCATGCTGTCTGCTAAGTATGCCAATACAGCTTGCGGATGATTGCCGCGGTAAGTAACCTCAGCAGGTTAGTAAGGTATACATCGATCGCAAGTACATTCCCAGGACACACGAAGAAAGAAAGTTAGAAAGACAGATAAGAAAATAGTAGAGAGAAAATAGTAGAGTCGAAAACAGAGTAGGGCCATCGCCTAGCCGGGTATACGGTGCTCGCCCCGTAAGATAGGCACTTAGTAGGCGATCGACACTTGCGCACCAACATCCAGATCTGACTAAGACGATTGTCGGTCGGTGGCGGTTCGTGTCTGTCCCACCATCGAGGCCGAACGGAAAGCAAGGAGTCAGACACGCTTGCACCCGGAAAGCAGAGGGCGCACGGGCCGGACGTCCTCTCTTCTCTTCTCTTTCGCATTCGCCTCGCTGCACGTTGGCTCCCTCACGCACACGTCCCCCTCCTCTTTCCCGCCGCCTCGAGCACCGCCGGCCCCTGCCAAGAGCACAGCGTGGAGAGCCCGAAAGGCGCCGGCGCCCTCAGCGGTACATCCCGTGCACCATCGCGGGCCCTGAGACCTTGCTCCATGGCGAGCTCGCGATGGGCCCGAAACGCGGCTTTGCGTCTGGCACCGAGGCCTGGCGTGCGGGGGGCGCGGGTGACTGCACCGGCTGTTGCTGTGGTTGTTGAGCGGGCTTCAATGAGGGTGTGGCAGCAGTCGCCGGAGGCGGTGGACGTTGGCCCGCGAGCTGCATCTGCCGCGTCTTCCACGAGCTACGTATCGCGTTCGAGCGCGCGAGGAGCTGTAGTGACGCGCGTGTGAGCGTGCGCGTCAGTCTAAGGTACTGCGGGGGCTGCGCACCTGGTCTTTTTCGACGCCATCGGCGATACTTTTGATGATTGCCTCGACAACACTCTTGTGGTTACCGTTTGGCTTGTCGTTCCGGAAGCGCATCATACGCCACACGCTGAGCTCCTTGTCCCAGTGCGCCTCCACGACGCGGTCGTCGAGCTGGTCACCTGCGGCTTTCAGCCTGCCAGCCCAATCAGCGCGTTCAACGCTGAAAAAGCGACAAGGCTCACCTCTCCCACTCGCCATCCGTGACGTGCATGACGTCGTAGAACTCGTAACGAACCCCACCGCACCAGACGTGCAACTCAAACACTGGCTTGGCAAAGTAATCCGGATCTTTGGGGCTCTCCCGCGACGGCGGGAAGCGCAGCACCAGCCGGAAATCGATGGAGTTCTCTGACGGCGGCTTCCATTTCAATCTGTCGCTTATAATTAGTGCGAGATGAAATAACGGGAAGCGGGCACGAACATGTTGGGGTCGGTCCCGGCCATGTAGGGAGTTGAGACGCAGGTGTAGATGAGCCCGTCGTTCCCGTGCAGCAGCTGCGGTATCTCGTTCTCAAATATTTGGTCGATGTGATACGAGAATTTGACGTTTTTGACCCGCACCCTGCCCCACATCGTTAGAGTCTGACGCAGAGGCTTTATACAACACACTCACTCGAAAGGCTGCGTCTGCGCCATATGCGGATGGTCCTTGAGCATCTTCGAATACGGCTTGTAGAACCATTCTTGCAGCCTCTGCCAGCACACATCAACACTACTCCCACTTCTTACGTCCAACGATACACTCACCCCATATCTCTTGTCCAACGGGCGCGACATGACGTTCTGGTCGTCGACAACGAGGCAGTCGAAGGCGAGGAAGCGCACCGTTTCCTGTCACGCGAGCGAGCGAGTCGGTCAGCATGCGCCACTTCCGGAAGAGTAGAAGGGGCGTCGACCAACTTGCTTCGAGCGCGGGTCGGTGTCGACCACGAGCTCGCCGTCGACGATCGTGCTCCGGAGCGGCATCTTCGGGTTCTCATGGTGCGGGAAGTAGAGCCCTTGCACTTCTCGATACGTGTTGTGGCGGTCGATCTGCGCAGAGGAATGAATGGGAACGAAACGTGTGTTTGAGGCAGAGACGCACAAGATAGACCCCCTGGTCTTTCGTCCTAAGGTCCGTCTGGACAAAAAGCAACACACGGATGCCATCGGACTTTTCGCAGACCCAATAGCTGCAAGTAGCGCACACGTTTCAACCCGCCACACCCGAAACACAGAAAGGTCACGTACTCTTGGTTCTCGAGCTTCACCAAATCCTTGGTCCCAAAGCTGACGGGCTGGCTGCCGGGGAACGTTCTGGATGTGGCGTCTGGACACTCAGCGTGCGTCCCCGGCCTCCGGAACGCGCACTACACACGCACCGTTCATTCTCGAGCTGACACAGTCGCGCGACCTCCTGCCTAAGCCAGAGCTCGTGGTCTGATCGCGAGGGTATGAGTCTTCCAGGAATATCGGGTATTCGCGACATGGGTCACCGGAGCAGGTAGAAGAAATGTACGCGGGCCTGGCGCCGGTCCCTATGCCTCGTTTCAAGCGTCGACGCGGGGGGAGTGCAAGCAACGAGCCTCGCTGCGCATCCCTGCGCAATCTTGTATACATATGATACTAGCTTAAGTTAGCCCAAGCTTGTAAATCATGATGCATGATGTTTGGGGCAGTGCGAGTTTCGTGTTGACAACGTGGAAGCACGTCGACGCACGCACGATCGGTATCGCTTGAGTACTCGCACAGAGGCGCATATATGCGGAAGTTCTAATCATCCTTGGGGGTCCATCTACATGTACATGTATGACACGGTTCGGCAGAAGCGAGAGCCGTGTGAGGAAAGAACACAAAGCTACTCAGAGCACTCGGGTTTTCAGGATATTATGATACAATTGAGAGTAGATGCGACACCGAGGACAAACATGCAGAAGGAAGAAAATAGCGACGAGAAAAACGACAGAGTGCATGTTCACCGGTCCTCGGCCCATTCCTGCGATGTGTCAGCACAAGACACCACTGAGATTCCAGGAAGGCCACTCACGTTCTCCTTCTTGATCTGGGCCTCTTCCTCAGGCGTAAAGTCGTTGACGATGTTGAACAACTTGCGGATCTCCTCAGGGGTCTTGCCCTTGATCATGTTCGCCACCGTCTTGCAACCGACATCACTGTGACATATATAAGCTCCAAAAAACAAAACAGAATGTCTAGGACACGCACAGGAGGGGCTTGATGTCGAGGTAGTTGGCCGCCAGAATGATCTCGAACAGCATCTCCTGGTCGACTGTAATAAACTTCTGGTCCCACTCAGAAATGTCGGTGGTACGCTTGCGCGCATCGTCGTTCTCTGACGAGTCAGTAGTTGGCAGCGGGTCGCTGCGGTGGTGCTCGCAGTACTCAAGGACCTATATCGATGCAAGACGATGAGAATCGCTGGCCTGGCGCTCGTCGCAGCTGTATCTTTATACCTTCTTCAGCACAGACGACGACACATTAGGGAGCGGAATCGGCTGGTCACTCTCGCCAACATCTGTAGGGATACACATGTCAGAAATATCGAGCGGCACGCGGAGTAGTGCGGCGCAGGACACACACCCTCGAGCATGTTCTTGATGAGGACGCTGCGCTCGGCGACTTCTTTGTCGACTACAAATTGCTCGTTATCAGAAGTGACGAGGAGCACCATGTTGTATGTGTGATGGTACGGTGGACGAGAGTGGAAGATGTGAAGGGCGATACGGGGACTGAACAAGGATGTTGTGAAGTATCCCCTCTTTTGAAGGACCTTAACGAGCGTCGAGCTTACGTAAGCATCACGGAACGCGAGAGGCAGATATTAGCAGGCGCCTTCTTTGCTTGACCACGACACACCGAGTCATGTCTTTATTCTCCCTATCCTCACTTCTCGGAGCTGTTCGTTCTCCTTTCTCCCTCGGTGAGTCAACTTGTCCCGTTTCGTTTTTCCCTGCAATTTATAATTTTTTTGCCGCGAAATCCCAGGGCCCGGCGCCATCCGTACCGCCACCAAACGCGCAGGTGGTAGCACCCGCAACACAGGTGGTTCACCAGGAAAGAGGCTGGGCTTGAAGAAGTTCTCAGGTACGTCACTGCCTCCTTATGTACTGCAAGCAACATTGTAACAAAGTGCGCTGCGTAGACCAGTATGTGATCCCTGGAAACATTATCGTCCGCCAACGCGGAACCTGGTTTCACCCAGGTCAACACGTACGTCCCTCCAGATCTGTTCTCACTCTAGCCATAACTCAGCTGCTATGCAGGTGAAGATGGGCCGTGATCACACAATATATGCCACCGTTCCTGGATATGTACGCTTCTACAAGGAGCCTCGCTTGCGCGAGGACCGGAAGTTCGTTGGTGTCGTGCTGAACCGTGGTGAGAAGCTTCCACGGGACGAGGCTTCTCTTGGTCGCAGCCGGTTTTCGTCGCTTGTCAATCTGAAAGAACTGGCTCAGCAAGAAGCCACTGCATAAAGTAATGTGGCCGATCTTCCAAGTGTTACGGCTACCACCCACTTCTGTGTCGCCTTCCACAGAAAGAAGCAGCACCGCCCCAGCATAGACGGAGCTCTCCCAGCAATGCTGTCGACATTTCTGACCTATGCTATCTGTCGGCCCCCAATGCTGTGCGTAGGCTACTGATAGCATGTGCATACCTAATGGATTCTTCCATTATTCCCAAGTGTCTGGTCTCAAGGTTATGCAGTGAGATGAGCGATATTTTCCATTGGGCCAAACTCTACATAGGAGCGTCCTCTCTGCACGTTGCTAATATACAGTACAGTGCTGAGCCGGAAAATCTACTATACAACTACAGATGCGGTGTCATATGGAAGCATATTGGTATCTTCGGCATGTGTACTAGGAAGCTAATTGGTATCAGGATAATCCGGGAAAGATATCTCAGGGGGGTTAAGGTCCACGGTCTCGACGTGCTTCCTCAACAATGGCAGGTCCGTGTCGTCGGGATCGTGGAAACTCGCGTAATGCGAGAGACGCATCGATACCCGTTTGAGCGGATGACCAGCCCGCGCACGCTCCTCTGCCATGACATACGCCTGGAGGGATGACCACGTCTTGTCTCCATTCACGAACAGGTTCTCCAGCGTGGGACAGAGGATGCGTGTGGTGCGCTCGTCAGGCGCGACGAGAGCCGCGAGCACCGCGCGCGAGAGGCCCTCGTCATAGCTTATGTCCGTCGTGACATATAGCGACTTGAGCCGCGGGGTGCGTTTGAAGAGCTCGACCCAGACTTTCTTCGTGAAGTTGGTCCAGCGCGCATGCGTGCGCATCTCGTAGATCGCGAACTCCTCGAGGTGCTCGGTGTCGAACGTGCGACAGATCGACTGGAAAACGCTGGCCGCAATGCTGTCCATGTCACCGACGTTCGCCACCGTCGTGTCCTCGAGCAGCGCGTGGATTTCGATCGGGAACTTGCTCGTTGCACCCCGGATGGCCACGCCCTCGTATCCGTTGATGTAGTCTACGAAGAGCTTCCGCAGGTCGCGCAATGGATGGTCGAACTCGAGCAGATGCTCGGACGGAATACCGATGTAGAACTTATTGTCGTCGTACCGCTCGAGCCAGACCTTGAGCTTCATGGCGTAGTCCGGCGCGGTGATGCGACCCACGATGTCAGAAATGACAGATCCGTTCGCACGGCCGAGCTCGAGGTACTTCAAGTGCTCCAGACGCACTTTCCGCTTGTCGTCGTCTTGCGCCGCCTGCCAGGAGACCTTCTCGGTCTTGAAGATCTCGAGCAGCGGGCACCTCTCGAGCAAGTCCAGCAGCTGTGACACCGTCATGGACAGTGGCGCCCGCTTCTTGCCCGAGAACGACAAATATTTTAGCTTTGAGACCGAGATGCTGTTCAGTTGAGGGCAGAGGTACTGCACACGCAGCCTGCTGAGGCAGGGCGCCTCTCCCTTGAACAACACAGGGAGCGGTCGACAATCGCCCTCTCCGTGAACTTTAAACGTCTCCAAAATCTCTAGTATTGGCGCAGGAGCTTCAATAAGCGGCGTAAGAGCTGGGTCAATGTTCCCGTCGCTCGATTTCAGCATCGTCGATGGAATGTACAACCGCTGGAGTCGCCGCGTCTGCGCTGCGACCGCTTTGATGAGTGCCGCCACTTTATCTCCCTCCTGGTAGTTCTGTGGGATGACGAAGCATAATCCCGCATCCAAGGAGCGTTCGATGGCAGCCATTGCCATGTCGGGATATCGCGTGCTCAGCTGCCGCCAGAGAATGGGCGCATTGAGTGCGACCTGTCGCCAGCTGTGGCAGACTTTAGTGACGGGGAGGTATTTGTAGGCACCGAATGATTGGGGCACTGGGTTCCATTCGTCTCGTTGTAGCTCGAGGAAGATGAGAACAAGGACGTCTGATGAGAGTCGGTGGAATGGTTGCAATGTGTTGCGGTATCTAGAGAGCAGAGCCAAAGACGAGTCCAGCTGTCCTATCTGTGTTTGGGACTGTGAATTAATGCTCATCGTACGGACAAGAGTACTTACTGTGTCTGAAGACGGTCTTTGTGACGAACTGCGGAACCGTGAGCTCACAAATATGGCGGTGGGAGAGGCTGTACGCACTGAGAGTCGTTCCAGCCAGGGAGATTCCACGTCCTAGGATCCAGTAATCCTGCCAGTGATACCCTTGAATTAGCCTCCGCGTTCATGCTCTCCGAATCGTCTGGGCCGACGATACGATCAACGAGACGTGACCGCGTCGGCTCCGGGGAAACACATGCCATAGTTGCCATGACGGAAGCAGTAAGGTGATTCGATGAGTGGGAGGAGGGGGCCTCGTTTGAGCGTGCAGGTCGATGTATTTATGTGGTGAGCAAGGCAGCCACACGTTTTTGGCATCAAATGGGTGGTGAGGACACGATGCAAAGAGGGCGAGTCAGGCTTCCCGAGTGTGGCGTCTCTCGGTAGCGCTCATGGCGGCTGCGACTTGGCAGTGCACACTGCACAGTGTCGAGACATCGCCTTTCTTCGCTTATTGATGAGTGTTTCAGTTATCGACTGCTGGGGACTCTTGGGCAGTTCTTGGGCCTGTCGATGCTAAATGGTGTGCTTGGCGACGGGGACCGCGATATAAACAGCTGTTCAGGTGTCCTGACGAAGATTCAATAAAGCGCAGACTTCAAAGGGGCCATCTCCGATTAACGCACAGCTCCTAGCATTGCACATAGTCACGGCATCGTACTCGAGTTATCGAACTTCGGCAGAGAAGGATGCGAAAGGAGGTCGCCAGATGCCGCGACACTGGACAGGGTACGCATACATCGGGACCAGAAGTCCCTGTTGCATCGGCGTCGCACAGCATGACGCGCTGCAGCTGCCAAGATGGGCATTGCGATAAAATTACGAGCATAGCTTGGAGGTAGCCGAGGCCGAGAGGGCAGACGACAGCAAAAGAAAGGCTGCACCTCCACCGGAGTCATATACTATCGCGCTTCACGAGAATTTGCCGAAGAGAACAGCTTCTGCACCTGGCGGTAGCTTTCTCACTCTCGGTAGTCCAAAGTATACACCATCGCTTCCTGAATGCCCGATGAAATATTGTTCCCAGAGGATACAGATCTAGACTTATGCATAATTATCTACGGCCCATGAGCATACTTGCGTGCGACCCATGGGCGCTTTCTTCTTGTTAACGTTCTCATCCTCTGCACATTCCCGCGCGTTTGCTCGAGTCGACACGCGACATTCTGCTACAGTATCTGGCTCCTCCTTTTGGCGGTGCTCAGAAGTGAAACGACTATCGGCTGTGAGACATCCTTGTCGGCATGGTGCATATATCATCGGCGGCAGAGCGCGCGAGGTAATCCGGAAGACGACCCCGACCTTCTCATTCACTAGAAGCCGCAGCCGCCTTGTGGGACCTCTGTCGCCGCTCTATATAAACCGTCTCGTGCGAAATCAGAGCTTGAGACAGCCCCGGTCATCTTGTCCAGCTTTCTTTGACATCGGCCCCCACCTCGTTCAGCGGCTCGCGCCATCGGAATTAGGGCTGCATTGGACTGCACAGGGCTGCACTAACCTCTGACGTGTACTCACCAGTGTGCTGGCGAACCCAAGACGTGCATTTTTGTCGCCCCTCATACCATACGAGTTTCCTATGGCGACGGAGTATCAACTTAGCGTGACCCCCGTCAAGGTCACAGGTCAGCTCGCACTGCTCCAAACTACGCAAGCCGTTTCTAAAGAATCTTTTGAACATCCAGAGCTTCCTCCGGAGGACAAGCTGATTGCACAAGGACATGCGATCATGGACACTACAGACAAGTGGAAGCAGGGGAAGACGTACCACGAAACCGTGAGGACATATTCTCGTAACAAGTTCAAAGGCGAAACGGCGAACTGGCACTGCCGTGTCAGCGAGCACGGGTCCGAGGATGGCACTTTCGAAGAGTTTTGGAACCTGCTTGCGGGGAATAAGGGCGAGAATGAGGTCAAGTACGTACCCGATTCCACTTGATGGAGACCTTATTTTAATTTCTACCGTTACAACCCAATAGCTATGTGGAGGTGGTCGAGAAAGCCACTCTGGTCAAGCAGCTCTCGCCCACGCAGACAATCTGGTGTATGTTTTACAAGTTTCCTTCGCCAGTCAAGCCACGCGTCTTCACCGTGCTGCAAACGATCGAGCTCAAGGAGACGTCTCCTCGCACGGGGTACGCCCTACTTCCCTCATTCTTGGTACATATATCTAAGTCTTCATGGTAGACTGGTCATCTCTATCCCATTGGATCTTACCCCCATCCCTGATTTCGCGAAGCTCGAAGAGAAGCGTGTGCAGGGCCGCTACGTCAGCATCGAGCGCATCAAGGATCTTGGTGACGGCAGGCTCGAATGGCGCATGGCCACCTCAAGCAAGGCCGGCGGACTCCTTCCCCAGTCTCTGACCGAGATGTCAATGCCGAGTAGCATTGCCCATGTACGCTTCGTCCCCTTTTTGACTTTGCCTGGGCGTCGTCTCAATTCTGTGGTCTAGGACGTACCAGGTTTTGTCAACTGGCTGCGCACGCTCAGGGAGAAGAACGACGGACAGATTTTGCAGTCGCCCGCTCTTGCTACGGAGGCCGCTGCGGCGGCTGCAGATGCGCACGCCGTCGCTGTCGAAGCGTAGCATGCGCCTCCCATTGAACCTGGAAGGCCCGGCGCGTCAGCATTCTTCGTGGGATGCCCGGAGAAACCCATAGCTTACTATTACTATACGTGACTGGTTTGTGTTATGAGCTAAACACTTTCTAGACTGTTGTTTGCCCTGCACTTGACGATGTTGTGAGCGTGTGAGACACTTGGTATCATCAACGCCAGTGCGCTGCTTCTGTTCAAGCCCACTCCACCGGCATAATCGCTCGACTCCGAATATTCAGGTGGGTACCAATTGTGCTCATTTGTTAGGATGGCGGCTCATGGATGTCGAGCAATTCCCAGCATCATGACATATATCAGTTTTCGCCTCGTCTTCTTCTGAGGCTTTGCCTGAGTCTTGCTCAGATTCTGTGAGGCGATGCTGCTTACTCCGCAATCCATCACCCTTGCACGACCCCCAAAGCTGCTATCAAGATGCTGGCAGCTTCCTGTGATGCTTCGCATTGCTCGTGAGATCTAATGTACGCGTCTCGGGCAAGTTTTGCCGGTACTTTGCGGCAGCAAACTGTCGACGGAACGATTAGGTTATGTTCTCAGGTTTGCAGTCCAGTCATCTGTACCGTCCACAACTCCAATGCCGCTTCAAGCCCAAGGTCGGAGTACCCCGAAGTACCCGTAAGTAACTGTGCAGCATTTTTGCTGCAAATTAAACCGGTACTTGGCTACTCGTTCTTCGTCTCGGTTTTTCTGACCATGAGGACGCAAGGCTTGCGAAAACACAGAGGAGCAATCTGACTTCCTTTGTCTGTATCGAGAGCTTGGGGCATTAATGGCCGAGAGATTTGTAAGCGTGTCCCTGCTCCCTCTTTAGCTTGAGTTTGATGGCGTGGACGCACACTTCTCCGGATTATAGTCTTCCGCGCATATCTGGATATCGAAGTGCGCCAGTACCTTGCGTTCGCACACGCGCAGTCTGTGGTCCCCATGTGGAGGTATATAGAGCCCACTTGCAGCATTCGGTGTCGTCTCCACAGTCATTGCCGATTATACTCCAAGCATGCAGTACGACTCGACGCTGGGTGCTGCTTTGATCGGAGGGTTTGTTGCGGCTATGTACGTTCGTCGGCTCAACTCCGAAACACTCCTTCCGGCCTTGTCTGACCAGCTTCGCAGGTCCTACGGGATCATGAGCCTGCAAACGTACAACTTTTTTCAACAATATGGCCAAGGAGCGACGGTGCTAAAGCATATAGTATGTGTCCACGTTTTGCCTTCGTGGCATACACTGAGCAAGACATTCCTCAGATTCGCACCTTGTGGTATGTCTTACAATGGTCAAATTCAACTGCACGTACTGAAGTGAAGACTCCACAAGGGCCATGCACACTCTACACTTTGCCTTTGTCGCACAGGGGGTCTACACGTTCGTCGACGGCGCATTGGCTCTATCCTGTTGTAACTAACACATGGCAGCGTCCTGGTCACCGACTTTAGCAACATCGCCGCAATAACCACTAGCCCATGGTAAGACAGCTCTTCCTTGCGCAGTTGATAGTAACTAAACTCTCTTCTTAGGAGCATAGGAGTGAGTCCCTTCATATTTCGCTTTGTTCCGTACGTCAACACAGTATCAGGCAGCTTCATTCGTAAATGTCCGTAGTCTCGCTTATGATGGTGAGGATGACTAACTGATGCTATATTTACAGGCGATTATGACAATGACAGTCCATTGGTATGCTTTAACTTGCGCTGTCGTTCTGACCGCTGATCTCGCTTGCAAAGCTCGTACTGTCACCGCGTCTGGAAGTGTAGGTACAATAATGCGTATGAAACTTTGGCTGACTCAGCTGCTCATGGTATGCTAGTGAGCAACAATAGCCGCTTCCCAATAATTCCACTGGTGTGTGGCTTCCGTCTTCCTATTGTACAGGTAGTGACATTTCTGACAGGTGTGTATGGCTATCGCGACGTTTGGTACGTAGCATCTCATCTCCTGCAAGGATTCTAGCCTTAGCCAGCATCTTGATTGCAGCGTTCTCGTTATGTTAGTACTTCGAGCTCTCGATCATCTCTTCAGTGGCATACCTGACGCTCTTCGTTGGCTCCTAGCGTCAGATATTAAGCTGTGAGTACCTCTTTATTTAACTTGTATTATTCTACATGCTTACGGGACGACAGGCTTATTCTACCCTCCTTTTCCTCGTACAAATCAACTGAGGTGAGTGTCAACATCCACATAGCTATCGTGATTAACTCCTTGTAGTGGCTGCTTTTTGCCGCACTCGTATGCGGGTGCTCTACAGACCTCTGCATCGCACTGTGGCTGTGCTGGTGGCTTCTACGCCAGCGCAAAGGGCTGAGCGGCCAGTAAGGATGGCCAACATGTCATATGGCCAGCACACTGACCACCGCTTTCTTAAGAACTCACTCGATGGTGAACACCATCATCGTCTATACTGTTGCTACAGGTCTTATCACAAGGTGAAGCTTTAACGCTTGAGTTTCCACCTATTCCATGCTCTCATGTACGCTGAATCTAGCGTCGTCGCGCTTGCGGAGCTAATCACGGTACGTTCCTATTTGCTCGCCATGCTTTCGGTTCCTGAAATCCATGTCGTAGGGCGCGGCCTTGCCTGATACCTACATTTTTATTGGCAGTGAGTGTGCTTGACAATCTTCAATGGATTCACGCTTATCAACATGCGCAGTTGACTTCTTCCGTGGTGGAAGTGAGCTGTTTCAGCGAGATTTTACCCGGTAGTGCACTGACATCTTGTAGTATACACAAATTCGTGGATGGCATCGTAGGTCCATACATACTTTCGTATACAGTGTCTCAACTCCTGACTGCCGTTGTTTATTCAGGCTAAATGCTCGCGACCGCTTCCGCAGAGATATACGGCCGCAAGCAACAGTCATCACCAGCGTGCACTTTGCCAATGATACGACGACCATGGTGAGCTTTTCTGCCATGTGTCGCCTTTCCCGGTTTCACCGGCTCTCCAGAGTAGCGCCAGTGCTCCTACAGAGTCCCAGGAACGTGCACCGCCCGGCATAGTCATAGAGAAAATCGAGGTATAGGAGAGTACATGATGCTTTTATACGCCAACTCTCTTAGCTGAATATTTCGGCTATAGAGTGGCGGTACACGTTAAATGTCGAGCAGTTCCCAGCATCATACGATACATATGTTTTCGCTGTATTCTTCTGAGAGCTTTGTCTGAGGCTTACTAGATCGTGTGAGGTGATGTTGCTCACTCTGTAATCCATCATCCTTGCACGACGTTCAAATCTTCTATCAAGATGCAGACAACGTTTCGCATTGCCCATCAGATCTAATACACGCGTCTCAGGCAAGTTCTATTCAAATTTTGCGGCATTCGCACTTTGCGGCGGCATTGAACTGCTAACGAAACGATTAAGTTATGTTCTCAGAGATCGCATTCCAGGCACCTGTGTCACCCGTGTCACCCATGGGCTCCATTGCTGCCTCAAGATCAGAGTGTCCGGAGTAATCGTGCAGCATTATTACGTTTTCTATATTGAGTACACAGGGCATGAATGGTTGAGATATTTGTGAGCGTATCCTTGCTCCCTTAGACTCTTTAGCTTGAATTTGATGGCGCAGACGCACACTGCTCTCGGTTCCAGTTTTCCACCACATAGTTAGATACCGGGATGCAACACGATATTCCTGCATTCGTGCCCGCGCGGTCTGGGGTCCTTATGTGATAGAAGAGGTATAAAGAGCCTACTTGCAACATTCACTTCCGGCATCATCTCTTCAACAGTTGTTCACTAATTCTATTTCAAGCATGCGATACGACTCGACGCTGGGAGCCGCTTTGATCGGTGGGTTCATCGCAGCTATGTACGTTCGTCGATTCAGCTCCGAAACACCCCCTTCTGACCAGCTTTGCAGGTCCTACGGGATTATGTGCCTGCAAACGTATAACTTTTTTCAACGATACGGTCGAGAGGGGACGGTGCTGAAGCACGTAGTATGTACTCGCGTCTCGCCCACACGATCCACATTGATCGAGACATTCTTTAGATCCGCACTTTATGGTATGTGTTGCAATAGTCAACTTTGACCGCACCTACTGAAGTGAAGACCCCGCAAGGGCCATGCACACCCTACATTTTGCTTTTGTCGCACAAGGGTTATATACGTTCGTCGATGACGCGATGACTAGGTTTTATTGTAACTAACTCACGGCAGCGTCCTGGTCACCGACTTTGGCAATATCGCCGCGCTAACCACTAGTCCGTGGTAAGACAACACTTCTTTGCGCATTTATCAGTGATCCAATGCTCTTCTTAGGAGCATAGGGGTATGTCCTTTTGTATTCCGCTTTGCTCTGTTCATTAAGAGAGTATTAGGCAGCCTCATTCATGAATGTCAGTATGGTCGCTTGTGACGATGGGGATGATTGACCGACGCTATGTTTAAAGGGGATTACGACATTGATAGTTCATTGGTATGCTTTAATTCGCGCCGTCGTTCCTGGCTACTGACCTCACCTATGTAGCTCGTACTGTCACCGCGTCTGGAAGTGTAAGTACAACAATGCGTATGAAGCTTTAGCTGACTGTTCATAACATGCTAGTAAGCGACAACAGCCCCTTCCCAATAATCCTTCTGGTGCGTGACTTCTGTCTTCCTGCCATACCGCTAATGATGCCTCTAACAGTTATGTACGGCTTTCGCGACGTTTGGTATGTAGCGTCTCCTTTTTTGCAAACATTCCAGCCTTGAACTTGAAGATCATCTTGATTACAGCATTTTCATTGGGTTAGTACCTCGGGCTCTCGACCATCTTTTCACACCTGATACTTTGCGTTGGCTCCTAGCGTCAGACATCAAGCTGTGAGAACCTCTATAGGCGACCCGTATTCAAGCTATTCTGCATGCTTACGGGATGACAGGCTTATTCTACCATCCTTTGCCTCTTACAAATCAACTGAGGTGAGTGCCAACATCTACACGGTCGTCGTGACTAATTTCCTGTAGTGGCTGCTTTTCGCCGCGCTCGTATGCAGTAGCTTTACAGACCTCTGCATCGCACTGTGGCTGTGTTGGTGGCTTCTATGCCAGCGCCAAGGGCTGAGCGACCAGTAAGGACGGCTGGAATGATACGCGGGCTATCGTGCTGATGACCGCACCTTAAGGACTCATTCAATGATTAACAATATCATCGTCTATACAGTCGCCACAGGTCTCATTACGAGGTATGCTTCCGTACGTGTATCTTCTTGCGCCACCTGTTCTCATGCAAGCTGCATTTAGTCTCGTCTCCCTCACAGAATTGATCACGGTGCGTTTTCATCTCCGCCGATGTCGCCGCCTCTGCCTCAATTGCAAACCAGGCCGCGACTTTACCCAATAGTTACATTTTCATCGGAAGTGAGCGTGCCAATAATCTTGAAAGCTCCTGTATATTGACAAGCGCAGTTGATTTCTTCGTGGGTGGAAGTAAGTCATTCTGATGGTATTCAACGCTTTACCGTGAGGCTGATACTCTACAGTGTACACGAACTCGCTGATGGCCTCGTAGGTTTCCATTCATGCTCGTGTGTGCTGAGCTCTGACTATCACTGTGCGCCTAGGCTGAACGCCCGCGACCGCTTCCAGAGAGATCTGCGGCCTCAAGCAACCGTTGTCACAAGCCTGCAATTCGCCCGTGATCCAACGATAATCGTGAGTTTGCTTTGTATCTCTTCCCGTTCCGAGAATTTAATCAAGGCTATCCAGAGCAGCGCGGCGGTTGTGTCCGCAGGGTCCGCAGTGTTCCAGGAGCATGTACCGCCCGAAGTGATTGTCGAGAAAGCCGAGGTATAGGAGAGCGCAGGCTTTATATCTATGACAGCTTTTTATTTAAGCTTTCGGCTTCCGAAAATTAATACTTGAATTAGTATGATCGTCTGATTGGAACTTCATTTGCGGTAATATTGTGCTCATGCACAACCGATGCACGACATTATGTTTTTCGTCACGTACATGTGCGTCTTTGAGGCAGCAGAAAGTATATGCGCTTGCATGAAAGATCGTGAACCCGGAGTATGAGGATCTCAAGACAATCTTGCGTTCTGTCTTGCCGGGCACACGCAGCTGGATTGTTTCCCCGGGCCCGATTTGTCGTAGGACAGATATCTTCGATCGGCGTGGGCTAGCCACGCCTAGCGTTAATTGTATGCAAACACTGGCCAGATCTCTCCTCTTCTCACTAAGCCTCTGGGCTGAAATTGAAGGAAAATATAGGAGAGCACAGGGTACTCTTCAACGCCAGCTCTCAGTTCAGCTTTGGGATGTCGATACTTGATTTATTTGTCTGCCTTGAATACAAATTATTATATCGCATACGTGACGGAAGCTTAAGCTGGAGACGGAAATGCCCCCGAGCAACAAATGACTCAGAGGCCGACTATCTTGGGTGTGCGTAACACGACATAGCAGAAACACTGGGGAACACCGGTGGATCAGGGAGGGAGCGAGGATGATACCTGGTCATGCACACAAAGGAGAGAGAAACACTCGGATTATCTGACTATTCAGCCCCAGAGAAACAGTATGTGTGTTAATTGTACTTTCGACTCGGAGAACAACCAGCACCATGCGCCGCATAGTAAGTTAGTAACACGATGTAGTACAGGTAGGAGGACACGGAGAGATCAGGAAGGAAGCGAGACCAACACTGGCTCATGCCTGCCGCACAGTTTCCAGCCCCAGGCTGCACTGGCAATTGTGGCGATGATAATAGCCTGGATCATGTCCAGCCGTATAAGTTCGGCATCTGCCGGCCAATACTTGACTGGGACTGCCGCAAAGCGTACCGGATAGCGGACCACACGAAGTATGCCGGTACAATTGGCGGTATCACCGCCGGCTTCACTCAGTTGTAAAATCTCGGCCCCTGCGCACGAGCCACGCACACTGTCAGGAGGACAACTTGTGGATTATTGGGGCTCGGGGGGCTCGGGGGGCTTAGGGTACATTTACCATGTCTTTCAGCTCCAGACGCCTAAACGACTGCGGACAGTATTCGAGTAATGCAACAGTCAACGCAGTGGCCACTGGCCAGCATCATGCTATACTTTCGTCCAATCGGAGTCGTACGAGAGTGTGCCTGAATGTGAGGCCGAGCAATAACTTTGCAAAGCGAAAAATTTGTGCCTTCCAAACGGCTAGAACTAGGCACGTAACACGGTGTGATACAGGCAGGAGAGTACAGATAGATCCGATGCAAAGAACTCGCTACCATCCTGCGGTCGCGCCGTCACGCGTCCGTATTCGATGCCCTGCGGCGACGCCGCGACTCAGACACTGGCAGGTTCGGCATCTGCCGATCTTAATGCTTAACTGGGGCCCGGAGCCGCGAAGCACACCTGGACAACGGACCACACGAAGTATGCCGGCACAACTGGCGGTATTCCCACCCAATAGCTCGATTGCAAAATTTCGGGCCCTGAGCATGAGACACTCTCACTGTCAGGAGCGAAACACGAGGTATTCCCGTGCACTGAGGCCTGGGAGGCTTGAGATCTGCCGTTCATCCTCAGAACACAATCACAAACATGATGTCTCCGGTAAAAGCAACAGTCGACGTGGTCAGTATTATGCTATACTTTCGTCCAATCTTTCGAGAATGTGCCTGAATGTAAGGCCAGGCAATATGCTGCTCTTGCACAACCAGCCGAGTCATCTCAGCATGACTTCTTGACTTGACTCGGACATCAAGATGCAGACAATCTTGGGTCACGTTTCGCATCGCTCGTGGGAGTGAACATACGCGTTTCGGGTGAGTTTCTCAGCATCTCCGAGCCGCAGCGGCGAATTGTTAACGGAGCTGCTGGAAAGCAGTTTAGAGATCGAAGGCCAGTTGGTGACCCGCCGGCAGTACTTCTGCCAGTGCAGATGCAACAAACATGCCGCGGCTAAGTAGACATTTGCTCTTCCGGAGACTTGACATTTCTGGTCCCGAGAGTCGTGGCATTGACAAGGCCCGCAAAATCCCTTGACAGCCTGAGGCATCCAATGACCGATCCCCTTCCGTGCCGTACAACAAAGAGCAGCGCAGGTATAGTTGACAGATCGACCCGCGGATCTTCACGCTGGTTCTAACTTTGATGGCTCAGTGGGACCCAGACGCGCACTAATCCGCCCCTCCAACCTCCCACTGCCAGTGCATTCCTCAACGCGGGAGGTCAATACAGTTCACGGGTGCGTTTCTCGACCGCAATCTTCGGCTGTCTCCACTATGTGCCGGCACTGGAGATATAAGAAGCCATGCGGAACATGCACTTTCTCTCCCCTGCTCCTTCGCCACTCATTTACTGGCTTCGCCTTGGAAATGCCTTTCGACTCGACATTGGGAGCTGCTCTGATCGGCGGATTCATTGCCACCATGTACTATATGCCTCAATTTATTTCACCGAAGTTGTCTCTCCTTCGCTAACCAACCTTCACAGGTCCTATGGGATCATGAGCCTGCAGTCGTACAACTTCTTTCAGCGATATAGTCGCGAAAAGATTGTCCTGAAGTACACAGTATGTAGATGTGTCTTACCAGGAGAACACACGTTGATGAAAGTATTCCACAGGTTCGCGCCTTGTGGTACGTCTAGTAATTAATCAAATATCACGGCACATGCTGAAGCCAGGACCCCGCTAGGGCCCTCCACACCCTACACTCCGCTCTCGTTACAAACGGACTCTATACGTTAGTCGATGATACAGTAGCTGAACCCTCTTGTAACTAATCTGTGGTAGCATCTTTGTCACCGGCTTCGGCAATCTCGCCTCGGCCGCTGTTAGTCCATGGTAAGATGGCTCTTTAATATGTGTTTATAGCTTTCACCGATTCGTAGCTGTTCTTAGGAGTATAGCAGTATGTCCGTTTGTATTTGCTTCACTGACCTACGCTGATGACTAGGATGTTAGGCAAGCTCGCTCTTGAACGTTTGTCTTCTTGTTATCGACAATAAAGATGATGGCTGACGCGATACTCACAGGCCATAATGATATTGACAGTCCAATGGTATGGCTTAACCTATGCTATTGCTCTTGCTCTTACCGATTTTGTTTTCCGCAGTTCCTACTGTCACCGCATCTGGAAGTGTGAGTGGAACGATACTTAAGAAACTTCGCTTCTCCGCTGATGATCTATAAGTGAGCAATAAGAACCACATTTTAACAGCCCCAGTGGCACGTCATTTTCATCTTTCAATCAATTTAGTCTGACACTTTTAACAGTTGTGCACTGCCTTGATGACATTTGGTATGCAGCACATCTTATGTCGCGTAGACCCTAATCTCAGATCATTAAAACAATTGCAGCATTCGGGTTGGGTCAGTACTTCGTGCTCTCAACCATCTCCCATACCTGATACCGCATGCTGGATCTTAGCGTCAGAGATCAAGCTGTGAGGATCTCTGGCTCAGCTCGTGATGATCCGCATGCTTACAAGCAGGACAGGTTTATCCTACCCTCGTTTGCCGCGTATAAATCCACGGAGGTGAGTCCTAATAGCTGTGGACGGTTACACAGCATCGTAATTCATCCTCCAAAGTGGATGCTCGCCGTTACGCTCGTATGCGCCTGTTTGACAGACCTCTACATTGCGCTATGGCTGTGTTGGTGGCTCGTACGTCAGCGCAAGGGGCTGAACGATCGGTAAGAACGGCTGGAATGCCACACGGGCTGTCGTACTGACGGCCGCACTTCTAAGGACTAGTTCAATGATTAACAATATCATCGTCTACACAGTCGCTACGGGTCTCATCACGAGGTATGCTTCCATACGCGTAGCTTCTTGCGCCACCTGTTCTCATGCGAACCGCATCCAGCGTCTTCTCTCTCACAGAATTGATCACGGTGCGTTTTCATCTCAGCTGGTGTCACCGTACCCGCCTCAAGCTGCAAACCAGGCCGCGACATTACCCAATAGTTACGTTTTCATCGGAAGTGAGTGTGTTAATGATCTCACGAGCTTCTGCATACTGATGAGCGCAGTTGATTTCTTCCTGGGTGGGGGTAAGCTACTCTGATAGTTTTCAACTTCGCTTTACCGTGAGGCTGATACTCCATACAGTGTACACGAATTCGCTGATGGCCTCGTAGGTTTCCGTTCATGCTCACGTGTGTCAAGCTCTGATTTCACGTTGTGCACAGGCTGAACGCCCGCGACCGCTTCCAGAGAGATCTGCGGCCTCAAGCAACAGTTGTGACAAGCCTGCGATTCGCCGCCCATGATACAACGATGATAGTGAGCTTGCTTCGCGTCTCTTCCCCTTCTGAGGTTTTGATCAAGGCTGTCTAGAGCAGCGTTGTTGCTTCCGCAGGGACCGCAGAACCCCAGGAACATGTGCCGCCCGAAGTGATTGTCGAGAAAGCCGAGGTATAGGAGGGTACGGACTGTATTTCTATGCCGGCTCTGCTTTCGACTTTAGAAGATTAGTGTCTGGCCTATGCTTGTATGATTAGAACTTCGGCTGTGGTGCTGCGTTTAGGCGACAGCATGTCATTCATCGTGTGTATGTGTGCGTCTTCGAGGCAGCACAAAGCATCTGCGCCGGCACAAAAGATTGTGAGCTCGGAGTACGAGGGTTTAATGACGTAGCCATATTGGGTCCTCGAGAGGACAGGTAATGTCAATGATTGGCTTGGACTGGTCGCAAGTGGCGCTGCAAATTGTATGGCTCAAAATGCTAATTATTATTTTGTATATATGCAACGCCTATCGCGCACGAGGAAATTTGTGTTATGGAAATGGAGAGATGTGCACCCAAATAACACTGTTCCGAAGCCGATGTACATAACACGACATAGCACAAACAGGAGAACACCAACGGATCGAGGAGAGAGAGAGGATGATACACACAAAAGAGAAAAATAACGCTCGGATTATGCATAATTCGAATGTTTACCTGTTGCTTGAGCCCGACAGCGGAAAAATTTGTCCAGTCACTGCTCAGCGCCTTATTCTCTACTCCAGCTCTACTCCTAGTCCATACCATGTCCATGGCGGTGCGAGGTCCCAGGCTGCTGGCGGCGGCGGCAGCTTGGGACGTGGTGTCCGGGGAATGAAGGAACGTCTTGCGACCCAGGCACAGGCAGTCGGTACAGGTTCTGCATCTGCTGGCCAGTGCTTGTCTGGGGCTGCAGCTCGGGGGTGTGCTCGGCGATGGACCAGACGAAGTATGCCGGCGCGCTCTGTGGTCCTTCAGGGGGCACGTCGACGCCGAAGCGGGTCTCGGGCGGGGCGGACTGGGTACGCTGAATGTGTCTCGACGCGTATCGCGGTTGTGGCGCGACGATGTTGTCCTGGATGGTGTAACCGCCGCCATGGTGCGGGGCGATGGCGGCGCTGGGCGGCGCAGCGCGAGTTGCGGTAGGAGTGGCGTTCGCGAGGCCGCCGGCAAGCTCATCGGAATTGTAGTGCGCCTGCGTGCGGACGTGGAAGTCCAGGCCCACGGCTGTGGGCCATGGGCTGCCGAGCGTCGAAGCACCTTGCAGTTGCGGCGCCGGGATCGGCGGCCAGTGTGTGTCGAGAGCAAGGGCGTTCTGTGGGAGCTGGGCTTGGATCTCCTGCATGGTAGTGTCCTCAGGCGTCGAGCCGAGGACATATGGTGGCGCAAATGGAATGTAGTCTTCGGACTGCGGTGAGTCCTCTTCATACATCTCTATGATGAACGTCGCCCCAAATTCGTAGTCGTAGTCTTGCGTGGGGACACGGTCAATGTTTGTATGGTTAAGGGTGAATGCTAACGGAGAATTTGGATGAGGGCTCGGTTTGTAACAAGTCGAGAAACTGGCCTCACCAAAGGTGTTTGGGTAGTTTCCGTGGTGGACGCTCTCCATGACGAGATGAAGCTCAAAATTACTGAAAATGTTCCTGTGGGGATGAGAAACATGGGGACATGAGGCGAAAGCATTATAACTCGTTGGAAAAATGAACGATCAGCCAAACAGCAAACAGTAGATTTAAGGGGCACCTTCGGAGCTTGAGTACTGCTTGTCGGACCAAATGGAGGCGGCTACTACTGCAAAAGACTTGCATGCAGAGTCGGCGAGCCGGAAGCTCCTGGCCGGAAAACGTACTTTACCAAACGGTAGCACGTTAAAGACGAGCGTTCACCCCGGATGACGCTGTCCAGTAGACGATTCACTCACCCGGAGAAGATGGCTTTACGAGAGTCCCACGGCCTCCAGCGCCCCAGACACACTTGCTGGCCCGAGACCGCGAGTGCAGGAGCTGCGTTCGACGCCACCACTAGGGTAAGATCCATATGCGCAATGGGAGATTGTAGGTCCGATGAATAGAACTCTACGGCTTCTGAGCGTTAGAAATTTCTCTTGGTACCGAAGACGAAGGCGGCGTGCGTCTAGGTGCGACCATTCTGTGGTAAGGCCATTTACTCCGCGCTTCTGCTCGCTATTATGGACGTTTGGCCTGGGCATCATCTCATCAGCATAAGCCAGTAGAGTTTACATACTTCCCGGGAGCAGTAGCGTGGACCCCACAATTTAGCCTTCCCCTGAAACGCGGCAGCTGTGCATCTCCAGATTTCTTCACTCAGTCGCGATGATCCTGGTCATCGACCGCTAGCGATCCGCGGATCATGCTCGCTGCAGACGTCTGCTTCATTCCAGATATACCTTGAGTGCCCCAGCCATCATCTCAATATGCAAAGCCTAGCGCAGCGCGGAGAGTCCAAAGCTCACCAAAAGTTTTACGGGCATCGAGTGCCGCAGATGTAGCGTGGATGAGTAGGTGAATAGGTATACCCTGTGCTGGCGGTGGAAGCCTCGTGCGTGCCAGAAACCAGGGGAAGAGTTTTCCGACATAAGCGGCGCTTCTAGAAGATTGCTCCCTTCGGGGACGATATTATTCCATACCGATGATTACGCCACTAAGTGGAGAACTCTATTGTTCATCGCAACGAAAAGGTGGATGGACAGCAAGGTCGGGGAACATCACGAACCCCGCCAAGCGCCAACCACGAGAAGTCGGTAACGCTGTCGCAGGTCGGCGGCAGATCTTGAAAACATAATACGCGCGAAAATTTCCAACGGTGTGGCAGAGGTCTCTATCAGTGTATGAATCTGTGCAAGGAGTAATTTAGACCCTGATCTCGTGGTCTGGGCCGGCTGAAAATGTATATTGAGATGAGGGTGGTCAATTGGCCTGCGGAAGAAGTAGGATTTGAGTTTCAGGGGATGCCCTGCCCTTCCAAAACAAGTTGAGCTAGTCTTACCGTATTTATCGGACATCCCCTTCTCGTATGCTGTAGTGGTAAACGTGCACACTGCATATAGATCGAGGGAAGGGTACCCTTTATCCTCAGATGTTATGAGGCTCAAGATTTGAGGTCCGTACGCAAGGATTCTGAGCCTCATGAGTACCGCCGCGTGGCGAACACCTGCCTACCGTGGCGTTTGTTTCATGCCTGGGTGAAAAAGATGAAAACTGACCAAGGTAAACACGCCATGAGCGAACCAGACACTAGGCGTAGAGATGGTTCGTGATCTTGAAACTTTGCGAAGGTATTGGAGGTAGCGAAGCGTCGGCGAGCTTCTGAAAAAAATTACAAATAGACTCGCACACGACATACGACCCGCCAAAATCACAGATTAGCAGGATCGGTATGTTAGCACACGAACTGGAGTATGCCAGGATTGCTCACATTCTCAGGTTTATGTAGACGCAGATTGTGTAATTGGCAGGGCGAAAATTACTGTCTAGTAGGCGCGAGGCTTGCAGGAGACTGTATTGGTGACCAGACTTTGAGGTACCTGAGGACGACCTAGGGTGTGTGCCCGCTCAACCATCCGATATTGCTAGCTTGTGTGTGGCCACGATTTTTAGCAACGACTGCTGGATATCCAGCAGCTGGCGTTATAGCCCGCTATCAATGATACGCATGATTAATTTGTACCGAAAACCCTGTCCTAGAGGATGCAAAGTAAAGTTGCTGACTCGTTGGAGGCAGTCACGTTGCTCGAGCGTTTATTAAAGCCGCCATCGGATCGGGGACGCCGAGTTCCCGGATTAGGCGTACCCGGTCCCCGCACTGCACTTTGCATTTCCCCCTCCAAGCCATCTTGTCCTTATGTCCCTCCTTCTGCCTCTACCAAGCCCCAGGATATGTTGACAAACGCTATACTGGTCCTAGTATCTGCTTGCTACGCTCTCGCTGTCGCGGTTGGGTCCGAACGCCGGGAAATCGTCCTTGCACCTGCGCAAGAATACTCTCTTCCCAAGCACCCTGAGATCGATGCGCAGACGCCTCTAGAAGTGACCAGCCGGCCTGCTACAGGCACCACTCTCTTTGTTAGAGCTCTTCCGACGACGGTGTATCGTCCACGAGATCCAGACGCACTGCAGCATGCCCGCTTGAGGTCGCTGCGACTGCAGGAGAGCGAGTCAATCGAATGGGAACAAGTAAATGTCATAGCACCGGATGTCGAGGATAAACACACCCTGGCGCAGCTCGCACGTATGAGTGCAAACGCATACGCGCTGCCAGGGCAAAAGAACTGGTACGATATAGATCCCGTGTGGAATACGGTGTGTATTTCCTCTGCATAAGACGCTTCGAATCTGACTCATGAGCTGTGCTAGAGCTTTCCTTTCGGCTGGGAAGATCCCACAGAGGGCTTCCGCGGGCACGTCTTTACCTCTCCAGACAACTCAACTGTTGTGCTGAGCATCAAGGGCACGACGCTGAGTGGACCGACGTCGAAGAAGGACAAGTACAACGACAACCTGCTCTTCTCATGTTGCTGCGCTCGCGTCGACTTCAGCTGGATCTTCAGCCAGGTCTGCGACTGCTATGCATGGAATTGGCGCTGCGATAACACTTGTCTCAGCGAGGCCCTCATCCAAGACAGCCTCTTCTACAATGTCGGCGTGGTAAGCACTACCTCTCAGCCATCGCACACGTACAACTGAGTATTCGCGCAGAATCTCATTAGCAACCTCACAGCCCTGTACCCCATCTCGACTATCTGGCTCGTAGGACACTCACTCGGTGGCTCACTCGCCTCACTGCTGGGCACCACTTTCGGTCTGCCCGCTGTCGCCTTTGAAGCTCCGGGCGAACGCCTCGCCGCGCAACGACTGCACCTCCCGCTCCCTCCATCAGACCCGCTCTCGCTATCCTCGCTTCCCGATGCACCAGTAACACACATCTATCACAACGCGGACCCGATCCCACAAGGCGCGTGCACAGGTCTCGGCTCGGCGTGCGCGTCGGCAGGGTACGCGCTCGAGACGCACTGTCACCTCGGCAAGACGATCGTGTTTGACACGGTCAGCAAGTTTGGCTGGCGTGTCGACGTGCGGAAGCATCCTATTCGTGAGGTGATATTCAAAGTGCTCGAGAAGGAGCTCGAGATTGGTGATGGCTGGGAGATAAGCGAGGATGGACGCATGAGGGACGTGCCGAAGGCGAGGTACGAGGAGGATTGTGTAGTGAGTGTTTTCCTCAGTCGATTGCAGGATAAATTGTTCACTTCCTGTCATCAGGACTGCTTCAAGTGGGAGTTCGGCGAATTCAAGAAGCACAAGGGGAAGCCCTGATGACACTATAACACAACAATGCCACGATATCCATAATATACCATAATTCAATGACCTTACACCTTGAACTCTTTCCCACCAACGAACTTTCCTTGCACATACACTCTCCGAATGTTCCTGTTATCTCCGCAGAAGAAGAACCGTTCCAGCTGCGCCTTGAGCTCTGACCTCTTTGCCTCCTGCCCTGCCCTCTTCTCGTCGCCTGGTATAGTACCGAGCTCGCGATCTAGGTCCGCACCCCACACCTCCGGGTTACCTGCATCGCTATTCATGCTGACGAGCAACGCGTCAAAGGCCTTGCCTGGCTTGAGCGAGCCCACACGTCCGCCGATGTTGCACACGTCTGCGCCACCTTGTGTCGCGAGGTAGAGCAGCGTCGGAATCGAAAGCTGCTTGGATGCGAACGTTCCTTTGGCCGACGAAGAGCGCTCGTGGTCCAGCACGACAAGCTTCGAGGCGATGCTTGCGTGCTGGATCGCGGTGAGTATCGAGAGAGAGTAGCCGCCTGAGACGTCTGTGCCCAAGCCGACCTAGATGATGGTTACTATGTTAGCCGAGATGTGCATGTAGGCGTGCGCACTTTGATCCCTCGGTCGAGCAGCACACCAATCTTCGCGTACCCACTTCGCAAATTGAAGTTGCTCGTCGGGCAGTGGCTCACACCCGCCTTGCGGCGGTGTATCAGCTCGATTTCCTCTTCTTCAAGATACACCGCGTGCGCGAGCACTGTGTTCTCCCTCAGTAGATTGTACGCGTCGTACACGCCCGCGTACGTAATTTCGCAGCGCTCTTCTCCATCGGGAGGCGGCGGGAGGACGTCCTTGAAGAGGCTCTTCGTGTACGCGATCTCGTCCCGGTTCTCGTCGATGTGTGTCTGAATTGTTAGGCCCGGGTCGGAGAGCACGAGCTCCGAGAGCTTCGAGAGCAGCTCGGGAGTGCAAGTCATGGCGAAGCGTGGCGTAAGGACCGGCTGTACCAGAGCGCTGCTCGGGTGTGGCGTCAAGCCGCGGATGTGGGATATCACCGAGAGTGTCGACTGCACGGAGGCTGCAGGCGAGGGCTCGACGTAGTAGTCGGGGGCCTCTCTATCTACGTTGCATTTCTGCAGAGATGTAAGAGTGTAATGTGCAAAAAAAATGAGTCTGTGCCTACCCCGACAAATGCTCGCTGGCCCGCAGCGTGAACCAAGTCCGCAAGTATCTTGGTTGCTCCTTCGTGCACCGAACCGAAGTAGCAGCATGTTGTTGTCTAGAGTTGCGGTTCATTCGAGCGTGATGAGTCAGAGATGGGACTAGACGTACACCTGCATCCACTATCCGGCGTACGACGGTCGTGTATACCCGCTTCGCAAAGGACTTGTCCTTAAATTTAGCTTCTAATGGGTATGTGTAATGTTTGAGCCAGTCTAGGAGCTCATATTCCTGTCCACTATTTCGGTCTGGCCGTAAATACACCCTCCAACATAGGATACATACCGGACCTTACGCACCTTCCGATATTTGGCACCTGGCAAGGATGCTGGAAATACACCCAGATAAGCATCACAACACGCTGATTACAGCCTCACAAATACTCACGAAGTGCGTGTCAATGAACCCGGGCATGATGAACTCCCCGTGCTTGAGTTCAATGAACTCAAAATCCCGCAAATTGACCAGACCATAGCTCGCGAGTGTGTCTTCAAACTTGTGCGAAGGCACGTCGAGCTCGATCCAATCGATATTGCCCGACACCTTTGAGACACAGACGAGTGCCTGCGGCGCGGCGGTGTATTCTGTGAGGGACTTCGGGGTAATAAGAGCACCGTAGAACAGCGTGTACATCGTTGGGGCAAGTGTTGGGAGTGCTAGAAGTGACACAAGGTCAACCGGAGGGTCTTAAAGGATATAAGTCATGCACGGAAGGGGCGACAGCGGGCATCATTGTGATGGTACGCGGGACAAGCGCGTCGTGCAGGTGAGATGAGAACTATTAGGTCCGGCTTAACCCCTCAGAACATGCAAGAATCACATTCGTCGGACAGGCATGCGGAACATTACGAAAATTATATTATGTACGTTCGCCGGAAGAAACAATACAGTGCGGTGTACACCGACGAAAGCTATGAACGATACGATACATATATAGGGATAAATCATGAGTGTCGTAAGAGGTCGTGAAGAATGTGAAATTCGATTGTCGAGCTAACAAAGAACGGAATGAAGATATTACGTCCGTGTCCTTGGTGACGCTTTGCTGGCGTAAAGGTCTTTCACTTCGAAAAATATACTGAGACCGAAGGCGAGACACAAAAGACAAGCGGCAGCTGTCGCTAGATTGTACGCGTCGCACCTGCACCCAAATGAGGTCAGAACACGTCGTTGCCGACAGGACAAGACACTTACCAGCCGTCAAATTGACCAGACGGACATCGCTTACCCCAAAGTATGAAGACAAACTCTGCACCCCAGAGCAATACCATGACAGCGTCCACGGCCGCGTTGATCTTGAGCCGCTTCCTAGCTTCCTTCCACTGCGCTTCGAGAGCCAATCCTGCGAAGACGCCTCGCCGTCTGGCCCTCCGAGCCCTCCTTCGCTCCCGGGAGGGTCCGCCAAACGAGCGTGGGCCAGTGTACTCAGACTCAGTATCGGCGTCCTCGTCGGAATAGTCGTCTTCTCGCCGCCCGCCAAACATGCCAGGGTCAACTATCAGGTTAACCTGCACACCTTCTCCTGGCACCTTCCCCTTCTTCCCCTTCTTTCCTTTCTGCTTGCCGCCAGGCATGCCTGGAACTGGTAGAACCATCATGCCCTCCGGCCCATCAGTGAAGGAAGAGCTCTTGCGTGTTCGCGAACCGCAACATGCTGGGTAAATGATGAATAGGTACGTGGCGAGCAGGAAGGTGATTACAGAGACAACGTAGAGCGAGTATGCCTGCGCTGTGCCTGCCGGTGGAGGCGGAGTGGATGTCTTTATAAACTATTCTGGGAATAAGCATAACTATTCTCGTTAAGATACAGATGACGTACAGCAGCAGAGTATATGCCCGAACCAGCTGCAAGCAGTGAAAGCAGAACCTGCAAGCATCGCACAGCAACACGCTTTTTTGGACCAGTGGTGATCAACTTGCCCTTTGCATCTACGCTGCCAATCATGTGCTCTTCATCGACGACCTCCTTGGCGTCCTCGCCAAATTGGCGTTCAAGTGCACGCACGCGCTCAGCTTTGATTTCGGGATCAATGGGAGCGCCGGCCACAGATTCCGATCCCCATGGGACAACGTCTTTGGACAAGCGGTGGCCATAGTTGGATGAACGAGGAGACGAATACGCTGGGGGCAGTCCGCGGAAAGAGTCGTGCCCGTAGTCAGGGTCAAACGGATCAATCTCTGGCGATGTGTAGAGAGGCTTTGCATTAAAGTAATCTGCCGTGGGATTGTATAACCCTCGAGGTTGCGCGATGTCGACCTCATGCTCAAAGTCAAGTGGGGTCAGCAGCGGATCATGGCCGTAATCTGGCGACTGGCTCGGACGACTTGACTGAGTTGGAGGGTTGTGCAACGTATTGTAACGTGTGCTAGCAGAGGCTGTGCTTGCGGGTAGCGAAAAGGGGGGAAAATGGTGCCTAGGCGACGAAGGCGAGAAGTTTGGTGGCGATGAGAGCGAGTCGCGGCTCGCAAGCGGTCGTAGAGGTTGAGGAGACGGCGGGTATGAGTCGTATGCCTGGAAGACGGGCTGGAAGGCGGGCGCGCTGCGCGGGTCGGTGCTTCGAGCTAGCTGCCTCGCGTAGTCTGCAAGATCCAAGGCTTCGATAGAGACATCTGAGGGCTCTCTTCTCTGCATAAAGCCATGTTGAGTGTATCCTTCTGCAGAGCGACCGTTCTCAGCGTTACGCGGCGGGTTAGGGTCGAAAGGCTCCGGGGACCAAGGACGCCGGAAGCGCGAGGCAGGCGGTGGAGTATCCAAACGATTCGGTGCATACATTCTGGTCATAAAAGTCGTTAGAAGCCGTTAATAGCTGTACAGGTGTGTATGAAATGAATGTCGCGCCACGCAACAGACGCAGGAGCCTGAGGAGCGTGCGCTGTGAGGGCTTGGGTGAGGGTGGGGAAGAAGAGGCGGCGTCACGATCGTCACAGGCGTGCCTAGTCACGTTCGTGGGTCTCGTATCCGCCGTCATTTGAGCAGAGCAATGACGACCGCGAATGACACCGGCAATGTCGAGCAGGTCGACAAGGCACTCTTGCTCGCCGCCCTGCACAATATAGATAACACGCCGCATTTCCTCGCGGGTCCGATAGCTACCGCTGCAGCACAGGCAGCCCAGAACCTACGGATCGTGCTCGTGTCTCCGCTCTTCGACGCGAACTCTGCAGATTACCAGAGCCATCGACCGACTGCATTGGGGACAAAGCGGTTCCGCGATGTGCAGAATGTCCTGACCTATGTGTACGTCCAAGCTACCAAGGTCGCCCAGGAAATGGACAAGATCTTGATGGATGTGGATGTGCTGCTCAAAGGCGAGGATGAGCACTTGCAGGAATCTGCGACCGCAGATGCCCAAGTTGTATACAAAGGTGAGTTCATATCCTCTCTGTGTCTCGTAAACAACACCATAACAATTTCATAGTACACGACTTTGAGCCCAAGCTCACCATATGCTCAACCGCGAAGGACGTGTGGCTGTCCCCAAGTGAAGACCCATCCGCCCGCAACGAGCCATCAAACACCCCGGACATCGCTGTGCCAGTGCCCACCTTCTACCCCGTAACTGCCCTCGGTGGTACATTCGATCACTTGCACGCTGGGCACAAGATCCTGCTGAGCATGGCCTGCTGGATAACGGCACAGAAGCTCATTGTCGGTATGACAGGAAAGTCTTAGGCCTCTCCGTCGCAACATTCCACGATACTAACTTCATTCTAGACGACAGCCTATTACAGAAGAAAGTGAACAAAGACGTCATCCAGTCACTGCCGGAACGCATAGACTGCACGCGTAGATTCCTCGAGCTCTTCAAGCCAGGTCTGGCCTACGACCTCGTCCCGCTGAAGGACGTTGCGGGCCCTACAGGCTGGGACCCAAACGTCCAGGCTCTTGTTGTCAGCCGGGAGACCCTCAACGGCGCCGCCACCAGTAAGCCGTCACGTTTCTATTCGAGTAGACAAGGCACTGACCCGAGTCTCAGTCGAGCAGATCCGCAAGGATAAGGGCCTATCTCCGCTGCGGACATTCGTCATAGACGTGATCTCGCACTCTGACGCAAAACTCGACGTAGAGGACGCAGAGACGCTGCGCAAGATCAAGATGAGCAGCACGTTCATCCGCAAGTGGATTGTGCAACAGCGCAGCAAGCCATAACTGCACGACCTCTACAGGACTCTTCGCCATGATCTCACAACTTCTCGAAATCTATATCAGACGCATACAACGAGGTAATATATTGCGCGTAGACACAGCTGCAGAATACGTGAATGTAATTTGTACTATTCGGCCGATTATATGCTAGACTTGGGGTATAGGAACCAAGTGAGTGACTAGTTATGATACAAATGCAATGTGTTGTGTAGATGAAGCCATCCATAGTATGTAGCTCCGGTGTGAAATTGTCCCAGATAAAACGAAGGGGTTGGTACATGCGGTCTTGGAGGTGACGAAACGACCGCGAAGAGGTGATTAGGTCCGAGTATGCATGAGTGAGGCGGGGACCGCAACGGGCGAGTAAGAGTACAAGGGATGGTCCAGCGTGATAGGGCTGATAACAGAAATGACTGAGAGGAGTGGAGGGGGGGAGGAAGTAAAATCAGCGCGAAAAGCAGCAGCGGAAGAGGATTTGGAGGAAGCGCAGGCTGGACGACAAGCCGGGTACATACATGTTCTCTCGCTCGCTGCGGCCCCCGGCCTCCTAGTCCGCAGGCGAACCAGGCGCGCCGAGGGTCATGAACACCGTCTTGCGCTTCGTCGCGTGCATGCTGTCGCGGTAGCCCCCACCATCCGTGCGGGGAACGAGGAACTCGTCATCGCTGTCTTCACCATCACTCTCGACGCCCTGCGCGTGCTTGTCGCAGAACATGCGTCCGTCGACTTCCCAGTACTCAACAAGCCGCTCGGCGCAGCGTGGGTACTCGCACAGGAAGTGCTCGGGGTGGTACCGATCGCCTGAATGCGACACCGCGCAGGGGCCCTCGATCGGCTCTCCGCACGTTGGCGCGGCGCATAGGGAGTTGTTCGTTTCGTGGTAGTGGTAAGCGCAGAAGGGTTTGCCGTCGAGGACGTAGAACGTCTTGTCGGGGAATGGTTTCTATAGGGTGCACGTGAGCATCGGGCAGGTGGATCGAAACGGGAGCAACGTACGTGGCATGTGTGGCAATTAAAGCAGTCCCTATGATACTTTCCTTTGAGCTGACCGTCTGACGACGATACAGCATGTTTCTCTATGGTTTGGTTACAGCGACGGCACTGAATGCACACTACGTCAGCACAACCACTCAGTCAGCAAAAGGACACGACCCACCTTCGGAAGATACATTTTCTTCCAGCACCTATCGCACATCATAACCCCACCCTCCATCTGTATCCACCGCCCATCCTCAATCTTGCTCTCACACTTCAAACACGTCTTCGTCTTCGCTCTGCGCTTGCTCTCAGGCCTGCTCAGGCCGAGGCCCGGGCTCGTGTGCGAGCGCATCGGGAGCTTCGGGCGCATGCTGTCGCGCTGGCCGCCCTCGCCAGCGAGCGCCATCGGGAACACCGCGGGGCTCGACACCGAGCTCGCGGTGGAACTCGCCGGGTTCTGCAGCTCGTCCTCGTGCTGCTCAAGCAGGGTCTCCATTGCGGCCGGACGCTCCAGCGCGCCGATCGACTTGGCGGGCACGCGCGCGACGTAGGACGACGCTGTCGTCGACGTGCTCACGCTTCGCGCGGGCAGTCGCGGCGAGGGCAGGCTGCTCTCGGACTCGGAGTACTTGCTGTCGGACTTCATCGTATCCCGCTTTGTGGATATGGGAGGAAAGCGGACGCCCTGGGGCTCGGGGGCAGTCGAGCTGCGCTCTGTGCCTTGCCCTTCGTCGTCATCTGCATATGCCAGACCCTCGAACTCGGATTCATCGGGTGATAGAGGCGTTGAGGAGGACCCGGGACCATCTCCAGGTCGTGGCATTGAAGAGGTATCCACCGGTGCGATCTTGTTTTTGAACTTCTCAAAGAACGGCAGTGGCGGCGTGCTTGGGGTTGCGGGCAGTGGCGTCTTCGGAGGCTCGGCAAGCGGAGGCAGTACGCGGTCCCGGTGCATGATCCCACGGTCTAATGGGGATGGCGTACGTACAACGGCAGGTCGTGTTGGTGTTGTCTTACTATCATGTGGTGAGGGAAGCTTGGCTGAAAGCGGCGAGCCGCCGGACTGGGGCGAATGCGGAGACGCTGTTGAACCAGCAGAAAGCGGTGGTGTGCCTGAAGGATCTGCGGCATCAAATTAACTACGCGACGCGTAAATGACGTTCTCGCGTCGACACTCACTATAATGGACTGCCGAAGCAATATCGAGATATCGCGGTGCATTCGCCCGCCGGCCGTCCATGCCAGGAAGCACGGCGGAGAACGGAGGGTGCTCACTTTGGTATGGCGAATGTTCGTTCTGCGGGCTACCAATCTGACCCATCTGCGCAAACATTGCTGCATGCGCCGCCGCAGCGAATCCCCTGCGGCCTACACCGGCCATGCCTGCCTCTCCACCCGTCTTCGTGTCAATCATAGGTGGCGACACGATGCCCCCTGGAACGGATGGCTGGTGCGCATGTCCGTACAGGCTCGCAGGCGGGCCTAGATTCACGTTTACGTTCAGCGGCGGACCACGAGAGGGCCCGGCTTGCGGTGGCACCATGGGCCTGGCAGTCGAATAGATCACATCAGACTCTAGCTGCGTGGAAGTTGATGCTCGCGGTCGAAGCGGTGCTATGTTCGCAAATGGAAGATTCATCCGCGACAGAGGAGGCGCGGGACCCGACTGCGTCGGCTGGCGCGCGCCCAGGGTCGGCGAGCGGACGCTTCCTGGGGTCGGGACGCGAACAGGGACTGCCTGCACGTTAGGAGACGCCGTCGCGGATGGGGACGTCGGACCTGGCGACAACATGCGCGTGTGGTCTGGCGCGTGGTAAGGTGGGGGCTCGCTCGTCGTCGTCGGGCGATTGGGAAGTGCAACTGGCGCATGGGCTGGCGTGGGCTCGGAGACATTATAACGCGGAGAGAGAGGAGAGGGCGCCCGTGGCGTGGGCGTGGAAGGGACTGCGCGACCCACTAGGTCAGATGATTCTGGTCGCGAAGGAAACACGACCTTTTCTTGTGCACCCGGAGTCTGTCCATGCGCACGTGCCAAGGGACTCGGAACGCGCTCCGACAGGTTGTATGGGTTTGGGAGGTTCAGGGACGCCAGGGACGCCTGCCGCGGCGAGTGAGTCTGGGATGTGGGCGTTGGTGGTCCCGGATTCGCGAATCGTGCGCTGAGGGGCGTGCCCTGACGTGGCGGCACGGAGGCTGCGCGAGGCGGGACGTGGGTTGGCAAAGCTATGGAAGTAGCCTGTGGTGTCGATGGTGTCTGACTAGAAATGAGCTTCTGGTATTTCGCTTGAAAGAACGAGGCAGAAGTGGGCGACATGGGTGGTTTCTGGCTCGCTGCTGGCATCGGAGGCGGGGCCGTGCAGACATGTTCGCCCAGATCAGCGATGGGTACGGGCCGGTGGCATGTTGAACATTTGACGGAGGGCAAAATCTGGGACATGCGACCTGGCTCCGGCCCAGCGACGGTCAGAGACGAGGCCATAGGGAGTGTAGGGATGTAGGAACTGTGGAAGTCGGCAGAGGTCGGCAGTCGGCGTGGGCACGTCCAGCGCTGAGGATGATGAGGGGAAAGAGGAAGAGAGGGACAATTAGAGCAAAATCAGGCGTAGGCTAGAGGAGATCATGGCGCAGAGTCCGCCGTATGGAACCAATATGGAACGCAGGAGCCAAACCCCACTTCTGTTCAAAATCCCCCTCCGCGCTACCACGCGGCGTTAGATCAACATCCGGCCTAACCAAACAACCAGCCCGAGCCTCTGCAGCGACCGCCCCGCTTTTTGCAGCGAGTTCGCAAGGAAACATCCGCGAATGTGTTTGTGTGCAAGGCTGTGTTGTCGTGTGATGTTCGCGTTCATTCTCATGTTTAATTCCGCACAATTCACGGTCCTGCAGGGCTGCAACGCCTCAATAAGATTCGGTTACCTTTCCAAGTCTAGACCAGAAGCCTCACAAATGCAACCAATCAAAACGATCGTACGGAACGCGACTACGGGAGAATCAGATCATTAGCGGTGCACCAACCTTTCATCCTTATTGGCAACCGCTCATAAATTGCCAAGGCGCGCATGCGCCTCCCAACAACGTCGGGCCTAAAGCAACATGGTGCAGCGTGTACGCAGTACAGCGTGTGGGCAATTTTCAGAAAGAAAAAAAAAACAGCTTACCCATGATGTCACGCCGGTCGCACGAAAGCGACGTCCATCAGTCTTGCGGCGATGACAGCCCATATTGCAGGCACTGCTTTCTTGTCAGGTGGCGAAGAATAGTCGCATTTGGTTAGGTCAGGAGTCATGAACATTGGAACTAGGGTGTGTGCTACAAATAGCTGAGGTACTCAACATGGCGACTCGTGAGCGACAGAATTGAAACGTGTAAAACTCACCACGGGAAGGCCACATCGTAGAAATACTGTATCAGCTTCGGGATACTCCCGAGGGCAGTTCGTGGCATGCGTGGGTAACTATGACTTCACCGTATGTCTGCCGGAGATAACAAGTCCGAGTGTGAAGAGAACTCCGAGCGCGGCTTTTCTCAGGATACGAAGAGATCAACGAAGGAGGGGTCGTGTACAGCGTGAGAGCTATGCCTGATGGAGACCCGCGGTTCGCTTACGAGCTTGCGAGACGTTCAAGATAGAGTCCCGCTGAAGACTCGCTCACTTTGACGCGTCTCGAGAGCAGCACACGCTGCGCCACTCGCAGGAGTGCTCTCGCGTAGTTTTGGTATTCGAGCTCCAGCGAGAACACCAGGACTACGCAAGAGAGCTAGCAGGCAGCACATTACGCGGCAGCTCTGAAAGAGTGCACCACAGCCCTGCGACGGCGTCGTCGTGGCGCATGAGATGGCTGCTCGATTCGAGGATGTTCCATGCACGAAGCTGATAAGGAGGCGCTTGGTTTGTCTCGGCCTTATCTTATCTGCGCTTCTCGTAGCGATTAGATTAGATCATCCTTCGTCGGGACGCAAAGCGCGCCCCGGCGCACCGCCCGTCGCCAAAGACCCGACCATGCCCATGACACTCTCGCTCGATGAAGAAGCCCGACTGTACACAACGAACGCCGAGCGCGAGAAATACGAGAGCCTCGCTACGCTGTTCGGCATCATCATCGCACTGGACTACCTCGAGCGCGCGTATGTGCGGGACTCGGTCACTGCAGTAGAGTAAGTGCGAATTTCTCTAGGGGACGTGGGTGCGTAGGGCGTGTGCTGAGCTTAGGGGTCAAGAGGTATTCTCCGGCATGCACGCGGCTGCTGTCGCAGTATAAGACCATGCTGAAGCTCGTTGGGTCGGACGTGCCCTCCATAGAGGAGTTCATGACTCGCTATCGGGTAAGCAGCTCTCGTGCCCCGTTGTGCCACGACAGCTGTGCTAATGTCATCGCAACGAACGTCAGATGGATTGTCCAGCTGCGTTGCACAGACTAAAGGTTGGCGTGCCGGCAACGGTCGAGCACTCGAGCGAGGCGGGCCCAGAGACGGGCAAGTGGATCGCAGAGACTACGCAGGTGCGTTACATGTGCCTTTTATATATAAAGAATCTACCTTGACGAACTTTTGTCATTCTGCAGGGTTTCATTACATTTATGGACGCCTTGAAGCTGCGTATGCGAGCGAAGGATCAGCTACACCCTATATTACAAGAGCTTGTCACAGGGTACGCACGCTTCAAGGGAAGCAAAGACTGGGAAGGCCGAAGCAAGCTTGTCGCATGGTAAGCTGCAATCTCTTTTCTCTTTTTTGCCTTAGATTAACTTTGTCGGATTCAGGTTGATTTCACTGAATAGCATGAAGGCCTCCGAGGAGCTGACGGACGAGCAGATAAGACAGGTGAATTGTGATGTATTTCTAAACCGCTGCTTGTTGCTCAATGTGTTTTGCAGCTGTCCTTTGACATTGAAAATGCCTACTCCGAGTTCTTCAGGAGCTTGAGTAGTAAGGAAGGCGGACAACAGTGAATGCGCCAAGATGTGCGGATGCCTGGCTGTATACTAAAAGCACAGATCGTGAATGTATAACATAAAGACTGCGTCGTCTCGTGACAGCCTTAAACTGGATGTGCCGGACCTCTTTGTCACTCAAGCTGCCATAAAGGGCGACTTCTTGGACATTGCACACAAATCGGGACTCCGTTGAACACCCGGCCAGGGACTTGGCGTGGTTGACTCTGTTGATGTTACTTGACGACAACCATGGACCGCTCAATCGTCTTCAATTGGCACGGTATCTCTAGGGTGAATACGCCTTCTCGCATGTGCTCCGCACACTCTCACATCTGCATGTAGCGCCAGAGGATTCTCCTGTGTTTTGCACCTCCGGGCGACAAGATCGAGCTGGGGGCAGAGCAAAATCACATAGTATGGTACGTGACGGTCCATCTTGCTACCAGCGACCGACTGAGGCTAGTATACAGGAAAATCATAGATGCAGAAGGCTGTAAGAGTTGATCGAAGCTGGTTTGTGACTGGATAACGCTGAAGCATCCGGACAGACGGCTCTGCGTCGGTATTCTTTACAGGTCGTCTGGCGTGCGGACAGACAGCGTTATGTCCAGAAGGGCGCGTTCGCGGATCGCACTGGGTGAACGTAGAGGTGCGCACATAGACCTCCGGTTCTTTCAAATCGGTTGCTCACTTCCACTCAGCGCGGCGAGTCTGTCGCCCTTTCTGATCCCGACGACAACAAGGACAACAAAGAAAACAAGTCCGGTCCGGGCGAATGGACGAAAGCCTCCGTCCGCAACATCGACGACCCGTGCATGCACATTCACAACGGGACGTCGCAACCACAAACTTTTGTTCTCGGTGCGTCTGCCCCGTTCTATCTACACTCATTGACAGGTTGCACATGGGGCGCCGCAGGCACCGTCAGGTCTATCGGGTTCTACCAGATCAGGCTCTTCGAGCCTACGTTCTGCTGGAAAGCCGTCCGGTGCGCTAAACTGCTTTCCACCACGTCCGCGCGTACTAACGCCCCCGTCCCTCGGGGAGCAGACCGAAGCAGACGGTCAACGCAAAGTTCGATCCGCACCTCTGCGCGGCGATCCTTGATGGCGACAAGCTTTACGAAGGTCGGTCTCCCGTGCTGAGGCTGCCAAGGTGACTTTTGACGCCCCGCTGCTTGTTTGGCAGAGAGCGAGATGCTCACCGCGCGAATCCCGCCGGAGTGCGTCTTCTGGCGCCAGAACGTCAACAAACTCCCGGGTACGTCCCCCCCCCTCACTGCCTATCCCGCGCGTCGCTCACCATATCGTGCCGGCAGCGGTGAGCTACTTTGAGTTCATGGCGACGGAAGAGGTACGCGCGCAACCGGCTAGGCGATTTTTTTTCACGTGGGTGCTGACAGTCTCTCGGCAGGGCTTCGTGATGCGGAGGGAAGAGTAGTGTGGGCGCATGGGCCAAGGCGGTGGGACTCGGCTCGCTCACATTCCATGACCCGGGCGTCCTGCACAAGGTTATGCATACATCTCCATGTACCACACGGCAATAAATCGATACTACCGAGCACGATAGTGTGGCCAGGCACCGATCCCCTGCGAAGGACGTAGCATTTGCGCAAGCACCCGTGTGTCCTTGTGTGTCCCGCCTCACCCTGCCCTAGAGTTACGGTACCTAGACGCGGGATCGACGCAAGAGCCATAACTCTGGGCAGGATGTACTTGCTGGTCGCTGATTTTGTAACAGCTGCCGTCGCAGGCTACAGTAGACACCGCGGCTCGAGTGTGGCCTGGGATAGCTGAGACTATTGCGCACATAATAACCCACACCCACGCACCTAGAATCCCGAGACTGGAATATCGACCGGCTCGGTCACACTATAGAATCCTCATCGCAGATGAAGAAAGGAAACAGGAGAAAGAGAATGAAAATAGAACAGTAAGGGAAAAAGAAAGGAAAAAGAAACGAGGGATCAGTCAATTAACAGCCGGGCTATGCACGCTATCATGAGCGATCTCGGGTTCCACAACCTCCCGAGTTGTGGGTGACTGTGTGCACGCACAGCCCGAAGTTTTAGGCTGACAGCGACGGCGCCCGAGCTCAGGGTTGCCAGCTGCCATGAGGGCGACGATCGCGAACCCCAACCGCGCGTATCGACGAACCCAAAACGAATATTTACCATACGCATCTTGCGGCGGGACGGCGGCGATATGAAGGACCCGGTCGGACCAGGGACAAAAATCAAGGACGTGAGAGCTTACAGTAATAGCGAGGCATGCGATGCGAGAGGGAAAAGCGTGTACGGGGGGAAGCGCCTCTGACGAGAGTAACCACTAACGGATCTAGATTACGTCCAGTATCTGCGCAAGACCACGAAACTGGTTCTCCAGCCAAAACTGAAGAAAAAAAAGGTAAAGAAAAAATGTCAAAACGGCCGTCTCGTCTCCACGTCCATTGTCACCGTCATCATCAATGTCGAAGAACGAGAGAGCGAAAGATAAGTCCGGTTAGAGTGTGCGTCTTCGTCACATGGGTCCGGACGGTGGCGCCGAGTTGTATGGCTGCTGATGGTAATGCGCGGCGGCTGGCGGTTGTGCGCTGTGTTGCGTCTGGTTCATGCGCGCGAAGAAGCTGTCCCACGAGCCTGCATAAAACAAAGCGAGGAAAGAAAAATGCGGGTGTTCAGCAATGTCGGAGGAGCGGGAGGAGGAGGCCGAGAGCGTGCGTACCCCAGTCAAAGATTGTCGCAGGCATGCCCTCGAGGAAGCCTGCCTCGGCCATTGCAAGCTGCTCGAGAGCGTTCGCGCCCTGCGCCTGGTCGAGCAAATTGATGACCTGCACGTGCCCCGGCGGAATCGCGTTGCCGCCATTGCTTCGCTGCTGCGCCTGCGCAAACCCGTTGTTCATCGCCGGGTTCACGTTCGGGTAGTTGGCGCCCACGAGCGGCGCGTAGTTCACCATCGTCGGGGAAGTGTGCGGGTGACGACTTGGTGTGCGGTGCTGCTGGCTCTGCGGAGACGATGCGCTCTCTGGAGTCCAAGCCATCGTGTTGGGTCTCTGAGAATCAGGGGATGACGCCGGCGCCTCACCTTCCGACTGCTCGTGAATGACCGTTCCTTCGGGCAGATGCTTCAGATCCTCGGGATTGGCATCACGCCGCGCTATGAAGACGCCGCCACCAGGACGCGTCGAGTCCTTGCGGAACACCAGCCCGCCGAGCGGCGGCTTGACTTTCACGCCACCCGTCGGATTCAGCGCGGGGGCCTCGGGGTTCAGCGGGTGCTGCGTCGACTCGTACAGGAGCGTGATGATTTCCGCGGTCTGTCAATCAGGCGGAGGACATGTCAGCAAGATTGACACACGGTCAGCGGGTTTACGTAGGGACGAGCCTTGCGTCGAGCCGACATATGGTCTGACGATATTGCGGCCTCCCAGCGCCGGATGCAGTCGCGGAGCTTCTTCAGCTTGTTCTGGGCCTCCTCGTCCTGACGACGAGCGAACGTGTGGTACTGCACAGGAATGGCCGTAAGTTTGCTAGGCCTGGAGCGAGCCCCCGAGCGGGGATCGACGCGGCGAAATGCGTACCTGAACAAGGGCACACGAGGTGGCACAGTAGGCCACAAGCAACCACACGTCGTACATCCTCTCGTTGTGTTCCAGCCAGTCGATCGCGTCGCCCGTGAGCCGCACGAGCTCGGTCCACTTCTCGACCGTGAGCGCGAACTTGAGATGCTCGGGACATGTGTACGACATGCGCATGAACACGCGCCAGAATAGCATGTTGACACAGGAGTAGAGCATATGCAGAAGGCCTGGAAGCTCGCGGTGAGTAATCCGAAGCATCAACCCGTCTCGGAATCTCTCGGCACACTGGCGTGCCGGCGGCAGGCAGCCGCGGCAAAGAGATGGGGCGTACCTGCGTTCCGAGGAGTCTGGGTCCCGCGAAACTGTAACTCCTCCGGCAGCGCTGCCCGCCAGCCTTCGAGATCGGTAAGGATGCCTTGCAGCGCTTCATCAGTCGTTACGCTCAAGCCGGCCGGGCTGCCGAACAAGATGCCGCCGGTCAGCGTATAAAGAGCACAGGGGCCGGCGGACGCACCTATAGATATTCTTCATCACACGCCCTAGGATTAGGCTCAGGCGTGCCAGATAGTCCAAATACAGGTCCGTTTCGTCTCCAGACGAGGGCAGCCGAGCGTCGCAGTCGTTCACGTCTATCATGGACGGATGCCCATACGTAACGCCCACCCTGAAGAGCAACAAGACTTGTTCAGTCGGGGTCTTGCATGGGCTCGGTGAGTACTCACCATCGATCGAGAATGACACAGATGACCCACAGACGCCGCCTGAGTTCGATGTTCTGCTTGACCGCCTCTGCACGGTGCAAGCCGAGGTCCTGCGCCTTGTGACAGAAAAGGCACCGTTCAAAACCCGCAACCCAGAAAAACAGTGATGGGTGCCTACCATACGAATAGCACTTCCCAGCCGGACCCAAAGCGCTGACAGCGCGTGTGGCGCATACTGTGAGTGGCAATCACCACACATGGAGAGGATCAACAACGCCTGAAGGTTCACGATGGATGCCGTGGAGAGCACGTCTTCCTGCTTGATCAGACTGTTCACTGCGAACCGGAACTGGTCAAAGGTGGCTTGTGGGGTTTCGCGGCGAGCCGCGGTGACGAGACAGATCGAATACAGCAAGATCGGCTGCGGCGGGTTACTCGCGATGAACTCTTCTCGCGTGATCACGGGCAACAGCGGCGCGATGTCCGCGAAGTACGCATTGAGCAGCTTCTCAACAACATCTCGTTCGATCGACGGGTCGATCGGCTTCGGGTGCGCGAGCTGCATCTCGCCCGGCGGCTGCGGTTCGTGTACCTGCAGGACGCCGTCGTTGCCAGTGCTCACATCCCAAGTATGGTGGTACCGCGTGTCGTAGCTTTCGTATGTTCGCGATGAGATCATCGCTTGGGAATGCAGCAGGTAGGCGGGTGAGGTCGGCCCTAGATTCTCTACTCAGCTTGGCACCCGAAAGGACTCGCAGAGACGGGCGTCACTCACCAAAAACGCGGACCTCTGAGCTGCGGCCACCGCCATCCGTTGTGGGAGACTGCACCGTCGTCGCGTCGCCTCGGTGCCGTTCCTTCTCCTCCTCTTCCTGTTTCAACGCTTCTAGCTTCTGTTTCCTGAAGCGTGTCTCGGTGATGGGAAGGAAGAAGGTACAATCGAAGCCGTATTGTTTACAGTGCTGACACTCAGGTGGTTCGGTGTCCGCTAGCACGTCACATCTGCAACGATTTTGCAGGATTCAGCAAGCCCCGTCGGAAGCACACATACACCGGCGTGGATAGACAGACACGCGGAGAACCAAGGAGAAGGCGGACGCAAAATCTGTTTGCCTTGTGGAAACGAAGAGCGCAACACGAACCTGATCTTTCGGCTTCTACAGCTATCACAAGCACGCTGAGTCTTTGTCCGTTTTTTGCTCTCTGACTGCCCAGCTGCGCTGGCCGAACCTCCACGGGTTGCGTCGCCGGACGAATCTGTAGGAGAGTGCGTTAGCCGTACCGCATCGGCTGCACATTCGGGCAGTGTGTACTTCCTTTTTCGCTTCCCTGTCGCGGGAGCCGGCGTCGGTGGTGTCGATGCTTCGGCTTGCGACTGGGATGATGGATGTGGGTGCTCGGCGTGCGCACTTGGGGCAGGCGCGCCGTACATGACCACGCTAGGCGGGGCTGGGTAGTGTGGGTACGAAGGGTATGGGTGTCCGTAGGCGGGATGCTGGACAGGGTACGGATAGGTTGGCGCACCAGGGATGCCTGGGCCCATGTGGGAGCCTTGGCCGTTGTGAGGGGATCCAGCGGAGGCAGGCTGCTGATACGGCGACGGCGACGACTGGTACGAATGGCCGTTCATTGCATAACCTGGGTGTAGGACGTAGGACTGTCCGTGCACGGCGTAGTGGGGGAGGTGGTCACCAAAGCGAGGCGAGGATTCCGACGGCGGCTGTTCCCTGACGTTGGAGATGCGTGCTGAGGAAAACGGGGGGCAAAAGGGAAGATGTATCACGTAAGTCTTGTGTTGCTGATGCACGACGAGATGAACGGAAGAGCGAGGGAAGGAGACGCACAGTGATCCACGATAGACGTAGGCGTGGGCTCTCTTGGTGAGACTTGGGAATTGGCCCCCGGTTTTGTTCTGGCCTTTCTTGATTTCTTTGGTTGAGCCGGGGGGTGAGTCGGGGAAGATTGCTTGGGCGGCTGCGAGGTACCGTCAGATGGAGCGTTGTCGGTCGCGGGCGGATGGCTGCTCATTATGAAAGCAACTGAACGAGGCTTATAAACAACTGATTTCAGGCGAGGCCAATCGGACCGCCGGGCTCGTGGGTACGGTTAGGCGTGCAAATACTATAGTATTTGTTAGGCCTCCTCTGAACGAAATAAGGTATGCGGGCCTACATACAAATCCGAATTACGCAACGGAGACGAGGGGAAAAGGGGAAGACACAGAGGTTCGGCACGTTTGAGCGCGGTAGGCGCAAGTGCTCGCTGTGCAGGACGTGCTGCCCAGTGCCGAGGACGATATACGCGATGTTGGAGACGCAGGAGCGAACTCTGTGTGGAGGAAGGGACGAAAGCCGACGACGGCAGGCGCGGGCCAGCATGGAATAATTGAAGTCTGGCAGTGGGATGCCGGGCGCGCCGGCGACGTTTCAAGGCCCGACGTTTACATCATGGACTGCTGGTCTAACAAACATTTGAAACTCAGCGATTGAGTTGTCCGATCGGCGATTGCGATCCCGGCATGCTCGTCATTACTCATGAATCACGTCTGCGCTCTTCAACTGCACAGACGCCCGTCGCCTTCTCACGCTTTCGCTGTGCCCATCTCCCTGCAGCATTCCGAGCCCTCTCTCGCTTTCCCTGGCCCTCGCTCTCGTCTCTCAGGGCACTTGCACACATCGCGCAGATCTAGCTCAACGCTGCCCCTGAACAGCGCGTCACTCTTCCCACGCGCCGAGTATTTTCAGGGGGGCAAACTTGTCCTTCGGGCGGCATCAATTATCCGCATCCGATACCCAAACAACCACCGCTGCCTCCAGCGTCTAGCTGGCTCCGAACGCCGTTCTCCTCGACGACGAGCTCGTCTCTCCCTCGTCCCTCTGTTGCTCTCGACACCGTCCTCTGCACCGACACCGCGCGTGTTCCAGCCCAACCTTATGCCGTGCCTGGAAAAGTTCTGCGCCCCTTGGAGCACAACGCCGTAACACTCAAAGCCTATTCGAACGCCTCCATCTTAATCGCCCGTATCAATCAGCGAACCTGCTGCGGACGCGTAGCTGCCCTTGAAAGTTCCATATCGAAAACAATGAACAGCCTTCGAGAACGTCGACTGTCTCCCATAACGGATCAATCGTATCACTGTCGTCCCTGCAAGGACAAGGACGCTCCCGGTCCAAAGAGGCCACATGTCACAACGCTTGCACCCCATTTCTCTTACTCGTGCTCGTCCTCGCGTACGGGCTGTAGATAGAACGATAAAGAACAGCTTCCAATGCATGCCCGAGCATTGAACAGTAAACCAGCAGACCATAGTCATTAATCCGCCGAGGCTCTGAAACCAAGGGTTCAGCTCGGTGGCTGTGTCTGATTTCCTGTAGGAAACGTTTTCGAGCAGCGTGTTTAGCTACAGAGCAGTAACATGCTCATCTCACGATGTGCGAGAATATCATTATCTCGGAGCCGTCTGCATCGATGGAATTTGTATTACTGACACCTTACATCTTCGCCAAAAAAAACTGCTAGATCCTTATGGAAGCCACCGCATTCACGCCCCAGTCATTCTTGTACGTTGTCTACCATCTTCTGTCATCGACTTCATCTATACCGTCTCACTACCAACATGATGTTATTCACTACGACCATCGGTCTTTACCTGCACCCCGCTGGGCATTACTGTGCAGCCCATCCTCCCGAAGCGCAGACGTATGAATGCAAGCGCACCGCGAGGTCCAACAGCCCATGCACACACACCGCGGCGCACGTCGTACGACCGACCGGCAGATCGCGCACGCACCGCGCCGCCAACTTTAAAACGCTAACGCCTCCATTGACAGTGCATTGACAACACCCTGATTATTCACAAATCCCGAAGCACGGTCAACAGCACGAGGGACTTGGCATGGGACATGGCACGCACTTCCCCGCACGCCTCGCAAGGAATGTTCACAGCTGTCTGCCAGTGTACGCCGCTCGCATCCACTGAACTGCAACGTCGTCGCCGCCGCCGCCGACTGTCGAGCCAAGGCCGCGGAGATGGGGCGCAGTAGATCTAGATCTCTCGAGTCGAGTGGTTGGGCTGGGCTTCGGTGGTGGGCCGATGGGAGAATGGGACCGTCGCTGATGTTTGCCATGGCGAGGATAGCTCAGGACAGATCGCATCGAATGTCGCAACCGCCGCAGGGAATGCAGGGGATTTCCGTTCTGTTCCTGATCTCTCGAATGTCATGTTGCACCGCACTCGACATTTCCAACTTGTTGTGTCTGATCTGTCACTGAAGCTCTGAAGTTCGACAGTGTCCGGGTCGGAAAGACATAGGCTTTACGAGTACTCCGACGAACCTACCTGACACCGCAAGGATGCACGTCCTGCATTCCAACCTTGCCATCCCTGCCATTGTGGCTTCGGGCATTTCCGAACACATCGGTGATGCGCCCCGTGAACTTATACGGACGCATCGGGATGATATGTATATTTTTCTAGGTGTGTAGACTTTACTGTGAGATAAGAGAAATAGCAAGATGCAACTACGATAATCAAGGAACAGAAGAGACGTGAACAAGGTATAGACAGTGCAGAGATCCAAAGAAAAACAACAACATAAATTAGGAACCTCTCAAACCTCAATTGTGCTTCGCAAGTGTGCGTCCTTCCTCCATCGCGAGCGTCGCATCGGCGCGCCAGAGCACGCCCGGGTTCACCTCGCGCTTGTCCTCCGTGGCGACAGCGGAGAAGTCGAGCCAGGAGTAGCCCGACGGGCGGCAGAGCACGTACACCAGGTTCCGCCGCCAATTCCCGTGCGAGAACGGGTTGGGCGGGGCCTCGCCTGGCACGAGCGACTTGTGCGCCTGGTTGCGGATCTGGGTGCGGAACGAGAAAGGTTAGCGTGATTGCGTGCGTCGTCTCAGGCCGCAACTCGCACCTGTTCGATCGTCGTGACGTTCAGCAGGAGAAGCTGCGAAGAAACAGCACCGTCAGCGTTTGATGAACACCGTGTGGAGCACCTTCCGGCGTTCAGGTCGACATACCCTTGAATGGTAAAGCAGGAGCGCAGTCACAGGCCAGACGACCAGAATGGACATCATGAAGGCAACCGCGCTGCCCACCCCGTCCGAAGTGGCCAGCGCCTGACCAAATGATAGCCCGAACCTGCTCGTAGTCAGCAGCGAGAGATGAATCGCCGTCGTGCAGATGACCAAAATCAGGGTAAGAACCTTCGCAAAGTGGTCAGTGATATCATCGTCAGTAGGCGTAAAGGACCCGAAGGGCTTACGGCGGAAAACAGGAAACAGAAGAACGTGGTGTAATTACGTCTGCCGACGCAATTGTTGACCCATTGACAGTGGTGGTCGCAGCCGTCAACGCAGTTGTCGCACTGCGAGAAGCTTAATCACCGCTCCCGCAAGAAGAAAAAGGCGACTCACCATTTTGCAATGGCTTGAGCGTGGCGGCCGGTAGGTCCGACATGTGGGACAGTACTTGACACGCACCCTAGATGTCGGCCGTGCGGTGAGAACACGAACCACGCCAACTGTTTCAGGCACACTTACACTCCATTGCGAACTTTCAAATCTCGGGGAAGCGGTTGCCTCACGCTGTCCTCGGAACCTGTGCTTGCCATAGGAGGATCAGGGTCCAGATTGCGAGGTAGAATACCGGGGTCTCGGAAGGCCTGCAAAGGTTCAGTATCGGAGCCGCAGTCTTGCGAAAGCGCGACTGACCGTGGCGAACATGCTTGAGATGGTCAACAGACACATGTACGCTCCCACGCCCGCAACCGCGGGGCTTTCATTCAACCACCACCAGACACAGGTCGTGCTGAACCAGATACCGGTAATGCCGAGCACAACCGTTAGCGATGCGATGAATGCCCAGGGTGTATCACCACCGGTGAGTATCCGTCCACCCAGGAAAAAGCGGTTGCGGGAGGGGTGCAGCTGGTAGTTATGCAAGGTCTTTTCGGTCTTACCATCTACCCGCGGAGTCTCCGCAAGCGGCGGCTTCATGTCAACCGGAGGGACAGGATTAAAGGGAAGCTCGTGAAGGGATGGCGTCGACGCATGCTGTCGGTTCGACGCGTCTTTATACCGTGAGAGCGGCGACATAGGCGAGTGGTCGTCATCGTGGGCGGTCAGATCGAACGTCATGTGTCCGTTGCCCGACGGAGTGATTGGCGATGCCTGGCGCGAGCGGGGTATGCAATTTGTTGGAGGCTCGGCGCTGTTTGATGACGGTGGCCCGTTGGCGATGACCGGCGACGGCCGCTTTCCGCTTTCGAAGCTTAGCCCGCGTTTGAACAATTTGTCGAAACTCCCTCGCACCCTTGCACTCGCGCTCAGATTACTCTCGCTCCTTCCATATGGTCCCAGTGACAATCCAGACGGACGTGAAGTAGCGGTCGAATCCCTCGGCTTCGCTCCGATGGGGAGCAGCGGCTCCCGACTGTGCTTTGTCGACTTCGGCGACTTCGGCGGGGTACGGATAGAGCTATGATTCAAATCTTCTGTGGACGAAAGGCCAATGCTGTCAGTTCCATCTGTCTCCGTTTCTTGCCTAGTGAAAGGGGCGAGGTGCACTGGGACGGCTGGGTAAACATCGGACGACATGATCGAGCCCGGACTTGACGGTCGGACCCACTGTACCGGCGAAGAAGAGCCATTGTTCGGTCTCTGTGGGTGGAAAAAACCAGCAGACGGCTGAATACCCGTCCCGTTCGACGGAGCGCTCCCCGTCCGGGGCTGGAATATAGGCAGGGGCGGAGGTGAAGAGAACAGCTCGTTTACTCCCAAAACATTTTGAGTACGGGAGCGGGCAGACGCAATCGAGCCCGACCGTGCATGCTGAGATGCGCTGGTCGTGCTTCCGCTGCGTGCTCGGCTTTGGCTCTGTAAGCGTTGAATAGCAGGGTTGGTGGTAGAGGAACTGGGTGAGAATGGTAGCTGCGTTGCTATTCTCTGCGAGTTGGATGGTAAAGAATGTGGTGTCGCCATAGGTGTTGCTGATCAAATACCAGAGGTGGGTCGAAGAATGTACAGTTTAAAAGGAGGGAATCCTGCCGTCCATGCAAAGAGAGTGGCTGTCTCGGACAATGCTATACCCACGAGGTAGCTTAGTGAGTGTGAAACGAAACTGGCCCACATTTCTTCCACGCACCTGCCAGCAAGGATATCGTCCAAAGGTCGGCAGGGGACACCGAGGCTGGTAGACGTGCACGACTGGAGGAGATGATGAGTCCAAGAAAGGATATGCCTTCACAGGCATGACCACCAGGGTCGTGGGAAACGGCAAGATCAAGCGCCCACCAGCTCATGATGCATAATCACTGGCCGCCCGTAGCTCTCTCTGTACGCCTCGACAGAAATAATTGATGGGTATCTGGTACGGTCCGCATGTAAACAGAATAGATATCGACTCTAACAGCTTCTAGCCTCCGAGCCATAAAAGCCTCTTGACTCCATACTCCATCTTCGCATACACACTCGTGTTCCGCTGTGCCTCTACTAAGCTGCGCAAACTGTTAGCACGTTAAGCACAACAGCGCCATATACCGTGCGCACCTTACGACATCCTCCTGTTTGATGGAAATTTCTTTTCCGCTGCCTGCTTCTGAACATGCACGGGCAACAGCATCGACCATTACGTCCACCGCCTCCTTGCAATTCGACACGCCGGTCAGTTCATCTGCTGGTTCAAAAAAGCTACCATTTTCCCTTCGACTGCGTGCAGGGTCGATGGGAAGCGCCTTGAACGCCGCAAACGTCGTGTCTTTGTTAAGCACAGGAGCCGCCGCCTTTGACAGGATGTTCGAGAGCGTGTTTGCCCTGCGCGGCCACGGTCGTGGTGAAGATGGTCTATCCGTAGGCTGCGGCGTGACAACAGCTTTGGGGGACGATGAAGGACTGGCAAAGCCAATGTTGTTTCCAATTGAATAGCTCGTGACACGGGTGTCTTGTCGGGCATTCCGCCAGGTGATCAAGAAACCGCAGTTTTGTAGAGGGTCGCGGCTTCCCTCTTCCAGAGGTGACAGAATGTACACGCCTAGCGGACGGTAATTAGCGGTTCAGAGTATGAAAATAAGCAAGCAGTATCACCTTTCGTAATCGATATAATATCTCCGAGTGGTACACGAGTATACATCTTTACTTTCTCCAGGGTATAATCATAGCTCTGCAAAATAATCAGAACAAGTTCCTAATCTCACCTTCAGCGCCACGCACAATTATATAAATAGCACCGACAGTCTGCAAGAAAGTCAGTGGCACATCATTCCTGCACGAAGTGGTGCGACTCACCAGTAGCAAGACCTTTTCCTCAAACTTGTCGGAAATCTTGACGTTCATCTCTGATGGCGCAAAAAGCGTCCATCCCGACAGTAGCCGTTCGCCTTCGGAGAGCACTCTTGAGACACAGTCCGCGATCGCTTCCGCACGAATCCTAGAGATCCGGATGAGATCCCTGGGATCGCTAGACTGCAGCTTGAGCAGGAACTCTGAGAACACGGAAATGGTACGGTTGCCAAGCATAAAGTCGATGACAGCCTGGCCGAACCAGTCGGCGAATGTCGAAGTGTACATCCTGGTATGTGTGTCAACAATGCGTCCGACTTGGGATATGCTCAAGGCAAGATACCTCGCAAGCGAATTCACCCCGTCGTTCAGCATGCCACCTAGGTCCCGCTTACCCGTCCTAGGGAAAGTCAGCCGTCAGGCACCGGCAGCAGTCGGAAGTACCGACCTCGTGAAGTCGCCCTTGGGATTAAAAGGTTAATACGACCATCACATCTTACGCGACTCTGAAACATACCTTCAGAGCGGATGTTCCAGCGCTGACAAATGTTAGACAGCGAAGATGAAGCTGCGGAACCATACTCACTATTCTCTGCTGATGGCATCGCCATTATTGGCCCACACTACGGGAGTACGTCAGGACCGGGCACCCGCCCTTCGCGGTGAGAAGCTTACCATCATTGAACACCACATCTGTTTCAGTCCTATGGCCGTCTGATGGTTGCGGCAAAGCGACTGCGCCAAGCTGTCTGCTCAGGACGTGTCGTGCGAAAGCAGACTGGAGAACGTGTGAGTCGAATACACGACGGAGCTACGCAAAACTGTTACTGACCTCTACGACATTGGTCCGATCGAGGCAGTCGATGCAGTTTACGCGGAACACGCCTTTCTGCTGCGACATGATGAGGTCATTGGAGATCCAGAGGTACCTGAAAGATGTGAGTATGAAATACGGTGACGGCAAGGATATGAAAGTATGACACACCCGTGACCCTCAAAAGTACGCTGCATCTTTTCAATCAGCTTTGAGATGTTCTCGTACCTAGAAAAGTTAATGTGGAGCTGGGAGGCAATTTTCATAAGGACTTACTTCATGCCCTTTGTCTCTGTATGAAAGTCGTAGTCGACATATCTGGCAGCACATTAAACATACATTTACGCCAGACAATGATAATATACGTACTGCACATCTTTCAAAGCACCTTCATGAATGTGGTCATGATAGGCATGTGTCACAACTGACTCTTTGCCATGCTGCTCGGCCAAATTCACAATGGTCTGATGAAATGCAAGCGAAAACCTCGTGAGCAAAAGGGTGCTGTAGCAACTCGGACGCGGCTACGACGTACAAGAGGTCCGTAGCGCTGGAGCAGACGTTGGAGGTGCCGTTTAAGGGCGTCCAGATTCTGTACGTGGGTGCGATCGGGAGACAGCACAGGCGCAGGTCTGAGACCGTATCCTGATTGACTCCAGAATAGCGGTACTGCGGCACTATATGTCAGCAAGTAATCCTTCAAGGGCAAAACAAGCCACGTAAGCGTACTTGACCCGCGAGTCTGAACATAGCTAAAGACGTTCTGGTGTCCTTCCCTCTTTGAACGACGTCAAGAGGTGAGACTATCCGCATCAAATGAAGCCTACCTCGACCCGCATAATAGTCTCTGTCTCAACGAAGTTCGCAATGTTCGCGTCATCGTCTATACCTCGTCTCTGGAATCGTAGACCAGCGCGATCCCTAGAGCGTCGCGAAATGAGAATATAGTCCACCACCGCAACGTCGCCTTCTTCAGATGCCTCGGGTTCTCGTGGTATACCAAAGTGCGCTAACTGGAAAAAGCCTTGCATGATCGGTAGCACGAATGTATGGAGCTATGTACAGTACTTCAGTATGGGGCAACGGATGGTAGAAATAGTGTTACATACGCCTGCGTCAAGCAGTGGTTTCGAAAGCCATTCGTTCCACCAATACTGCCGGTCGACGCGGCGCCACAGAGGCAGCGTGGCTGACGGATCGCCCACGACATGAACTTTGCCATCCTCCGGGCTCAGCATGCACTGTTCATCTACAGCATTGAGGTCAGATAGCAACGTGCTCCGCTTCTTAGCTTTCGATATCATCTCCTGCTTGTGTTGCAGTGACCGGGTAATGTCTGCAGCAAAAAGCCATTTTTAACGTTTATCACTGAAGTCGGAAAGCGCAGTTACCAAAGCAATATGCGAAGTACATGCCGCCTCTAGAGAATTGGTGCACAATTTCCTTGAGAATCTTCTCCTCCAGCTCTGTATTCTTCTGCTCGGTAGTCCCAGGTGATGGTGATTGCTGGTTCAGGATGGTATCGAGCACCTCAGAGGGTTCCTCGTCGCCTTTCTTGATAATAGCATCCAAAGATGTGCGCTCATGTATGGACGCTGAACTTGAAGGAGCAGGAGAGGGTTCCCTTTCTCTTTCATTTGCTGCAAGAGTCTGGCCAATAGTAGTAGCACTGTCTCGTCTGGACATCTTGTTCCAGAATGACAATCTATCTGCCAGTGTTTTCGCAATGTTCCCGGTCATGACGGAAAACTCGGACGATGGCGTCGACTGCGCGGAGTCGGAGGGGGATGACATGCCGGTGTTGGGTTCAGACTCATCGTCTGAGACTCTGCCAAAACCCTGTGCAGATAACGGAGTCATGACCTTGACCTGCTCTTCTTGCGCGAAGGTGACACGAGGGGTATTAGGGTCCTTCGTGTCGGGTGTACCTGGGACGTCATCTATAGAACCTGGAGCAGAGACGGCCCCGGTAGGAATGAGAGACAATCGTGGGTTCACGTTTCTGCGCGTTGCAAGTAGCTTGAGAGCGTCCCTGGCGCGGCCTTCGACCAAAGGGATAACTGCAACGTTCTTGACCGAAAACACTTCCTGACTAGAATCAAGAACTAGAGAAGCGTGAACACAGACGGCTCGACTTGGGAATGCGCGTGTGCATACGCACCATAACCGACCTCATCCCGCCCAGACACCACAAACAGATGGGATGCTTTTCGTTACAAGGTGACATGAGCTCCTCATTCCAGTCTCAAGAGAGTTAGATCACCTGTGAATAAGCTCATGATACCAACAATGCCGTACACAACTACGCTCTCGGACCAGTCCAGCCCGTCACCTGCTCCATCGGTCTGAATCTCCTGTATAAGGCCCTCCTTGCCCCATGCTATCCGAACGTGTGACTCGGGAAGGACACCTTGCAGTAGATGCGGTCTTAGCAAAAGGCCTTCAGGAGAGGCCAGAATTGCAATGTACTCGTGCGGGCAGGGATGCGGGCTGGGCGGAAGCGTAAATTTCGGCTGAAGAGCCGGGATCGCGTGCGTCGTCGCAGGCAGGGCCGATGGAGGCTTGGGCGATGGAAGAGCCTGCTTCTTGAACGGCTTTGTGAAGAGCTTCTTCATTGCACGAAATCTTTCGCCGTTGACTCTGCAGGCTCACGTCGTTGCAGCTTGCAGGTCGCCGTCGCGGCAGGGTACAAGCTTTGGGCGTCCACTCTCCTCCAGAATGACATCAGGCGTCTTATGGCACAGGACGCCGAATCCGTTGCAGAAATGTCCAGATCTTACGTTCACAAAGTCACAGAAAAGCGTACAGATACAGTGTCAGTGTGTACATGAAGGATGAATTATGCTTGGTCAGAGACTTCTCATGCAGGCTGGGGGTTCGCCGAAGTCTTGCCTTCGACGCGTATATCGTAACCATAACCGCCACGACCCTCTGGACCTTCGTAGTGCATCTTGGAAACATCGTAATTTCCTGCGGCAGACCAGAGCATAAGATGATGCAGAATAAATATCAGTGCAGAGAACATACCGATGAACTTCCAGCCATCCTCTTGGACGTGATAGAGGTTGATAGTGTTACCAGAGAACGCGTCTCGGTGACCAGCAGCATAAATACTCCTACGACCAAGCTCTTGCGCTTCTTCGTCTGTCAGATCCCACCGATAGCCTTGGTCAAGCACACCGTACGCGAACGTGCTTCCGGAGCCGACAGAGAAGAGATCACCCTTCAAGCGGGTGCCGTCCGAGTCGACATAGTAAACAGCGGGACCTGTCTTGTCCCAGCCGCAGATCATCGTTCCCTGTAGAGTACATCATTCAGACCACAATAGCTGAATGTGAGGCACATGCGTACCATGCTCAGGCCCATACCCTTGTAGCTATAGACCAGATTGCTGAGATACTTGCTCGCCGCCGCCACCGAAATACGTTCGCGGTTCCGGAGCTCGTGCAGTCGGCATTGGATACCAAGATAAGTCTCCCAGTACTGACAGTCAGCTGCATTTATGCTTAGAGTGTACTTCTCGTATTGAAAACATTGGTTACATACCGGCACCGCCTGCCATAGTTCCAAGAAGGTATGGGTTGATCTCAATGACCTTCTTCACGGTTCCCGAAGCTGGACGGGAGAAAATAATAAGCTGAAGAGTCAAGACCACAAGAGGACATACATACCAATATAGCTTCCAGCAGTTGCACGAGAGTCGACAGCGACAATGACGCCTCCCCGGAACCGGAAAGCAAGGGTGGTTGTTCCATGTTTGATTTTGATTCTGCAAGACGGGTCCGCAAAGTCATCTGTGTGCAACCTCAGAAACGCAGAGGGCTGAAGTCGTCTAAGCATGAATGTATGCAGATCAAGACCATGTCACGCACGTCCGGAACGGCAGGGATATTAAATTTTGGCACGCCGCTTGCGAGGTTGCCAAAGCTCATAACGTCTGCACCATCTTCCTCCTCGCCGAGGGCTTGTCTGGCCCTCCTCATCTCCGCTGCGGGCCCTGTGGTTGAGAAACGTTGTACGAGGGAGTTCATGGTGGAGGGAATAAGAACGAAACAGGTAGGCTGGTGGTAGACGAGTGAGCTTGAGGTGACGCGGCCGACGCGTCCGCGGTACATAATCGCACGTGGCGATGGCGCCCGCCGTTAACCATCATGCATCATGGTTGAAGGCTTATGATTATACTACTACAGTATACAAAATCACGGAAATAGATACAAGCATGATTGCAGTAAAGAGTTTGTCGAGAGATACACCACAGAAAAAAGGAGTAAGCAGACCTCATGTTACCGTAACGATTTGTCCCTTTCCATCTTTCAATATGACCAGTTCACAATCGATCTTCTCGCCCGTATCGCCGCACACGACATCCGTGAGGTCCAGAGGGTCGACCTTGATTTGTCGCGCCTCCCAGAAAGACCGACCGAGGACAACATCAAAGTGTGCCTCTTCTGAAAGGTACACCGTATGCATTGTCTTATTACGTCCCACTTTGATAGGCCAGCTACCCAGGCTATACACGCTGGTCAGAACAAGGAAGAGGGTAATGGTGAAGCGTACTTACTTGACTAGGCCGCTATAACCATAGTGACCTGGCGTAGCATCTGCCGGTATAAATCCGTGGCGAAGGGCAAACTTTCGCGATATGTAAACGTGTCGGTATCCGTTCTTCAAAAGCATCCGGACTGTGTGCGTATCATAGATTAAGTGATTTGAATACGCGCCAGAAGCAGAAGAACCTACCATTCTGAACGGGACCTATATTTCCCAGAATCGTGCGAACACCATTCTGACTGTGAAACTCCTCGAAGTGTTTCCTGTGGTCGGGTATCGCATCTTTGGTCTCTGATTTGGTAGTCTTCCGAGACTTGCCGCTCCTGACTGACTTCTGCGACCCCCCTGAGGCTGCACGCGGAGGGGTCTGTGGTAGAGGCTTGGGACGAAACTGATAGTAGGATGGGTTTTGATATGCGGGTGCGCGGGGAAGGGGCTGGTGGGGGTCGTGGACGTGGAGGACCGGACGTGTGCCTGCCTCTACAGATTTCTGTCTCCAAACGAAAATAGTGTAGTCTGACTCTACATTGAGAAAGATATCAGCTGAGACGTGGTGTGTACATACAGAAGGACTCACCATCGTCGAGATTCCACGTTGAATCGTTCCAGGAGTACTTGACCCACTCCGGTCCTACAACCTGGCCATTGTATGCATTGTACAGTTTCCTGGTCAACTTGTCGTAGAGCGTCTCTAGAGAATCTTCGCTATCTGCATGCATTGTCAAAATGGTGAGATCTTTGTCGCTAAAGACACATGCTTACTCGAGTAGACGATGGCAAACGATGAGGAGGGCGTGTGCACTTCAAGGATGGGCAGCTGCGGGTCTGCCATCGAGGGGTTGGTGAGATTTCAGGAAGGCCACACCGAAGGCTTCAGATGCACATGAGAGGAGAAGACTAAGGAGCACAAGACAACTAATAGGAGGACGGACTCCGGCTAGGCGCACCGCGCCCAAGACGCGACATGCGTCATGTGGCCGTCGATCGTTCAGACTCGTTCGGTCACCCGCACCGCCGCATATGGCAGGCGTCGCAGTCCGAGACAAAGCATTGCATTCGGGTCTGACAGGCTACATTCGAAACTACGATTGGCACTGGGAGTAGTAAGGCGCGGAAACAGCCACACAGGTGAGGCCCGAAGCACAGACAGTCGGGCCAGTGTAACCGGTACCTCCGCACTAGAAATCGCGATTCTCGTCAGCAGGACTACTTCAAGCGTTGCCGATGTTATGCTAACCTGGCCCCACTAGACGCAGAAGATATATTAGCATATGTGTCATAAAGCGACGCACAATCGACTGACTCACCTCGGTCTGGACTGCAGTGGGTGCCGATGAGGTGGTGGACGGGATACTGCTGGTAGTGCTCGGGAGGCCGGTAGTGGTTGGCACAGCAGAAGTGGTGGCACTACCACTGATATAGGAGCTGTAAGAGTCAGAGTGTGCCGATGACAGATCCAATCCAAAGAAGTCGAAGTCGTCGTGCTCCTGAATGACCGAGTCGACGTCAGCGGGATCCGATGGCTGGGTGGTTGTGGCGACAACGTAAGCGACCACCGAATCGGAGGTGAGGTCACCGTTGCCGAGAGATCCGTCTTCCCAGGTAGTGCAGTTCTGATACGCTATGAGCCATCTCAGTCATACACATTTAGTGGATGTACTAACCTGGCACCTAAACGTGGCCCTGATGTGGGTGCTATTGACGGCCGAGCTAGGCAAAAGCGTGATCTGCGGGCCAGCGTATGCAAGCGGTAGAACGTAGCCGCTGCAAAACTATCAGCATGGTGGATGCAATTCTCCGGATAAACCTCCTCACGAAGTCCAACGAGGGCCAAGGATAATTTCGTTGTCGTATGGCCAGAGGGTGAACAGAAGACTGTCTGCCATGGTGCCGCCTACACTGAGGCCTGTGTAGCCATTGGTGACAGGCGCCACAAGTTGGACAATATATTCATTGGATGGGGGAGTTGAGAGGGGGGGAAGGACGAAGCCAACAGTCACATCCAGCTCCGGGTCCTGATACACGGGTTAGCTCGAGCGATTGAGAGTTATGTTGACAGCCTCACCGTGTAACCTAGGAAGGTAATACCACTGAAAGAATCGACGTATTGGGTGGCAGACTGAGCCAGTACTATGTCATGCATTAAGGTTTGAACCATACTTTTGGGTATGTTTGAGGGTCAACTTACCGAACACGGCACCGGTCAGAGCAGCAAGCAGGCTCTTGAAGACCGCCATAATTTTAACACCTCGTGGTAGCGGATGCTGAGATATGTCCAGCGCAGGATGTTGTAGCTTTTATACCATGCAGTGGTTATACGTGCTAGCCGTGTCCGCTTGCGCAAGCGAGAAACCACCTGCACTTTCGCCGTCGTTGAGGCGAGAAAGTAGCATCCCCGCGTTCAGATTGGACCCACCGGCGCACGAGAGCTAACACGCCTATTATTCATAGCACATTCGGGCGATTGGGCTCCACCTTCGCTCATCAGGTTGTGAAGAAGCATCTTTAACCGTGGTTAATCCAGGAAATCAGGTTGACAGACAAACATACACAGGACGCATTGGCATACCTTAACACCCAGATTCATATGTCTTGTCTTACGCTGAATGCAATCATTCTCGTCTGAACATCGACTTGAAAGCGTACACAAGGTTTGCGCAGCTAAGCAGAGACTGGTCATTCGGTCGTGTTGCAAGATGGAGGCTAGGTATCGGTTTGGTTCCTTGGATTGCGCTGTGATCTAATTTTGGATTCCGCCGAAAAGCGAACCGATCAAACTTCTTCCCGCGTCTCGCGTCCAGCGTGCTTTCTCCAGCTCTCCATCTAGCTCACCAGAGCCGTCAACTGACCACCTTCGACCAAGGATCTTCAATCGTGAGGTCGTAAATAAAACATGTCTGACCCTTCTTCCCGCCCTAAGGCTTGGCCTGTCGCTGATGCTGAGCTTAATGACCAGGTACGTTTCTCCAGTATTGTTCCAGCCAAACTTTCGGGGTGCTCACTCGCCTTGTACTATCTTGTAGATCCTTGATCTCGTTGAGAAGGCTTCTCAGTATAAGCAGCTGAAGAAAGGTGCTAACGAAGGTATGTACATTCTGTGCTTTGGTTCCATTAAACCGCTTACAAGCCATTTACAGCCACCAAGACCCTAAACCGTGGTATTGCGGAAATTATCGTCCTAACTGAGGATACCGAGCCCCTCGAGATTCTTCTCCACCTTCCGCTTCTTTGCGAGGAGAAGGTGCGTCGTATGTCAGTGCTCGTAGATGCCGTGGGCCTGAGTCATTTTTCGTAGAACGTCTCATACATTTTCGTTGCATCGAAGGCTGCTCTTGGCAGGGCTTGCGGTGTCTCCAGGCCTGTGATCGCCGCGAGCGTCACCACAAACGAAAACAAAGAGCTCTCGAGTCTCATTCAGACCATTAAGCGGTCCATAGACAAGCGCATGGTGTAGAACTAGGCTCGTCCCATGCCGGTTTCTTGTGAAACCTGCAGTAAGACGCACGTGGTCCCCCACGGAGCGCAGCGACTGGACCTGGCTGGCGAGTCTAGTGTAGAATACGTATGGATGTATAATTCAGAGACCAGGTCTGGACATGTGTCAGCGTGTGACTACCGTACACCGGGATACCTAACGTGATGGGAAAGCGATATACGAAAGCAAAAGGGTAATATGATCTACAAGATGATGTCAACAGAGCTAGCCAGCATATACAGCTACAAAGAGCGAAAACTGAACCACCGAATGTTCTACGTTACTTCGGTATGTTCTCCCTCGCCTGTTGACGAACACGTCGTCTGGTTTCATATATCAACTAAACCGCATGCTGCATAGACAACGGATCCACGTACTCATATGCCTGCTTGTCATTCCTGATAGAAGATGCGCGAGAGCCAGTCAGGGTCAAAGAATTTAGAACGGCCTAGAAGCTACGCACTTGAACATGGTATATGCGTCACTCTGCGCGGGATCATTGACATTGGGGTCATTAAGAAGTTCTTGGATACCGAGAAGGACCTTCCGAGGGTTACGATGTGAATATGTGTGGGAGGTCCCGAGGTCAAGCGGACTTACCTGCTTAATAGTTATTGCCGGCTTCCAAGATTTCTCCTCGTCAAGGATCGAGAGGCACACAGTCCCAGATGGGTACACGTTGGGGTGGAACAGAGGCGGCGCGAATTTGCCTGGAGTGGTGTGAGCATTCGCGCACTGTCGCGGCTGCAGTTATGCTGACTCACACTTTGGAGGCTTTGAAGGGTAGTCTAGGTGAAGTAACGGTTCTCAGGACGACCATATGTTGAGAGAGTGAATGTGCAAACCTTCGGGGAATGTCATCACGAGCTTATAGACACCTCCTTCCCATGGCGTCTGCAGAGCATGCGTTCAGAACGGCGCGCAAAGATTACACCAAGACTTTAGGAAGCATACGCACCCCTTGCTTTCCTGGGATGCCGACCTCCCATTCGAGCAGATTCATGGAGCCATCCACAGCCTTGGTTGGTTTCGCGTAGAATCCCTGGCGGAATACGGGCTCAGAAGACAGGTCCACACGGACAATGAGCAAAGGATAACGTACAAATGGGTGATCCTTTCGCCACTGCTTCCGCTCTTCAGCAAGCCGAGCTCTGCAGATGCCTGACATCGTGAGGTCGTAAGTGAGAAAAAGAAGGACAAGGGCGGTGTGCAGTGAAAGAGAGTTAAATGAGCGTCTCTTCCATTAGCACTGACTTCCCGATTGGGGGACTGAATTGATGGGAAGGTGAGTTCTGGCCTCGAAGTCGGGTGGACCTTTGAATAGCTTTGAATCCGCCCTGCATCGTCCTCCTCGCGCGCCCTCAATAAATGAGATGGAAAATACTGCATTGGCGTAGTGACGTAAAAATACCGTTGAATATCTTCGATCGATGCTCAAGGTATCGTCTCGACGCTGCTCAGGTACCCCATGACATTACCGGGACGTGGAATGCGAATAGAACCCCGTCGCTGCTCGTGCGACTAGGGTGCGACAAGGGCGAGTCTTTGTTTGCGTCTGTGATGAATGCAGAAGCATTTTGACTGATACAACGGAGAATACAGGGTCTAGTGATAGGAGCGGGATGAAATCACTCATTATTGACGTTCTTGGACTGTTCGCCTCCTTATCGTCTATTATCGTCTGCCATGACGAGCGACGAACTGCGGCTGGCTGGGGTGAACCTCCTGAAAAGTCAGGCGCTATCCGAGGGGCAATGTGCATCCTGTAACGTCCGTGGAAGCTCTTCCCATCTTTTTGAGGTAACGAGCTCTCCGACGAGTTCCACTTCTGGTCCGTATCTGCTAACATGAAGGCACCTGCGCCTTCACAGGGAGACTGCAGCCGAAAGCATGCAACCCGATTGAATAATTTACCGGGACACAGTTCGTCCCTTGGCGGAGGTGCTATTTAACGTGTTAACCTCCGTGCTCCTTGGAACGGACACTAACCTCAGTACCATGGATGAATCAGATGAAACCTCCTCTACGAGGCGTGCAGGAAGCCCAGCACCTTCTCTATACTCGCTGACGTCGTCGGATGAAAGACTTATTGTAAGCGCACCACTCTGTCGGGAGCTTTACTTGCTCATCAACGGTATAGCTGAGGGAGGCTTACGGCAGAATCGTGAACTCGCAAATCGAGGTAAATGCATTTTCTGTTCGGAGACCACATCTTCCAGCTGAGGGCCATGTTAGTCCTACTTTCTGCCCGCTGTAAGTGTCGCCACAGTTCACGACTGGCGATCATAACTCGTAAAATCAGGACTACGAAGAGCATCAGAGACTGAATTTGCAGCATCGATTATACACCATGGTATTAGGAGCTTTATACCCGGCTGCTCCGCTCGTGCGCTGGGCGTTGCGTCCGCGACCAGATAGAAGGCCTGGCATCATGGATGTAGGTGCTGGCAGTGGCAGCTGGTGCGTGCGCATCGCTGGGGCGATAATTTCCGAGTGTGATGAAAGCGAGCAGGGCGGTCGATATGGCACGTGAGTTCCCACATTGCGACGTCGTCGGAGTGGATCTTGTCCCACCCAGAGTGGTAGAGTAAGCGATAATTCTCGGCCTAAAAGATGCGAAACCTAACTGTCACTCAGACAGTTGCCTGAGAATTGCCGGTAAGTTCCCAGGGCTCTTCGATTGCTCTTGGTTCTCGATCCTCAGCCGTTGCCACTCAGGTTTGAGATAGACGACGTGTGTGCCGACATCCTCTCTAGGAATGTACTCACTTTAGCTAACCAGAGACTAGGCGAACCTCGGCTTCGCTCACTTTCGGGAAACTCACGATGTTGTCCATGCCAGAGCGGTCTCTATGGGTGTCAGCATTGTATCGTGAACTAGTCCCACCGCTCGAGTGCTCACTTCTTGGTTGTCAGATTCGCGATTTTCCTGCGCTGCTAAGGGAGCTCGCTGACACTTTGCGGCCCGGAGGCATGTTACTTCTTGGCGACGGTGAAATGCAGCTGTACGATGAGCAGCGACAGCCACTTCAGTATACGGAACAGGATGCTTCATGGGTACAGCGCGTCTTCTTCGCCGCCTACAACGCGATGAGGAACCGAGGTGGCTGCATGGACTCAAATTACATGAGTCCTACTTGGCTGCGGTCGGTGGAGTCACTCACAGATGTGGGGTGGGATAAGGTTTTTGTACCCATCGGACCATGGATCTATGGTGAGAAGGACAGCACCGCTTGGTCACCTACCATATGGTCGCTGATCATTCGCGCTGTAGCAAACGACAAGGAGAGGGTGCTCGCTGAGATGCTCCGTGCAAACACCCTGGCTTTTATCTCCACACTTGGACCGCTTCTCTTGAGGCATGCGCATCCTTTCTTTCCCCGTGACTGCTAGCTGACTTCCCTGTTAGTGAGGGCTACCTGAAAGAGAGCGTTGAAAAGATGCAACGAGAAGCGTCAGCTGAGATACGGGACCTTAGAGTTCACATCTATACTCGCTGGAGCTTCGCTTGGGCGATGAAGCGGTTTTGAAGAGCTGCAGGTTGGAATTCTTCTCGTGGACGTGGGCGTTCAACAGGTGGTGATCCTACTATTATTCTCCCCAGCTCACGGGAACTCCACACGAAAGAGATTTCAGAAATGCAGAAGGATTGTGTCATGTCTTGATTTCTTCTGTAAACTCTATGACTTTTATCTATCTTTTCTCGAATTTCCGGGAAAAGCCACGTGAGGCTTGGGCTGGAGTACAAGCGCCGTGTCCCGACACCTGCGCTTATTCACGAACGTCGACCACGACATCGAGAGCCTCGCCGCTCATGTCTGCGTTCTCGACGTTCCTACGCCCTTTACCTGCGACTCGCAGAACATATTCTGTCTTTTCGAAACCTGGCGGTGGCAGATACTTCAACTCCGCCAAACCTCTCCAAGCAACCAACAAGAAGGTCGATGCCTCGAGCAACGCGAATACCGAGACGCAATCCTCGTCAGATCCTACGGAAGACTCGTCCACAGCTCCCCCTGGTCAGTCTGTGAATGACGCAAAGTCGTCCATTGTCACGCCCTCGCTTGGTGTCGGCTTCGCTCCCTTCCACTCGCCAGTGAACCCACATGATCTCAAGCTTCACCAGTTTTTCTCCTTGCACCGACCTCTGCTCAACATCGGCCAGCCAGGAATTACCATATTTGACCCTCTGCCCTCGTCGTTCACGTTTCCCCCGGAGACCGACGCGGAGACGGCCAAATCCGGATCCCTCGAGGATCCACCAGAGGCCTCGCTCGAGTCAGACGCTGATGCCGCACGGCAGCTTGCAAGAGCAATGGTGACGAATAGGATCAGTGCTGCGCTCTCGTGGGAGCAGACGTTGCAGAGGCTGGGCCTGAATGAGACGAAGGGTCGAGCTGAGGAAGTGAGCGCTGCTCAGGCGGAGTTCGACGCGTACATGGATAGTACCAAGAGGAAGAGGCGCAGGAAGATGAAGAAGCATAAGTACGTATACTTTCACTTGTCATGTACTGGCCGTAGCTTATGTACGCTTCTTTCCAGGCTGAAGAAGAGGAGACGGGTATGTACTCTCCTCACTTGCCCGTACATGATACTAACTCTGTTGGGGTGCAGCTAACTCGGATGCAGGAGGAGAACCGGGGGAGGAAATAGGTTTCATGGTATTTGTCGCGACATTCAGTTCCCGCACGCTCAGTTTGTTCGTACTTCCAACACTTTCAACATCATCATTTATCGATTTTGCCATCCACGACCGTTTCACCTGATACCATCTAAGAGCGCCCTTAACGCTTGATTCGCCCGGCATGCCAATTCATTTATGATCCCGTGGACAATTATACAGAAGGTGCGTTTACCGCGTGCGTTCGGGGCGAAGGTACGTTGCATATTCGTTCACGCCTATAGTGAGCTTTAATCCCAAAAGTTCTCTGAGTCTGATCCATCCATCGCTATCGCGCATGTACGTCTGAACTACTTCGTTGGGTATACACGTGTTCGTGGTACATCTGCTAGCTCGAGAACTTGGTCTACAGGAATCCGTCAGATCTGGCTTCATCTCTCGATTTCTCCAGCTGTTTACCCTCCTCGCAATATCCTATGGAGTACCTCGCACCGTGAGTCATGTTGCTTATGTAACTTACCTGTACTCGTAGGAGATCGAGAGCAGGTGACCTGTGCTTCTGATGGTACCAAACTTGCTGAACCCAGCCTACTTTCCTGTAGGCGAACGTGGACGGACTGTCTGCCGAGTCTTGCCGATGCTCTGGAACTTCTGCCAGCGCCGAACCCTATGTATCGGTGAACTAATGTTTTTGATATGCGTTGCATTCGCTAATGAGGCGATCTTAGGATGGGCTTATGACTTACAAGCGATACACCGATGTAACGATGCGTGGCGTACTCACTACGGCACACGATTGGACACAACAGCCGTGAGCCCGTATATGACACGATCGACCGCAGACAACTGTTATGAGAAGTCACTTATGCATCTTCTATTACAAAATGCTGCGGAACAAATTTAAGTGGCCCATTATCATCAGTACATGGCAGTGCTCCTCGTGTTCTGTACTCCTCGGCTTGCCACTGTACTTCCGTAAGTGGCATATACGCAAAGTGCCGTAATGATTGCTCCTCACTGACGAAAATACATTTCAGTTCCGGCCATTGTCCACGCGCTCTCGATGATGCGATGACCTGTCTCCTGGGACTCGGCGACAAGGGTCTCTGCCGACGGAGAACTTTAGTGGCGACCCTTCGTGTCAGCGCCATCTATGACAAGATTGTGATCTCTGTGGGCTTTTGCTGTACATTTTAGCCGACGCTACGTGCTGACAGTTCACGCGCTGCACGATGCCATACCCTCGAGGTTGTTTCGTAGATCGCTGAACGGCGACACACCTGCTACTGAGCGGCCGCAAACCTTCGTCGCGTACTCGCAAAAGGTTAAATCGTGGGATCCAATAACTACTTTTGTGCAAGTAGCTTATGCTGAACGCAGCCCGCCGACTAAAAACTTAAGCTTGCGGTCGGCGCACCGACATAAAATGTGGAACACATGGACGCGTTAGGGCATGGGCGCACTTGAGCACATGCTCTCTCTCTCCTATCGGTGGTAAAAGCATCCGGACGCGCAGCGACTACCCGCAAACGGATCTACCCAGGGTGCATCGTGTATATGGATCTTACAGCTGGCGACGTCCCCGAGCGCAGCGTCCTAGTGCCACAATTCTGGGCCCCGAGACAGCTCTATTAGGCAGGGGCGCTTTTCCGAAAGCAGCCTCATTCGGTGAGTCAAAAAACGATCCTAGGGTGATTGTTTCTTGAGAGAACATTCAGGATTGAACCATCATGTTCGGCAGATGCGCGCTTCTCCGAGGGCGGGCGAGCAGCGCACAGGTTTTGTACGGCACTGGCCCGAGTTGACTTGACCAAAGAAGCCGAATTCGCGCGACTCTGATTTTCTTGCAGTAATTACTTTTTCTCCTTGTGTTTGGCGACGTGTTTGTGTCACTTACTCTAATTGTTGATAAAGGCCGCCGTCAGCACGAGCCACGTCCTGCAAACCCACGACGTTGCTGTGAATCACTCTCGACCCGTAACATAATGAGTATTCACGACGGTGGATACCCCGACGGCGAGGGCGGTTCGAGCCGCTCGACTCACTCTGGGTCGAGCGGTCACTCATCGCCCTCGTCATCGCAATCCTCTGCTCGAGGCGAGATTCCTCACGGAGGGATGTTCCCCATGGACCCGCCGTCGCCGCCTCGCTCAGCGTCGAGAGACACCGCCATGCCCACCACGCTCAACTTTATCCGACGGCCCGACAGTTACGCCACAAATTCTCAGCAAGGCAGCGGTCGTCCACGGCGACCATCGCAGAGCATGCTCGTGAACGGCCCATACACCTCGCCCACGGGCCAATACCGCCCGGCTGCAACCGCTCACTCGTCATCCGGAGGGTCGAGCTCAGCCTCAAGCTCGCGGATGGTCTCTCACACAGCCTCGCTGGCCCACATGTCCTCAGAAGACATCGCCGCTAGTCTGACTTGCCCCGCCACTCACTCCAGCCCAGCCGCAGCGCCTAGCACCGCCGCGTCGTACAATGGTCGTGGCAGTGGCAGATATGCAGTCCAGGGTCAGCTCGCTGGGTATCCGCCGGATTACACACCTCCAGGCTCCCGCCCTCACGATCAGCCCGCCCCGTCCAGGGCCTACTACGGTGGCGGCGGAATCTCGCAGGGACGCAGCACACAGACACATTCCTCCCAGCACCCCTATCAATATCAACGCAGCAGCCATCCACCTCAGGCGGGTCCGATGACCTCTAACCAATATGCCTGTAACTCTCCCTGGTCTCCGCATCCCGGGTTTCCAAGTAGCTCGACCGCCAATGGGAACGACCGGGGCCGGCCGTCTCGCCGTCGTGAGATGGACAGAAATTGGGACCGTAGCGAGAGCAAGCGAAGGGATTGACAGTGGGATATCTTGTTCTCGTTGCTGAGGTTGGGAATGCTGGTGACAGATGCCGTGTCGCGTTGAATGATGGCCAGTCTTTTCTCCGCCTTCAGGCTGCTCTTATATATGCCCGCTATAAAACAGCAACCGGTGTTTTCCCTCTTTTTTTGTACCATGCCTCGAGGCTCCGGCTCTCTCTGCATCGCTTCGCGCACCGTGCCCAGTCGTAGCTACGGACGTCTGTCATGCATTTCCATTGTTCTTCATCGCCTTTACAAGTCTGTGCTTTGCGCCTCTCCCTCTGCTTTGTAGACTGATCTGTCCCTTTAATCAACGCGAACATATCTCTGATATCTTGGTGCAGGAACTATGTTCAAGAATCAAATCATATAGCTGCGGTATTCTGCGGCACGCGCTGAGTTTCCAAGCGGTCGCCGCGGTTGCAATAAATGGGCGCTTCTTCAACGTCATGATGAGCTTGCCCCGCACCGCGCAGTGCGCACCGCCTGCCACCCCGCGACCACGACGCGCCTCGCAGACCGCGTACCAACCTCGACATGGCCAGCGAACGACTGCTCGTTCAGATTGCCTCCTACAACACCAATCTTCAGGCCGAGCGCGGCCTGCCGCAGGACCTCATCGACTGGCTTGCCCCTACCTTCCAAGTTTCCAGGTTTCTCGCGCGAGAGCCAAGGACGCCGGACATTGTGGCGGTCGGATTCCAGGAGCTTTTGCCTTTGCATCTCGGATGTGAGCACTCCTTTTCAATCTGCACCCTTCTTGTTCACAGTCCCGCGCTTCGAAAGTATCTGGGCTCTCTAGCAAGGTCATAGAAAGCCGCAACGCCCTCATCCTCTCCCAAATCGAGAAGTATGCCCCGAACAAGGAGAAATACGCCCTGATCGCCAAGGTCGTGAACGTCGGCGTTGCACTGCTCGTGTACGGTCTCGACGACGGTGTCGCTCGCAAGGTGACTGACGTTCACACGCATTGGACGGGCTGTGGGCCCGCATACATGGGGAACAAGGGTGCCGTCGGCGTGCGTTTCAGCGTGCCCGCAGACGACGGTGGCGTAGGCGAGGTCTTCACGTGCGTATCCCCTCCCTTGTCGTGGTCGTGGAGCGGATATGAATTTAATACGCAGTGTACGTACACAGCTTCGTCTGCGCGCACCTCACCGCACACCCGCAAAAACTCGAACAGCGCGTGCGCGACTACCACCATATCACACGCACACTGCTCTTCCCGCCGCTCCCGGGCGCTGCATCCAGTAATCCCACAACAATGTACGACACCTCGCACTTGTTCTTCTTCGGCGACCTCAACTTCCGGGTTGTCCTCCCGCCGGAGCACCCGCTCGCGCAAAGCCCAAATACGAGCGCCGATATGGCACATGTACTCGAGCAAGAGAGCGTTCGTGAGGATTTAAAGGAGTACGATCAGCTCCTGCTCGAGCGTGACCGCCACGGCCGGGCATTTATCAGTCTGCGTGAGGGCGAGTTCTGGCGCTTCAAGTGCAGCTACAAGTATAAGCTCGGTGAAGTCGACAAATACGAGCAAGTGTACATCGTCCGTCCTCTCTGCTAAATGCTAACCTCATTTATGCTGCAGCCTCAAGCGACACCCGTCCTGGACGGACCGTATCATGTACGCGACATACACCGACAACCCCGACAGCCCCACAAAATCCCACATCACAAACGCGCTCTACACTTCGATACCCTCATACACCACCTCGGACCATGTAAGCACACCCACTCTTCCTTCCCCACCCATGCTAACCTGTGCCATCCCCAAACAGAAACCCGTCGTCTCAGTGCTGCTCCTTCCACCAAGCCTGCCACAGCCCACGCTTCCCTCACCGCCACCAACACCTCTGGGCTCGAACGCAAGCCCTCAGGACGGCTCGCCCTCTTCCGCACCGACGCCCCCGATGCTGCGCCTGCCCATACACTTCCACCCACGCCCAGACACCTACGCCAACCTCAAGCGGTACACCGGCCGGACTCTGGACAGGCTCGTCGGCTACTGCTGGTCGCTCCTTGTCTTCCTCGGTGCAGGTTCGTCCATCCTCGGCATTGGAAACTTCATCGTCGGCCTTGGGGTGTGGAGCTGGTGGCGGACGCGCCCGAGCATTGGGCTTGCGGTATAGCGCGGGGATTCGTCGAGACGGAGGCCACCTTGACATGCACAAGACGTTTCACGGACTGTTTTGAGTCTTGCGAAGGAGCACGTCTATTTAAGATACGTTGTGTGTGTGCGTACGTGTGTTACATTGTACTTGGGGACTATGATATGTTGGCTATGGAGACAGCTAGACTATGTTCATTCAGGAGCGGTACTGTGTAGGTAAGAAAGAATTTAGCGAAGAATAGACTTCCAGGGCATATTGCAAGTGGTTGGCATAGTAGTGCAGATGAGCATGAGTTGATATTACAACGGCGTTCAGAGGACAGGAGTCGACTGAGACGAGGCAGCCTTCCCGCCAGCGTCTTCGACGACGATCCGGGGAACGTCAGTGTCGAACTCGGGGGTGAACACCTCTTCCTCGTCCTCGCTCGCGGAACCAGGCCTCTCCTCCTCACCCGCAGTGCCCGCTCGGGGCAGACGCACGAGCGTGAGGAACGCAAACGCGACGAGGACGCTCGCGCTCGTGACGAGGAAGATCGCGGCGGGGAACGTGCGCACGGTGCTCATGAACGTGAAGCCGTACAGCGCGGGGCCGAGCACCTGGCTGCAGAGACTCTGCACGACGCTCATTGCGCCGAACAGCCGGCCGCTCTCGGTCCCGCCGCGGAGCGTGTACAGCCCGAGCGCGACGCTCTGCAGCGCGGGCCCGAAGCCCGCGCCGAACGAGCCGAGCACCGTCACGGCCGTGTACCGAAGCCCGTTCGACGCGAAGGGGACGAGCGCGTACGAGATGACCTCGATCACGAGTGAAACGCGGGCGAGCCCGAAGTCGAGAGCAATGCTGCGGGAGGTGTTCGTTGGTGTTGTTTGCTTGGGCAGGGATTCGGTCCTGGGAGAGGAAGTGGATGGCTGCGAGGCGGGCTGCAGTGGCTCGTCTTGTTCGATCGGTAGTTTGATGGATGGCCGCAGTAGATACTTGATAAGCTTGATCACCACTGTGGCCGAAGATCAATATAGTTCGAAGGGCAATAGGGCGTGCCTTACGGGGTAGAAGCACCGTCAAGTATACCGCGCGAGTGACACCGACAGTAGTCAGCCAATAACCAATCTGAGCACTGCGTCAGCTGACTTGCATACAGCTCGAATACCAGGACACGCACCTGCTCAGAGTCCCAACCAAAAGTGACACTCGTGTACTGAAACTTGTACGGGTATGCGCCCATCACCGAGATCGTGAACCCATACGCAAGTACGATGTACAACAGGTTCCAGTCGCGCTTGCCGCGCTTGAGCGGGTTGATATGATCGCGCACTCTGGTGGGGTAGAAGACAGCGAGCGGGCGCAGGAAGCGGAAGAAGCCCCCCAACCGTGCGCCGAATCCGTGCGCTTTGGGCGAGAGTCGTTCCTCCTCCAGCTGCTCGCGATAGACGCGCCGCGCCTCGATCATGCGCCGGTTGCTAAGAGATTCTGGGATCGCGAAGATGATGAGCAAAGCATACAAGAGGTTAATGATCGTGGCGAGGTAGAACACGGAAAGGACGCTGCCGGAGAGGCGGATGAGGACACTTCCGACCGTTGGACCGGCGCCTATTCCGATGAAGAGCAGGCCGAGGAAAAGCGAGAATGTGTGCGTTCTACGTGTTCGCGTGAGTAGTTAACTGGAAAGGATGACGGCAGACACACCGTTCGTCTGGCGCCGTGCAGTCTGCGACATACGCATGTATAGCCGCTGTGATGGCAGGCGTGCCTGCATACATGCGCTATGAGATTGTTGTCCAGAAGAGCTATAGGGCAATCATACCTCCTAGGAGTCCATCAAGGAATGGACCGACTAGCAGGAACCAGTACCCGCCGGGCAACACCGTATGCCAGCGAGCCACGACCAGGAAGTTGACGTCGGTCATCAGGAGGGCGAACACCGCGAAGGACAGTGTGCGAATGCGTCCATAACGGTCGGAAAGCGCTCCCCACCATGCCGTGGTCAAGCATGTTAGGATGCCCATTGTTATGGCCATGGCAAGGTTCATCTGTGCGACAACCTTCTGCACAACAGGATCCTTTGCGCACAGCTGCGGGTCATACTCTGGCGCATACGTGTACGTCGACGGCAGTGTCCCGTTGTCAGAATAGAACTCAGGCCTGTGTGTTGCGCACGCGAGCTGAGTGTAGATCTCGACCTTTGGGGCCATTGTTGCCCCTGTAGCGGCCGCTGACACTGGGACCATGGCCAGCAACCTTGTATGACATGTGATTAGCACTTTGTGGATATGAGTTGACCAGAATGTTTGGATAGTCGTCGCAGGAGCTAGGTAAGGGCTGGCCATGATGGCAACACCACCGTAAAGGTGCTCCGCCCCGCGACCAATGGAATCATGGCCCGTCCGATGATCGCAAACCCTGACAAAGTTGACACTACGTCCTTCGGTGCAACACTTTGAAAAGATATCACTGCAGTACACATGACACACCACCATACGAAAGCAGACATGTAGTGAAGGCAGCACTCAACAAAGCATGTCAACAACTGATATTGTACTCACCACCATGGGCTTGGTCGCTTGTACCACGGCAGGCTCTTTATCCGCTCGAGCGACGCGGTATCGCTATCGCCTGCCTCGCCCTCGTCCGCGTCAACCAGGTCGTCGGTCCGATCCTGATGATGGGGATGTACAAACTCCTGCAACAGCTCAGCTGCTTCTTCGCCAATGGGACCATCAGGCAACAACAGGCTTTCGCCACCTCCCGGGAGATATGCGAGCGATGCCCTGGACGAAGCCCTGGACATGCGGGGCCGAGAGGACGCCCGGCTACCATATCCCGGCCGTGAGGCTGGGCCTTTCGGGGAGGGATTCCTGGAGAGCGACATGCTCAGCGAGTGCGAGTGGGCTGAAGCGGCAGGCGGAGAGGGTAAAGTTGGCTAGAGATAAAGGAGTTATCTAAAGAGGGAGAGAGAGAGAGACATGAATGAAACATGAGCGTCGAGGAGCGCGAGGCCATATGTCCCGGGAGTTTTGTGCGCACGAGGCTTAGCAAGCCGTTGTGTGGGGCCATCATCATGGAACGGTCCTCGCAGCGAATCGGGTGCAGTTCCTATCAAAGTAAGAAACTAGTAAGAAGAGTTTGTTACCCGCTTGTCTTGCTTGCGTTACTTCTCTGTTGATCTCACTACATCGTCCGATCGATCGCGCAGCACACCACGCTGTCCGCCACCGTTCAGGTTCCAAACTTTCGCCTCGCACTCGCTGCGTGCCGCTGCGTAGCGGCTGCAGAGATCTAGAGCATCCGCGCCGGTTACGAATACAAAATTTATCATCTGGCGAATTTCGGCGAGACGCGATCGTGGGGCACAGATAAGATTAGGTACCGCGGCGGTCGTCATCTTATCTAATCTTAATGACCCAAGCACCAGATGCGATCTCGCCACAGCCGCCTCTAGTCGTCTCTCCACTAGCCACAATGGTCTGTCCGGCCGGCTCTCCATCCTGACCTGCTGAATATATTCACACGCGATCCTAGTCCAGCACCGTCGACATCCCGCAGGAGCTCAAGGCGTCCCTCCGCAAATTTCGCTTTAAGCGTCGCAATGCCGGACACGCCGCCATGGTCGTCAAGATCAACAAGCAGAAGCTCATTATGGAGGAGATAGAGCAGTTTGACAACATCAGCATTGAAGATCTGGCAGAAGGTATGTCGATCCGCGGCATTGAGGCTTAGAGAGGTGTTGATCGATGTATGGTCTCACCCCACAGAGCTGCCAGAGAACGCCCCGCGTTATGTCGTGTTATCATACGAGCTCAACCACTCGGACGGACGCAAATCTTTCCCTCTTGTACTCCTCAACTGGGCGCCGACGTCTAGTGAAATGAGCCTCCTGACCCTGCATGCGAGTGGCCTGATAGAATTTCAGAACACTGTGCGTCACCGCTCACATGCCTTCTGCCTCATGGCTAACCCGCAGCAGGCCGATGTGGGCAAGGTTGTCGAGGTCAGAGACGGTGCAGAAGGCTTGACCACCGATGTCGTCAACGCTCGTCTCCTCCAGACATGATCACGCTGCGCGATCCACTCAATTGAGGCTCACATGGAAGGGAAACACGGGAAACATGTAACATTAGCCGGAAACTTTTCAAGTAAACAATATGATATCAACACTGTGAATATCTTACTGCAACACCACCCTATGGTTCATAGTACTCCATGATGCCCGCTAAGACCCATGCGTGACCTGCCAAGTATATCACGCTTCTCACCCAGAGGCCAAAGAACACGTTCTGACCGAGGAACTCGAGCTTGTATGCCTCGCTCAGCCAGAGGGCCTGCGTGCCCACCCACATACCTGCAAGCTGCAGCGCTTGGCGGGGCGTCATGTTCAGCCGCGGTATCAGCAGCGGCAGGAAGAGCAGGTACCAGAGGAAATACTGTGTGGACGAGCCAGCGTCAGGTTCGGTGCGATGCGAGCGATGGTAGACCAGACACACCTGAGATGTGCACACTTTGTTGAAGATGACAAACACGAACGTCTGCACGAACCACGCGAAGGCGAGATCCTGCCTCCGCCTGCCGAAGAGCAGGCCCGCGCCGAGCGAGAGCGTCATCTGGGGAACGAAGCTCGTGAGCGGCGAGCGCAGCAGGCTCTGCCAGACCGTCGGCGGCTCAGCAGATGCGTAATGCGTCGGGTAAGTCAGGTAGATGAAGTAGAAGTACGGCGAGAAGTTGTGTCGATGGTCGAGGCGATGGACGTGGTAGAGGTAGCTTTCGTACAGGAATGGGTGTCCCCATCTGCCCCGCCTCATGAGACTCGCAGTATACCATGTATGTAGAACATACACGACTCACATCGCATACATCGCCGCACCCAGCAGCACGAACGTCCCAGCGCTGATCGCCCCAAACCGCACCGTGCGCCCGTTAACAAGTGTCTGCACGTAGCCCTTCCACCCGCGCGCAACGCCGCGCTCCGAACCAATAACACCGAGGCACGCGACGCCATACACGAACGGGTAGATCTTCCAGTGCGTGCTGAGCCCGAGGAGCACGGCCGCGGCGGTCCAGCGTGCGCGCAGCGCGGCGTAGAGCGTGAGCAGCACGAAGAGCGCAAGCACGCTCTCGGACGAGCCGCGCGTCGAGATCGTGAAGACGAGCGGATCGAGGAGGTGGGCCCCCGCGAGAAGCGTCGCGAGCCGCGCCCGCCGCTCGGACACTTCGCCCGCGGACTGAGGCGCGTCGTCCGGAGACGTGCGTAAGCGGGACTCGGCGGAGGGGAGGATGACGTCCGTGAGGAGTTTGTACATGAGCACCCCCGCGAGGATGTCACATGCCGCGAAGAGGTACTTCCCGAACGACGGGTGGATCCATTCGTTGGGTGCTAAGAGAAGTGCGAGCAGGGGTGTGTATCGGTATGTCGCTCGTCTGTACGGGCTGCACTGGGATCAACCATCGATGCAGAACATTTAAGAACGCTCACGCACTCTCCGAGTCCCAGCTTCTTCCCAAGTGGCCCCTGGGCTACATTACCCTCGGCAGGGTGCAAAACAAAGCGTGCCGCATCACTGAAGACACGGTAGTCTATGTCCGTGTACTTCACTACTGAGTGCGCGTCATGCCATTCGCTGTACAGTATCAGCCCTATGCGCAGAAATACCGAGACGACGAGGATAGTGCGGAAAGAGGGAACCGAGCGCAGGTGGAGGTACTGTGACAAGTTGAGAGGCATTACGCGAAATGACGCCCGCAGGACCGAAACTGCTTCGACGCGCGGGAGAACAATTCTGCCACGTTGGCAAAATACTGAGGTGCACAGACAGTCCAAGAAACGAGAGACCGTATAATTGAGCAAAACGCGGAACAAGAGTAGGATAACAAGAGTGTATAGCGCCTAAAAGTATTCTACCAAATCCTATCCAGCCTGGTTGACGCATGGCACGCTCAGATCTGTGGGTGCAAGAAAGTAAGCGGGTGGCCATGAGCAGGGGTACGCGACATACATATTGCGACACCCAGCGGAAACCATCGCCGTATCCCTGCCTCTGGACGACTGAGCACATGAAGATCTCAATTGGGCGAATGTCGTTAAGGGGGACCTTGCCCTGTTTCAAGCGTGAGAAGCGCGGCCCCACGGCCAAGAGTAAGCACGTACCTTGCCGGTGGTCTGGTAGAGACCAAGATGATGCCTGAGCTCGTCCTCGGAGACGGCACCCGGCGCGTCAATCTTGTTGCCGAGGATGAGGAACGGAACCTTCGCGAGCTCCTCGATGGACAGCAGCGAGTCGAGCTCTGCTTTGGACTCAGCGAGACGTTCAATGTCGACGCTGTCGACGAGGAAGACGATGGCGTCGACCTCCGGGAAGTAGTCCTTCCAAAGTCGTCGGGCTGTCAGAGGCTCAGTGAGCGCACACGAGGTGGAGGCGGGGCTGCCGTACCTTGCTGGTGACCACCCAAGTCATAGGTCGTGAATTTGATGTTGCCAATAGCAAGCTCCTCCGATGCTGGAGTAAGTCTCTTAGCACGCACGCGTTCGTGAGATTCCGGTCGGAGGACTCACTGGGGTGGAGTGTCGGCTGAAGCGTGGCCAGTCGGTCGTTCTTCAGCATGTGCAGCAGTGTCTGGGGAAATGTTAGAGGCCTCCGAAAACGCCACGTAGAGAGCGAGACCGCGCACCGTTTTGCCTGCATTGTCGAGCCCGAGGAACAGAATCTTTGCGTTCTTGTGTAGCAGACCTAGAGGGCAATGAGCTCAGTGCCGAAACGACATGCGAAAACATAGGGTTGCTCACCGAGCTGCGCAAGAACGTCCCAGAACCAGTTGATGATGAACATGGCGGACGTAAGAGAAAGGTTGCAGTCGTCCTGGGTGAGAGGTTTATGACGCGGGTTGCAGGCAGTGGCGTGATGTGACGCCCGTTACAGCCACGTTACAGGCGCTTGTAACCCGTGCTGTCACGGGACATCAAATAGGCGCAAACAAAGCGGCGCGCTATAAATTTAGCGAAGACACGCCTTTGCTGTTTCTTCGTGCATCCTTTTAGACAGTGCCCGCCCTTCCCGGATTGCTCAACGTCGGGCGAGGCGATTGTGGTTGCACAGAGGAACTCGGCAGAATAAGAGCTCTCCCACTCGCTCTCCTCCGGACGGCTTATGGTGCGGTGAGTGTCAGAACTTCCGTATATTCTCGTGTATTTTGTATGTTGCCCTGTATCAATACACCCAGTTTACTTCCTCGTGATGTTACGTGATGTTCGCTGTATCGCGAGCAAAGTGTGGTGGAAAACGACAAGTTTGCCTTTGGCTTCCTCTGCTTGCCTTTGAAGAAGCAGTAACTGCACACTGGAGCGACTTCTTGCGTGCCGTGAATAACATACGATAGAATCTGGTAAGTAGTACAAGGGAAGCAGGACATGCAAAGTCGAGTAGATCAGGGATTTAAGGCAGCTCGACCAACCAGTCGCGGAAGTCCGAGAGGCCGTCCCTTTTCTCTCCATCTACAACTGCGGCCTTTCCTACGGCCACAGATGTGCCAATAAAGGCCACCTCTCCGCCCTCCCACTCCGCAAACTTGAACTCATTGCCAGAGCACTCGAGCCCACCAAGCTCAGCGCCCTCTTCCCCTTCAGCCCCAAGACTCTCCATGCCTACGCCGCCTGCATGCGACGCTTTCCGCTTGTCGAGCTCGCGCTCAAGGATGGTGCGGACGCGATTGATGGCAAGTTGTTCTGACGTAGCATTCGTCGACGCTTTCAGCAGATCGCACTTGTGCGCGACGATGGTGAAGGCTGGGGGTACTTGTGATGGCGGAAGGGATGTGAGGGTGTGGAGGACTTGATGAAGATGGCTTTGCCGATAGTCAGAATCAGCATGTCGAAAGCATAGAAGGTGGACATACTCGGCTACCGCAGCCCCGTTCCTAGAGATGGTGCTAGCATCCACCACGAACGCGACAGCCTTCGCATCTGACATGTACTCCCGGAATTGGTCGCGTATGCGCGGGTGCCCCGGAACGTCGATAATTCTGAGGGCTTTGTTTGAGGGGGGCAAGGAGATGTTAGCCATGTTTGTCTGCATAGAGGTATGTGTTGGTAACGTCTGCTTGTACAGCAGCTACAAGGAGGCGATGAGCGGAACTCGTTGCTGTGAGGTCTTCAAGACGTACAGTGGACAGGATTGCAGTCTTGCCTCCATCCGAAGCACCCACTAGGAGCAAGGAATTCCCTCTTGACTGTGCCTTCTTCCGCGCCAGAAAAAGTACTGAAGTAATGTCAGATCGTGATCGTCATGCACTTGTCAAGCGTACGAACGGGAGAGAATTAGGACAGCTAGAGAGAGCGATCCAAACAAGAGGTACTGGGAGTTCATGACAGAGACAGCAGATACGACCTCTGGGGTAGGCTGTCCGATACTAGGAGCCTCATGCGAGGGATGTGAGCCGTCCATGGCCCGGTATATCCGTGGGCTCGGAGGAAGCTCAAGAGCGTGATGGCACAGAATGTGCTGCAAAATCGCGAGGAACGCCCAACGCTTATTTGTCCTTGTTAGGATCCAAAGCCTTTGCCTTTTACGGATCTCCAAATCGCGACTCGGTAGTCTATAAGCATTCTTGCAGTAGTACGACGCCGACAAGTTTTCACATCCTAAGTATATCACGAACATAAAGAAGGGGTGAAGCTGTATGTAAACTAATTCCATGAAACATGACAGCTCCCTCCCCAACTACCCTCGACGACAACAAGGTGCCAGAGCGGATTACTTTCGTTAGCCGACAACGGCTCACGAACACTCGCACGTAGTCACGTCAGGGCTCGTGCCATACGGACATGACGAGGCTGACAATATGCATTAGCATTGCAGAGCCGATAACGAGACTTGGCTACTCACGGTCTCCGAAAGCGACCAGACCAAAGGTCGGTCCGCCAAAGATGCCAGGGTTGGCACCAGGAAGCTGTGCGTTGACGAGGCCCATCAACTCGGGGTTCCTGGGCGCCCTCTGGCAGTACGGGTTAGACGGAATTATACCGCTGATATCCAACGCGTTGCGGGGGTGCTGAATATAGGCGACCGCGTTTGCGATGAGAGCGTCCGTGTTATTAACACCGGGAGACTTGGCAAAATCAACCATGGCGTCCGCGTTGTCTTGCTGTGCGCATGGGTCCGCGTTCGCGAGGAGCGCATTGATGCCGTTCACCCCAGCAAGTTGGACACACGGTTCGTTGGTGAAGATGTCTCCATTGCTGACCAACTGGAATCGCAAATATGAATAAGCGGGAATATGGAAGTTTCACCAGCGACTTACACAAAGATCCTGCCAGCTCTGTGCAACATCAGGCAGGTCGTCCTGGGCAATACGCTTAGTTATGGTCTGACTGCCGGAGTCCGTGAAGTTCAGGCCTGTGGGGGTGACGCTTGGCAAGGCAACGCTGCTTGAGGATAACGAAGTGGCTGTGACGTTGGCTGGATCACTACTGGAGGTTAACGATGTCGCTGAGGCAACCGACGCCGTACTGCCCCCCGTGGAGGTTAACGATGTCGCTGAGGCAACCGACGCCGTACTGCCCCCCGTGGAGGTGGATGAAGTTGCATTCCCGCCAACGCTAGAGGAAGCGCTTCCTGCGTCAATGGCGCTGGCCGTGCTAAGCGGTGAAGCCGCGCTGGCAGTGAGGTACGATGAGGAGTAGAGCGGCGCAGTAGAGATAGCGAGACACGCCTGGGGGACGTTGGTAGGAATCACGAAGGAAGCGGAGGGCAAAGGAGCGGAAGTGGCCGTCACCACAGCCGTAGCCGTGTCACTCGATAAATCGCCGGTCGAGGAGAGTGTTGTCGTGACTGCGTCGGAAACTGTATTGAACGAAGACGTATCGTTAGTTGAAGACGTAGGGAGTGTGGTTGCAGTGGGTGCAGGAAGCGAAGTCTCATTGACGACGGACAAGGTGGCCATTACGGAGGAAAGAGCGGAGGCGGGGAAGGTGCTCTCAACTGTAAACGCTGTAAGAGTAGGCGCCACTCCTGTAGAGACCGAGCTGTCGGTTGCCGCAGACGACAACGACGCGGAGGTGATGTCGACAGACACAGTATTTGACGGGGCTGAGACCGCGCTACTGCTGGGGAGATATCAGCGATGCAAGACTTGGCACCAGGTAAGTGGACTGACAATTGAGGAATAGGCGATCCATGAGACACTGTCACCAGGACAAGAGAGTAAAGCAGGTGAGTGAAATGCATCTTGAAGCAAGGGGTTGCTCGGGGTGGTAGCCAATAGTCGAATGATTGCTCTAGGCAATAGAAGAAATTCAAGCTAATCCAAAGGAGCACCGGGCTCAGCACGAGACTCCAGCGAAAAGACCTGGGAGCAGTGATTCTTCAAAAGCTGGGGTTATTTATACGAATGTGTAGGGGCGAGGCGATGTACCACATCAGCAACCTGGACATGCTGGTTGGACTCAGATTCCTGTGCCCCATGGCCGCGGAGAGAAACGCCTGGCAGGCAGTTCGCAGCACACTAGTCTTGCCAACACACGCTCAGCATAGCTGTCGCGCCGTCGGTCATGGAAGAAGGAGCCTGTGCAAAGATGACAGTCTCATATAACCTACCTAAGCTTAACGCTGGACATTTGCCGAACAGTAGGCAGACCTTCCGAACAGATCGGGATGGGCGAATCAGAGGAACGTACGGTGTGTGGGAATAAAGGAAGACAGGGTAGTTGCGCTGTCAAATAGATCCCATTCTGAATGTGCAAGTAGTCGAAGGATAACACGTCTATTCCCGAGGAGTGAAGGGGCTTGTCACACGGTGAGAAGGCGCGACAATGACCGGAGGAAGTTGGGCCGCCAATTCCCTCGTGCCGGCAGGGAACGGCAGATCATCGACATGTTTTGGCAGGACTTTGTCAAACTGGCCCTTGGTGTAAGCGACGCGAGCGACACTCTCCATCTTCTTTTTGGCGTCCCGAATCATGACGAATGCGTCATCAACGCCAGGGACACAGCCGCGAACAAAGATGAGGTCGAGGGTTGTGTCAACGCGGACGACGGTGAGGTTTTGCGTCGTTGTCCTCTCGCCACCTAGTCTTCCGGCCATTTTCTTACCAGGCCAAACACGACCTGGGTCCTACAAAAACCTAGGTAAGTCCGTCTTCAGAAAATGTCGTGAACCCCCGCACTTGATGAGCACCGATGGCTCCAGCCGAACGGTGAGATACCGAGACACCGTGGCTCGCACGGAGACCCTTGAAGTTCCATCGCTTCATAGTTCCTTGGAAACCCTTGCCAATGCTGATGGACAGGCTTCAGCTATAGCGCCGTTGGAAGGAAACGATCACGCACGAATTTGAGATGACGTCCACGAATTGACCTGGAACAAAGTGAATGGCCGAAAGTGTTGTTCCTTCATATTCACTTGTGAGATTCACAGCAAGGATATTTGTCTTTGCGAGTCCAACGTACCAACAGGCACATGAGCATCCGGAGTGACAGGGAATTCTTTGACTGTGCGCTTTGGAGGAACGCCAGCCTTCTTGAAGTGACCAAGCATCTGCTTGGTGGTCGTCTTTTCTGGCCTGTCGGACGCAGCGACTTGGACGGCATGGTATTCCGACCCATCTGCTCGGACGGTCTTGACGTTCGCGGTGACTTGGCAGTTCTCAAGCTGTGTGCAGAGAATTACTCCGACTTCAAATAGGCATATACATCACCTCATACCTGAAGCACCGTCACCGGGAGCCGCGCACCGTTGTTGTCCCACATAACAGCCATTCCGCGTTTGCGTGCAATGAGACCGGTCCGTATCGAGTTCGGCGTCCATTTTGCGCCAGCTTGCCCGATCGCTGTGCTGGTCGAAGGCGCCGCATTATTTGAGAGAGTAGCATGAATCTGTCTCACCCCAGCCACGAATTTCCGAGGCTTCAGAGCCCAAAGCCGGAGCATGTTCGCGGTGGATAGAAGAGAGCGCGAGTGAGTACTTAGCGCTTTCCCAACCAAAAGCGCATCGCGCCCTCTAAGCGCCAGAGGTGTGTTTTGCTCCAGTTGCGACCTCTTCCGGATCCCCCCTTAGATATCCTCTTGGCTAACTCATGGCATGGATCATTGGCCAGGAAGCTCTACTACACATACTCTCCCAGCGTTGAAGAAGGGTAGACCACGGAAAGAGGACAAGAGCAAGGCGCTTGACGGAAGCGAAGGACACCCTGTGGTCGACCATGGCTCGCTCACGGCGGCGAATCTGTATCGCAAGGGCAGACACCTAGAGTGGACGACTCTAGGCACCAATGACACCGGTACGACATCTTTTACACGTGATATAACTCACTCATAATTGCTCAGGACGTAAGCTCATTGCACGGGGTGAGGCTGTCAAGATATTTCCCGCATCCCGCCCAGAGTGGCATCCTGAGCCGCAAGTCAGCGTAAAACACCAGGCAGAGCAAGGCGTGAGTGTCATATTGAATCGTGTTTTCGTGTGCTGATCTTCTTTCAGGCAAATTTCCTGCGTACTCGTTATCCCGACGTAGACATTGCATCTGAGCTCATCAGGGAAGAACTCGAAGAGACGTCACGCCTATCCTCAGAGGTGCAAATATTCGACCCATACGCGGGGAATCTACTTTCCGTAGTTTCCTGTGGTGCAAGGACAGGAAGAAATGCGTCTTTTCTCGCGTTCCCGATGGGACAGACCGGCTGTGACCTTAGTGAGACACAAGTCGCCAGTATATGTATGTTCGAGGTTGAATATGATTTTCAGACATATCGGGTATATCTTGCACGAAGAAGAATAACACGTTGTTCAAACCCTCCGCTAGTCCCGCTTGGTCGTTTGACACTCCCATTCAGCAAATCGCCTCTTGCCCAAACCACAGCTCTGCACGTAAGGAGACGACCATCGCAGTTCGGACTGGTGGCGGAACCAAACTTTTGAGTGTTGAGCACAGGCCTAATTTGCTACATGGATTGGTCGCGAAGGAAATCACCTCCTTCACCCGTTCGGATACTGCGAATCAGAGAGTCGTGGACTTCTTGTTCCATGGCCAGACGGTGGAGGACCTCGCGTTTCTGGCAGTCAACGATGCAGGGAGTGTCTTCCGGCACAACCTACTCGACACACAGGGGAGGATGTAAGTACCCTGATGCAGCTACCTCGAGTCACTCTGATAGCTGCCCGTAGGCTGCCCGTGTACACACATTCTATCAGCTCCCCGAAAGATCCATTCTGGCGACTGGCTAGCCTTCCTGACTCAAATACTTGTTTACTGTTATCCAGCACTCGACTGGAGACCGTGGATTTCAGGGTTCGTTAGGTTTCTATCCCGCACCTTAGTCAAGACTAACCACTATCTATTAGGCTCCAAACATTGCGCTCTCTTTGGCGACGGTCCAGGGTTTGAAAACGGTGTTCACTTCCGTTGAAGGCCTTCAACTCGATAACATGATTCGGGTCGCCTCCACCGAAGAGATTATATGGATCGACTATCGGTTTCCTCTTAGGCCTGTGGTTGGGATTAAACACCACCGTCAACAGGACCGGACGCTGCATATGCAGAGTTTAATGTTCGGGAAGGGCAAGTGCAGTCTGTGCTTCCAGAGTATTGCGAACAACGCAAGGGCTGATCGTTATTATAGTCCCACTGACGTTCCTAACCTCGTGCAAGAACGGTTTAGTGACGGTTTATGACGTCTCCCAGGGTCTAGATAACTTCGTGCATCTAAATTCCTTACCATATGCCATTCCTCATCTCCCTGTGATTGGCAGCAGACGCGTCGGTCAGGCGGTATTTCGGCATCCTAGCGACCCTGGAGACAATGCTGCGCTTGTACTACAGCTATCGGACCGCGGTAGTATTCATCGGCTCGATATTGAGCTTAATCTTAGTGATCGAGCCTTCGAGGCTCTCGGCCGTACCCACGATTGGTCGCAAGACATGTTTGCCCTAGAGAGGAGCATGGAAACTGCCGCCATAGAAGTTGGTCAAGTCAGTGGGCGCTCATACACCGAGGTAGACATGGAACCTGTGTATAAGAGTGAGCCTTCTCATTTACAGGGGTTCTGCACCCGCTCACCAGTTGTAGGAATATATGGCCTGGATCAGTGTTCACCGCCCGCAGACGACCCTGATACATTCTACGATACTCTTGATGCGTTGCCCAACTTCTGGCAGAATGCGGAAGCTCCAGTTGAACAGGTCTTAACAACGTAGCGTGCTCACCACTTCCGTATTATTTGTGCTGACTGGTCCCTTCGCAGTTTCGATATCGCGTTTAGATCTGGACCAGATCCTGGTAATCTTTCGAGGACCGACTTCTTTACTGGCAGTGCGATCAACTCTCTTCGAGGGTATCGCACTCTTGTGCAGGATCGCCTCCCGTACGAAGAGCTCGCGAAACGTTCCGAATGGCATCACGACTGGACTAACACTCTTCGTCGCTTCGTACCTGATATCTCGGACTCAACTCAGGAGATGCAGGACAATTTCAAGCGGTTCGATCTCCTGCTGGACGACTACAGGCCTGGGCCGTCGTTACGCACGGAAACGGAAGCCCGAGAGCAGTTGACATTAGATCTCGCACTGGCCATCGATGTCTACGCTCCTCATGCAGTACAAGCCGAACCCGACCATTTCCTTGACGATGCCCTCGAGACGATGTCTCGTGCGACGGAGGCCATGTCCATCGGGATTCCGGAACCCCCGCCCGTACAATTCGGCTTTCTCCGACCTGCTGTACGCGAGCACTATGGAAGGTTACAAGAAGAGAAAAGGCGCGAGTATCCACTCGGTGTACGTCTTCTCCTCAACGAATGGACAGTCGGCACGGATCCACATGAGTATCAGTACCATGACCCCTACGACAATTCAGAACCGTCTGCGGCCCCAGCTCGGGCAGGGAAGAAGACAGAGAAGCCCTCGGCCGCAGAGGTTAGGACTCAACCTGCACGGATGCCGCCGGTGATCGCCACTGCACCTATGGCCCCTCCGCCAATAGCTGCGAGTCAGCCTGCGCGCACGAGACCAACGGCACAATCTCAGGACGCCAGTACCTTCCGCACGAGAAGCCAGCCCACGCAGCTCCCTCCGTCGTCGCAATCATCCCAGTCCCAGGAGACGATGTTCCCTAGCACCCAAGTTCTGCCAGGTCCTTTCGGTGGACGGCCAGCCCCTGTGAAAAAGAAATCAGTGAAGAAGCGGATGGGTGGATTCTAGACGCGGTTAAAGGCGGTCTCGTGTGCTTGTATATCTCTATATCGGTTACGCAGCTTGATAGTGGCTACCATTTCCAAAAGAGCCTTTGTGTGTGACCCGTCTGCCTGATTTACGGCCCAGCGTCGAATCTCGACGGCAAGCGGACAATCGTGCAGCGCTTTAAGCGCCCATGCAGCCGTCGAGGATCATCGAGGCTCGCGCTCGAGTTCCGCTTCGCTTCACGCCTGTTACTCCGATCTCTCTCTACTCTGCACGCATAGCTGGGCCGCCAAAACGTCGTTCTCTGACAACCGCCGCTCGTGCAGCTGCACGCTACTGGTCTTGCTCAGGCCTAGTAACGATTTCCTATGAGTGAGGCCGGGTGCGTACACGGCTTCGCGCACTCGCGACCTCAGCCAGTCTGACAATCGTGTGCACACCATTACAGGCCGTTCGACATTCTTTTTGACTCGGCCGCACGCAATGACTATCTTCGAAGTACGCTCTGCCCTGTGGTCCGTGAGAACGGGAGACGATGAACGCATGACGTGCCCACAGGAAACAAATCAGTCGTATGCGCGATCTCTGCGAGCTACGTCTCGACGTTTGCAGGCTATCCAGTCAGTCCCGTCCACGCATGCCACCGCGACACCGGACTTATATTGCAGGTCGCGTTAGCTGGACTCCATCAAGTCGAGGCTGCAGACCACGCGCAACAAGGTCACGGTCCCGAGGCTCGCGCTGCAGGTGTACCGGGAGGAGGGTGTGGTCGGCTTCTACCGCGGGCTGTGGATCCCGCTCATGACCATTTCGTTCGTTCGTGCGTACGCTGTATCTCCTCCTGCCTCTCGTCGTGCTGATAGTACGGTCCCCAGGCGCCGCGTCGTTCACTATTTATACGCGCACGAAGGAGTTCTGTCGGTATCACAACTGCTTCACGCGGAATAATATACTCGATGTCTCTGCGGCGGGAGGGTTGGGGTGCGTGTAGAATCAACTGCGTCATGGCCGGGTCCCTGAAGCTGCGTGCTCTTGCTAGCGGTGCATTGTCAGGATCCCTCATCTCGGTGGGCAGTACCCGTGAGTAGAACGTTCTGCCACCTCTTCCAAACCGCTAATACTCATAGATTCTAGCATTCGAGCTAGTGAAGGCAAATATAACGTTATGGAGTTACATAAGGCCGAAGACTCACCGTGAATAACCTACAGGTCCGGCGGCAACTTGAGTACTCCATTGCGGAAAGCAAGGGACAGCGGATAGTCAAGCCGCCAGGTACTTTGCAAGCTGTGCGAGAAATATATCGCTCGGGTGGTGTCCGTGCCTTGTATACAGGGTTCCGCCTACATTGCTGTGAGTTTGCGCGAGCGGTGGTCACCCGATACTGAACTTGCGATGCTTTACTGCAGTACGAGATACCTTAGGGACAGCCCTGTACTTCTTCGAGTACGACGGATTGCGGCATATTATGGGCCGCGCCCCTTCGGGAGAGCAAGGACCGACGCCATCATGGATGCCACTCTATAGCTCCTTAGTGCCGTTCATGTGCGGTTCTCTTGCGGGTGTGTCATCATGGGCACTTATTTATCCTCTCGACGTGTGAGTAATGATCGACGTTGTTCTCGCTGCCGAGTTGTGACTGAGATTATGTCTGCTTTAGGGTAAAGACAAAGGTGCAGCAGCGTGCCCTTGCTGGATCGCCTCCGCGGCCCCTCGCAGTAACCATACACCGTCTCATCAGAGGTGCGTAGTCCTCTACCACACCCTTGAAGACTCTTTCCTGAACCAAACTATTCTAGGACCAGATCCCGACGCGCCAAAACCCATACTGGTCGGCCTCGCCCGAATATACCGCGGCCTTGGAGTCAGCGCGTTACGCAGCGTAACGACACATGGTCTCCTCTGGACTCTGTTTGATGTCACTGCCTCGTACATCGACAACCTGCCTAGCTCCAGGCACGAGCGTGAGTAGTCGGTGGCTCGGTGGCTCGGTATCGGCGACACATTCCGAGTCATTCGTTGCCAGCGGCTCGCTTACGCACAAAGTAATATATTTGCCAACTCTAGTGTATCTTCTCGCAATGCTGTCAGCTATTATTGTGCAACCAACCAATCCTGTCATAGATTACGAGCGCGTAAACAATGCATAACGCCCTGCTCCGTATATACCTGGCTGAGAACATAACATCTGTGGATGCACGGAACTCCACGGAAAATCGTGTCGATCGTGATTGAGCTCCCTCTTTCTTGAAACACGGCTTAAACTTTGCTGGACTCTCATGTCGGGTTACAACAGTCTTTGTTACCAGGGACCGCGCTCCCGCAAAGCGTTCTCGTGCCTTTCCCACGCCACGAATGTGGTCCGTGCGCAGGCGGCTAAGGTATATAAGGCGGGGGCAGACAAGGTGGCACCTCATACTTACCTTGATGGCACAGGCCCCTTCATATACCTGGGTTTGTGGGCCGTGGGGGCCTCTCATAGCACGGCGACCCTGTCCCCAGGGGGGCCCTGCGGTTTGTACGGGCTTCGGCTCGTGCACCGTCTCAATATTTCCCTGTCCTGCTTCGGCCCTCGGGCTGGGCAGGCCATTTTTTTCGCCCCTAGGTCGTCCTAACCCTAACCCTAATACAATGAACATTAACAACATTAGCCAGCCAATCGGAGCTAAAGCGTTGGCGCTTGGCGTGGGTTTTTGTGCTGTGTGAGTTTTGATACACGGACGGCCTTGTGTACGAGAGCAGGAAGCAATGAGGTACCGTTTGCGATGCGAGGTGTCGAACGATTTTAGCGGTCACAGATCTAGATTACGCAGCCACTTCCAACTGTGAAGGTCGTGATTTTACCGTCTAGAGTTGAAGACCAGATGCAAGTAGATGGTATGTGGGCCAACTCCTTGTCCGCATGCTTAAGATCCCAGCTATTTACTCTAAGCACAACACAACATATTGGAATGAAGCACATAATAATATGCATTTTAGATCTTCCCCGAAATCACCAAAAGCACGGCTACATTGTATCGCGCACAAACGCGAGTGTACCAAGGCTCGATGCAAGGAGCTCCATGATGCGCTCGCTCTCCCTCTTTTGCACCTCTGCCAGGCGCTCGAGCTCCTCGTGCAGCTCCGGATTTGCGACGAGCACGTCTCCGTGCACGCGCAGGAAAACGTTCTCGAACGCCTGCACCATCTCGAAGTCGCGGTGCGAGTGCAGTCGCTGGACGAGCGCACATAGGAAGAGCCGTTGCGCGTCGAGCGAGGCAAGTGAGCGGATTTCGAGGTCAAGCGCCGCCGGCGAGAGGGTCTTCACGTACGAGTAGAAGGCTTCGTCTGCGGGAGATGCTGTAAGCAATGTGTGCGGAAACGGGAGGGAAAGAAGGGGCTCACAATCCCCACCCTCGTCCTCCGCCTTCAGCTTCTGGAAGAACATGCTCTCCGTGGCGGCTGCCGCCTTCTCGAGCCTTCGTGTCGGCTTCTTCGTCTCCTTCCGCTCCGCCTGAGTCACGTCGAAACGGTGCTCGACGCCGGGCAGCGTTGGCAGGAAGAACGGCGCCCTCTCGGGCGGTTTGGGCGGCTCCTTAGGCTTGTTCCGCTGCGTGATGACCTCGAGGTTCAAGAGCGTCTGCCAGCGGCTGCGCGGGAGGAGCGTGAGCGTGACGAGCTCGCCGTCGAGCTGCGGCGGCGTCACGAAGACGTCAGGTGGCACGCTATCGTTCACCGTCAACGCGGACAGCGCGTCAAGTGCCTCCTCCTCTGCCTCGCCCTGCACGGATGGCAGTGCGACCTCGGCGACCTTGTCGTCCATGATACCATGAAAGGTCACGTTCGAATATTGTGCGCGGTTCGCCCATAGATAGACACCAACGCTGTCGACGTGTGATGTCGCCAGGAAGTCGTTTGTCGGCGAGAAAGACACGCTTGTCGCGACGCTGGAAGTCCGGAAGGCATCAATGAGGCGGCCGGTGGGTACGTCAAATGTGCGGATGATGGAGTCCAGAGATGTTGTGATCAGCCATCGTGCATCTGGAGAGAAGGTCTTATGGTGATCTTGTCAGTAGCATGAAGTACTAGATGCGGATGTGGATAACTTACAACATCCAAGACTCGGCTACGGAATCCGCTAAGCTCACGGACGATCCGTCGCGTCTCGATGTCAATAATGCGCACAACAAGATCGTCACAAATGACGGCTAATAGCCCACTATCGCGGTGTAGCGTGATTGATACTGCAGACGATGATAGCACAAGAGTGTGCTGCAGCTCGGCAGTGTGGAAATCGAAGAACTGAAACGAGTCATCGTGAATGAATGCTCTTGGAAAGGGTGGGACTGCACTTACATTTATCGTTCCGTCCAGTGTACTTGCGATAACAGCCCTGTTCAACGCATCACTCGCTAGTCCATTCACACACCTCTCCTTCCGCTTTGCGCCCACACGTTGCTTCACCGGCTCCGGCGCAGACCCAACGTCAAACGCCTTCCTTTTGATCCCAGATTGTACGTTATACATATGTATCACGCCCGTGCTCGACGCCGCGATGCCAAAATTACCACACGCCGACACGCACACGGCCTTGACGCTCCCGACAGACGCGCCCTTCTTGCTCTTGGGCGCGACGCTGAACGTGTGCTTGCCAAGCCGCTTGTCGCGCATCGTCCACGTACGCGCAAAGGTCTCGTCCGCGTGGCCCGTGAGGATGTCGTCCCAGTCCTTGGCGCGCGCCGCGCTGTACGCGAGCGCGGTCACCGGCGGGAACTTGAGTGACGCGACGGGCACGGACAGGCTCGTCGCCTTCTTCGCGAGCGAGCCCTGCGAGAGCTCGAACGAGCGCGAGTCGCGCACGACGGACGTGCAGCGCAGGCTACGGTCGCGCGAGGCCGTGAGCAACTGCTTGCCGTCATCGCCGTAGTAGCGGATAAGGTGCGGGGGTGCGTGATGGCCCGAGCGGAATTTGAGGAGACGTGGGGCAGCGGTTGGTGAGTCGAAGAGCCATTGCTACACGGTAACATGTCTGATCAGTGCTCGAAAAGAAAATGCTCACGCATATACACACCTTGACACTGTTGTCCTCTCCGGAAGTGATTAGTAAAGGCTGACCTGGCACCCACTGCACGGCAGTGACGGCACCGTCATGGGCGCCGCGCACTATATGCAGCAGCCTGCCACCCGCGTCCAGGTCCCACAACGCGACATGCCCATTCGCAGAAGCTGAGGCAAGGATCGGGTGTCCGTCCGTCCTGAAGCTGAGAGCCCGAACGGCGCCATCTTGCATTTTCATACGGAGAAGACGCTCATCCATGCGGACGTCGTAGACGGAGATCTCGCCGGAAGCAAAGCCAATGCCGACTACGTCAATAGCGGGTGATTGGGCGAGTGCTGTGATGGCAACAGGAGAGCCATCTTGGCTTCCCGAGGGCGATGTGAGGAGGGAGGCGGACGAAAATTTGTGGATGCACGTTCTATAGTATGTTAGTTATTCGTGAGGACGAAGGAGAGTGAAGTAGACTGACTGTGTCCGGGTGTTCCACAGCTGCATATTCCCTTGACTGCTTCCGACTAGCACTTTGTTCAGGTAGGTGGCGGGATGGAGGATGGATGTCGCAGTGAAGCCTGGTTCGAATTCAATAGTAGACTGCAGAGCTGGGTCTCAAGTGTAAGAAGGGATGCATGGAGTAGAGGCTGGAAGTGGACCGACCAAGCTCATCAGTATCCCAAGTGAGCATCCTCTTTCCATCTTCCGTCAATGCAAGTAGCTGGGTGCCAAAAATGAGGATGAATGATAGTGCTGAGCCAAGGGGGTTAGATACTCGTGTAACCTGATAATAGCTCCTCAGCTTGCACTTTGCGCTAGTTTGCTGTGTGTACGAACCTCTTTGCCACGAAAATATTTAATAACATCAGGCCCAGCTGCAGCCCATACGGCCTTGCCTTCCATGGCCAAGCATGATATAGGCTCCTGGGCATCAGGTCCTACACAGCCGATCGGTTTATCCCATTGCACGAAACGAAAGCCTCTCCACCCACCCACCTACAAACTGCAGCGTCATTTTCCCTCCCTCCCACATCGCCCATGCCTTCCCAAGGCATGTCACCAGGTGAATACTCGGGCCTTCAGTCTGGCCCTTGTAGGATCGTGTCTGAAGGACGAACGGGACGTGATTCGTGATTAGGCCGAGCGCACGAAAGGGCGCAAAGAGGCGCGGCTCCTGCCCGCCCGGTTTTGTGTCGTGTTCGACGCGGACACGCTTGCGGGGAGGTGGCGAGGTATCTTCGGCGAGTTCTGGCTGCACGGTGGCGACCATGGCTCGAGTGTCGTTTTGGTGAACGTTTGCCCAGTGCCCTCTGTACCAGAGAGGCACCTGTCCAAAGGTTGGCATAAGCGCTTGTCCGTGCACAAATTTGTTGGGCGCCAAGTGTCCTTTCCTCGTTGTCATTTCTGCTGACGAGCATCGACCAACACTTCGCTTGCCTCGAAAGTCGTTCGCGACGTCCTACCACGACGCGCCGGCTCGACATGGACCCCGCTGCACCTCTCAACGTTGCCCTAGGCATCGCCCTAACATGCAAGTTCGTCTCGAACGTCGTCCGTGGGTGAGGCCAACTCTGACCGCGTTTGCCTCTACCAGCTGGCTCCGCTGCATTAATTAGTAGTGTATATGGCGCGTATAAGGGGTACAACATCTACACACTTGCCACTGCGACAGCCGTGAACAGCGGTATTGCGGGAGCGACATTCTTCAGTACGTATTTTATTTATTTCTATCTCACTGGCTCAAACCTAGATACAGGCTTCCGCGAATACATCGTTAGCCCACTCCTACTCTCTGCGCTCTCTTCAGGCCAATTTCTCCGGCGGAGACAAGAGCTAGAGGATAAGAAAGGCAAGCAGCCTGAACGCAATGAAAAGCTGAGCTGGTCACACATGCGACTGCACAAGCTGCCGGACACCGCGCTCAGTGGCGCTCTCACGGGCGGCGTGCTCAACGCATGGAAGCGTACGTACTTCACTTCATTCCAGGTCGAATGCCGTCACAATAACGTATGAATAGGCGGCCCCGCTGGCATAGTTCCTGGTGTAGTCACTGCTTCCTTGCTCTGCTCGCTCCTACAACTTGGATACAACGAACTCGGCGTAATGCGCATAAAATACGTCTCACGTAAGCTTGAAGAAGCCCACAAGCCTCCAGCATCGGCAACAGAGATCGTCACCCTCCCTCCAGAACCTTCAAAACCAACACTACAGCGGGTATTTGAGTGGATGGGCATGCCGAAGATTTCAGACGAGGAATACTTGAAGAAGCTGTATGCCAAGAGGGCTGACGTGCTGAGAAGGATTGCAGAAATTGAAGCGGAGCAGGGGAAAAGTAGTAGTGTTAACGGTGCAGACGAAAGAAAATCAAGTCCTTCGTCATAGCATGCATGCATTCTTTTTGATTTACAGGGATAGCTGGGACATCTGCTCTGCTGAGACGCCCTCGTCCAGACTCCAGACCTCGACCAAGCCTTTCCCATCCTTGGTGATCCCGCCCACAGCCAAATACTTATCATTGAGAGCAATCCCATTCACCTTCACCAAATTCCGGACTTCGGCCCTCCATGCAGTGTTGACGTGAAGCTTTTGCTGGTCATCATACGAAATGTCGTGGCGGGCAAGCCTGCCCAGTAATGTGCTCGTGAGGAGAGCTGTCGCATTCGGAGCAAAGTCACTTGAAGCATTCACAGTCAGCGAGGGACAAGTACACGGAGTGAGTGGTCCCTACCAGCTGACCACAGGTCCATCGGCGACCTGCATAAACAGCCCGTCTTGCTCTCTCAAACCTTGCCACTTTCTGCTGCGTTTCTTCTTGTCCACAGATGGTGCATTCTTATCACCGCCACTTCCGATCCATAATCTGCCGTCTGCTGTTGTGGCTGCAACGAGTCCGTTGGGCGAGATTGAGGTCGACAGAATGAATGGTGGGGAAAGTGAGATGCCTGATGTTGGTGGCGCTGAAGCTGCGGTGCGACGTTAGACAAGCTATGGCCCACGGGTAAATGCATACCGACGTCAAGCCGTGATAGGACAGTATTTTGCTTATAGTCGAAGTGAATCCATGCGGAGTCGAAGCCCCCGCTCAGGACCTCACTCGACCGATCCGGAACGAACTTGGCCGAAGACGAGATCTGCATGTGCGAGTCGATATCGGCGGCCCTCCTGAGAAATACTACCTACGTTTGTGTGCGTAGTCTTCATCCTTGTAATAGATAAAGTCGAGAGCTCCACGACACCGACGGCTCCTGCGTCAGTGCTGAACGCAAGACTTTTCTTGGACTCATTTATGCTAAGCTTCCTGGGCTCAATCAGCCTGGGTCAAAGGGTCCAAGACAAACACTAACCTCGTTGATCACATCTTCGTCGTTCTTACCTAATACTATCTTGTGTACTGCATCGATAGGTTGGAGAACTAGTTTTTGGTTCGCCAGGTCAAACAGATATGCCTGCGAACATAAGAGTCGTGAACTTCATACGGTCGAGTATGCACTGCAGTGCGCGTACCGTCGGCCCACTTGCTACCCATAAGCTGGCACTGGCAACCGGCCTTGGTTGCACCCAACAGATTGACGCGATGTCCTGGCCGAGTCGACGAATGGCTTTGGAAACCTTCGTCGAAGGAAGCTGGTAGATGCGCACGCTGCCGTCGTCTTATTTGCCTTCATCAGCGACTAGATTCACGCGTAAAATGTATCTTGCGTACCAGATCCAATAGCAAGCTCGTTGCTGGGACTGAAGGACACGGCGGATGCCGCTGCCGGCGTATTTAGCTCAAACTGATGCGCGTAGTCCATGTGAACGCGAATTTGAAGTGGGGAAAACAGCTGTGCTTGATGCGTCAAGCTCATCAAAAGCAGTCTACAGTAGTAGGACATACCACAGAACAATCTGTGAATTTTTAGGCGGTCGTGGACGGAGGCAAAGAAAAGAAGGAATGACTTCATAGGAAGGCGTCCTGGACGTGTATTATAAGCGCCCAGTTGGCGTATTGTATCATCCGTCCTCCAGCGTCGATAGGAGATGGCTGCTCGTTCTCCTTCAACTTGCCTTCCTACCTTCTGCAACCGTCTTGAGACCGGAGACAGCGTCTCTCTTGATATTCTCTAACACCCGTTTCTTGACCGTCGCTAAACAGAAATGGCAACAAAGTTTGCGCCGAACACCGTCGAGGAGCTCAAGGAGCTACTCAAGGACGACGCGAAAGTCAAGGTCGCAGGTGCGACCTATGAATATGTACTATTACTAGCCTTCTGAATTCCCTTCCAGGCATAGATGGTCAATGATTCATCGCTTCGCGTCGCAGACGTTTGCTAACCGCTATGCCTACAGTCGACGGTGTCCTGCGGGGCAAGTATATGGTACGCGGCTCCCATACCCGCGCCCCTATGAACGACGCTCACATCCCTGTTGTTATCAGTCTAAGGACAAGTTCCTCAGCGCGGTGACCGGTGGCGGTTTCGGGTTCTGCAGCGTTATCTTGTGCGTGCCTCCGCTTTCGTTTCATTGTAGCCAGCTGACCTCGCGCTGTCTTCGTTGGCGCTCGCGATACAGCGGCTGGGACATGCACGATCTTGTGTATCCGAATGAACTCCTGATCTCGAACCGCGCGAACGGCTACAAAGACCTCCTCGCGCAAATCGACCTCGCGACATACCGCCGCATCCCCTGGGAGAATAATGCGCCATTCTTTCTCGTGTCCTTCCTCGACCCTGATACTAACGAGCCGATCTGCGCGGACCCAAGGGGTGTGCTCAAGAAGGCTGTGGACCGCGCAGCAAGCATGGGCTACCAGTGTTATGCCGGATGCGAGTATGAGGTGTGTATGCGAAGCGTGGCTAAGTGGCTTTTGCTAATAATTCTCGCATAACAGTACTTCCAATTTCAAGGTAACAGCTTATTCTAGTTCGCTATGCATCACTAATTCTCGTCACAGAGACGCCGCAAAGCGTGGCGGACAAGAAGTTTACCAATCTGCAGCCACTCACCTCCGGCAGTAAGCCTTTCAAGCTGCTCTTTCACCTACCCTTACGCATAACGCTTCATAGTGCACGGTTACTCTCTTCTTCGCACGCAGCTGAACAACACGTATTTTAACGACCTCTTTGATGAGACTGCCAAGTTCGAGGTCCCGCTGGAGGGACATCACACCGAGACCGGTCCTGGCGTATACGAGACTGCTCTTGCATATACTTCTGCCTTGCGTATGGCCGACAATGCACAACTCTTTAAGTTTGCGGCCAAGAGCATCGGCATGAAGCACGGGATCATGCCTAGCTTCATGGCGAAGCCTTGGGGAAATGTAAGCCGCGTGGTACTTGCATGTATGCGCTATAAATTGACACGCGCGATAGCTGCCTGGATGTAGCGGGTTCGCACCAATAATTGCCGAGCTAATATCTTCGCATACTGACTCCGGCGCATAGGCATATCCACGTTTCTCTCCGAGATGCGAACGGCAAGCCCATCTTCGCTGTGTCTGAGTCCGACGCAAAAACTGGCAGGCAAGGTGCGGCGAATCAGGAGACGAAGTTCATAAGCCAGGAGGCCGAATGGTTCCTGGCTGGCGTCCTTGACGGCCTCCCTGATGGTGCGCACATTCATTCTGCGGCACAATCACACTCAGACAGCTGACATTTCCGCCGTAGTCATGCCTACGGTACGTGACTAGCCGCCATCATAGACTATCACTAACCTCGCGGGATCTACGGTCGTTGCTCAGCTTGTCCCGACAATCAACGGATACAAACGCCTCGTCGGCGGCGAAGCCTTTTGGGCGCCGAATGCTGTGACGTACGGCTACGACTCGCGTGCCGCGTCCATCCGCATCATCTCCCCGCCATCGGCGCCGCCTTCAGCAACACGCCTCGAGATTCGCGTGCCCGGTGCGGACATGAGTCCGTATTTCGCACTTTCTGCCATCTTCTCACTGGGTTTGAGGGGAATCGAGAAGAAGCTGAGCCTACCGGGCCCTCCGATCAGCCAACTGAAACCCGAGGATAAAGCGACGGGGAAAGTGCAGATGCTGCCTGTCTCGCTTGAAGCTGCCACCGAACGTATGATGCGCAAGGACAGTGTGGCGCGCGAGGAGAGTGTCTTTGGAGACGATTTTGTAGATCACTTCGGTGGGACGAGACTGCACGAGGTCAAGCTGTGGAACGAGGCGGTGACGAACTGGGAAGGTGAGATGGTTCGGTCGAGTATTCTGCTGTCACTGACGAATCTGGTCTCCAGTGGAGAGGTATCTGGAGCTTGCCTAGGGCCAAGGGTGACGGCAGGAATTTTGAAGATCTGTACTTATAGGACTGAGCTTGCGTTGAAGACTGCCCTGGTTAGGGAACAGTAAACCTCCGCCTCTGTGTGCTGAATGCTACGACGGCTCTGTGAGCTCAACGGCAAGCTCTTCTGAGCAGTCGTATCGCCCGACAGAAGGCCATGTACACAATGCGTGTACTTTTTATCGTGTGCAGGTGTGTAGGTCATAGTCGGTCGCCCTTTCAACTCTGATGTTGTGGAAAATTGTCTCAACTGCAATCAAGGGCATACTGTATATGGTGCCCCGGCGTATACTGCGGAAGGTGAACCGATCGTATTAGAAAACGAGGCGTGCTACCATACGGGTGTCCAAACGGTCCGGGTGGAGTCCGACAACTGAGACATACTTTGAAACATCCATCGTTCAACAACCGTACAGCCTGCCAGCGGATGTCTCTTCGACGTCATTACCTCTGCTCATCACGTTCGCATTCAGGAACCAGCCGCTCAAGCTCATCTACCTCCTTGTCGCCGTGCCAGTGCTGCTCTTCATCCGCCTGCCCTATCGGCTCATCGTAGCTTCCATCCCCGCCCTCAGGCCCAGGAGGTCATGGAACATGGTGAAGACTCTGACCCGCTATTTCTCCAAAACCAGAACTCGAATGTTCTACGACGTTGGCTTTAACGCACCAGAGGGCAACCCGATCAAGGATTCGCGCGACCCAGGCGCCACAGGCTTCGTTTGGGTCGACGCCGTCCCGTCTCAGTTGGTGACCGGCGAGATCGCTGACCTTGCGCACCGCAACGGTGTCGAGCCCGTTGATGTCTACGGCTACTGGCATGGTGCTCGTAACGAGTCTGGAAAGCATGGTCAGCGCGCCACAAAGGGCGAACGCGTGCTCTACTTCTTAGGGGGTATGTCGTCCAAGCCGCGCGTTCACGTCTTTATGTTCATGTTTTGTGACCGTTGTTTTCTGCAGGTGGAGCTCATGTCGTAAGCATCGTGTTTCGCAGCTGCTAGTAGTGAGAGTGCCGACGCTCACAACCTTCCAGATGGGCTCGCCGCATCCCTCCAGTATGACGGCAAATGTCATCCGCGGCTTCTTGGAGAAATGTCCCAAGGTCGCAGAGCGCGCATTCGGCGTTGCCTACCGCCTTGCCTCCTCAGCCCCCTACCCGTCCGCGAACCCGTTCCTAGCGGCGGTCATTGATGTCATCTCGGGCTACCACTACCTTGTCGAGACCCTCGGCTTTGAGCCTAGCAACATCGTCGTGTGGGGTGACTCTTCTGGGGCCCATCTCGCCATTAACCTTGTGCGGTACCTCGCCAGCGCCAGCATCCCTTCGCTTCATCCACCTGGTGCAGTCATCATGATATCGCCCACGTTGGACTGGGCCAACACGCACCTCAACACACCAGCATCGACTTACCACACGAACAAGAACTCGGACTTCGTTACCCCCATCCTACTCAGCGGGTACACTCTCGCCAGCATTCGAGGTTCGCTGTCCGAGCACGAGTTCGAGACGAACACGTGGATGTCGCCGGCGTCACTGGAGCTGGAGCACACAGATGGCTTGTTCTCGAACTGCCCGCCGACATACATCTTTGCAGGCGAGGCAGAGCTGACGGTGTGTGTGATGCGCACCCTCCGCGACCGGTTGATTCGCGACAACGGGAAGGACAAAGTGCATTACGTCGAGCACCAGGATATGTTCCACGGCTGGCTCGTGGTGCCTTGGATGGAGCCAGAGAGGTCCCAGGCGTATGCCGACATTAATGCATGGCTGACTGGGATCTGGGACTTATAAGTTTGGTGTGCCGAAGAGGGTGGCGCACGGCGTAGGTCGATGTGATGAAGGGGTTCCAGCACCGGTGCCTTTCTCGTATTGTTCGTGCGGCTCCACGTCCTTTGACTCCGAAGGATATATTCTTCCACTAAATGAATATGGTGTAACGCGGGCTGAGACGATACCTCTTAAGATTCTATAGGCGAGGTTGACAAAGGGTTTATGTAAATGTTAGCATGCGGACTCACAGTATCAGGGCCGCAATATAGCCCGTTTGGCTAGTCTCCCAGAGGCAGTACGTTTGGTCACTCCCCACTGATCAGCAAAATAATCGGTCGCAGGTCAGAGATGGGTTACCAGGCAAGCGCCTAACAGCCTGGTGGACGCTGGCAATGCAAGAACAGGGGATACCAGGCTGATATCGCACTGCAGTCTCAACCCGGACCGATATGTCATTGTAAGTCATTTCCCATCCTGTTTTAACTAGACATGACGCGGCCAGCCCACCCAGATCTCCGCTGTGATGTGACGTCACGCGTGCCGCCTTCCGAGAGGTTGTCAGCAACTAACAATCCAGCTGGACTGAGCTACGACAAAGCTGAGGAGACAGACGAGAGGAATGTGAGTGAGGAAAGACCAGCTCGAGTCTGGCTTGTTATTGAGCAGTATGAGCTCCTTATATACATGTCAGACTGAATATCTAGAATATCCTACAAATATACAAAGGTGTATAGAAAGTGAAAGAATACTATGGAACCCGGGAGAACCATCCGGGATGTGTAATATTCATGACATTACCCCCCCGTCTAGAATCGTGTCCTCACGATTATTTACCAGTCGATCCAAAACCTCCTGTTCCTTGTTGAGTTTCTGTTAAACTCGACACCTCCTCGATATCGCATGACGCAATGCGTTCCAAAATAACTTGTGCGATTCGATCGCCGGCGTGTACCTGGAAGGGTTGATTGGTGGAGTTGATTAACACTACGCGTACTTCTCTGGTGTAATCTCGGTTGACGACTCCAGCCCCGACATCTATCCCTTTAACTGCTAACCTGCTTCGTGGCGCAATTTGCGCATAGGTTCCATGAGGGCGCGCATTGCTATGCCGGTGCTGACAATCTTGCGATCTCGTGCCAGTATTTTGACGCTTTCAGCCGAGTAAAGATCAAACCCAGCGGATTCTTCCGATCCTTGTTTCGGGAGAATTCCACCCATTCGTTGTACCAAAAGAGTGGTATCGCGCGTGAGTATATGAACGGGTCGTGTTAATAGAGGGAGGAGTCGAATCGTCATGGGCGCGGGTTTGTCGGGTCGTCTAGCATGGAATTCCTGAAGGAGTTCTTAACAATTGGTCAAGTTCGCCTGTGATTCCCAGGAGCGGCGGTCGCTGTGGGAGCTGTTCTTCCAGAGCACCTGATACTCCAGGTTTCCGTTTCGATCATGACGAGAATCAAGAATGTCTTCGACTTCCCATTCTTCCTCGCCATTTACGAGGTCAGGGACTATCGGTTCTCGTCGCTGTGATGGATACGCGGGTTCTTTGAAGGGGCCAAGTAGGCTTTCGTTGAAAACAGGATGTTGTTTCCATTGACGTGGGAGTTCCAACTCATAGGCGGAAGCCCTGACTTTGCGTTTGACCTTGAAGGGTCTATATCGCTTATTGTCGAGCTTTTTCATTGGCCTATCTGTTCGGATGTTTATCCCTTCTAGCCAAACTTTATCCCCTACTTTGTACTCCGGTCCGTTCTTTCTCTTTCTGTCGTAGAAACACTTCATTGTCTCCTGCGCTAGACTGATAGCGGCGCTAGTGTCTTCATGTACTTGATCCATTCTATCGACGAATTGTTGGACGTTTTCGCTCAGTTCTTCTCGCACCGGTTGGGTTCCTTCGTAAGGGTGATACCCTTTATTGACGAAGAATGGGGTATACCCGGTGGATGAATGGACTTTATTGTTATATGAAAAGGCTGCGAGTGGCAACCATTTGGCCCAATCTGCTTGTCGGTAGTTGATGAATAATCGGAGATATTGTTCTATCTCGCGATTGATGCGTTCTGTTTGTCCGTCTGTCTGGAGATGATACACGGTCGAGGGGTTGGCTTCGATTCCGAGGGATCGGTATAACTCGGAGATGAACTGATTTTTGAATTCAGTTCCCCGATCACTGATGATCTTTCGAGGTAATCCGTGATGTGCGACTACGTGATCTCGGAGTGCCTTTGCCCACCCTTCTGCGTTGAGTTCAATGGTACTTGGTATCGCGATTATCTGCTTAGAGTACATGCAGACAATTACGAGGATCGCATTGTACCCGAAGGAATCCGGTAGTATGCCTATCTTGTCCACAGAGATTACTTCCCAGGGTCGTGAGGGAATTTCGTTTGGGAATAGAAGTCCGGTAGGTCATGTCGTATGGATCTTGGTCTTCTGGCACTTCTCGCATCCGGTCACATATTTCCTGACATCTTCTCGAATTCAGGGCCACCAGTAGTTGCGCGTGACCATTTCATGCGTTTTGTATTGACCAGGGTGTCCAGCCAATGGGGTATCATGGTGATGAGCAATGATCTGCTCACAGAGTTTTCTATTTACCGGTACATAGATACGGTTCTTCCATGTTACAAGTCCGGTACTATCTTCGTTCCAGTCTTTGTCCTTGTTCTGTAAAGCTACGATAACTAGCGAATCTCGGTTCTTTTTGTATTTTTTAATTTCTGTGATCCAGTCCTGGTCAATTCCTTCTAAACTAAATATGGTACTACGGATCAGGGCACGAAAATGTTCTGGTTTTAGTAATACGATATCTGAATTGTCTTCCTTTCCTGCATTGTGCCTCTTTTGGCGAGATAGTCCGTCTGCTTTGCCATTAGATTTGCCAGGCTTGTGATGCAGCGAGTATTAATACTCCGCTAACTCGGTTATTCATCGGGCCTGTCGCCGGTTAAGCTTCTGCGGCTTCCGGAAGTATTCTAGGTTCTTGTGATCCGTCCATATTTCAAACGGATGTATGGCGCCCATGAGGTACTGACGCCACTCATCAAGACTAGTCATGATCGCGAGAAGTTCCTTGTCATAAATCTTGTAATTTCTTTCGGCAGCTGTCATGGCTTTAGACAGGTAGGCAACAGGCTTCCATTTGCCATCTTGTTTCTGGGCTAATTCTGCTCCTATGGCAAAGTCCAAGGCGTCGCATTCTACTCGATATGGGTTGCTGTCATTGGGTATAGCTAGCACTGGCACTATGCAGAGAGCGTTCTTCAGGTTTGTGAAGGCTACTTCTTGTTCGACGGTCCATTCAAAAGTAGCATTGCCCGTTAGTGAACTGAGCGGCTTTGCTATTTTGCCATAATCTCGGATGAATCTTCGGTAGAAGTTGGTAAATCCAAGGAATGCCTGAATGTCTCGTTTGCACTTGGGCCGTGGCCAATTGACAACTCCTTCTATCTTGACTGGGTCCATGCGAACAACTCCTTTTCCTACTATCATCCCGAGATATTCTATCTCTGCCTTCTCGAACTTGCACTTTTCTGGTTTCAGATAAAGTTTGTGTTCCCTTAAAATCTGAAAGACTTGCCATGTGATCCGGCGGTGTTCTTTCAAGTCTTGAGTGAAGATCATGATGTCGTCTAGATAGACTACCACGTGTCCTTGACTGATGAGATCTCGGAAGATATCGTTCATCATGGTTTGGAATGTAGCCGGGGAATTGGTAAAACCAAAGAACATGACAAGTGGCTCAAATAATCCTCGATTCGTTAGGAACGCTGCCTTCTCTTCGTCTCCTTCTTTGATGCAGATGTTGTTATATCCCCATCGGACGTCTAGTTTCGTAAAGTACCGCGCCTGCTTCAACTTGTCTACTAATTCCTGTATCAGAGGAAGTGGGTAGTGGTTTTTGATCGTTAGCTCATTCAGCTTTCGATAATCTTGTATGGGTCGGAGTCGTCCGTCTTTTTTCTTGACAAAGAAGAACGGAGAAGCCCACGGGGATTTCAATGGTCAGATTCTCCCGGTTTGGAGGTTCTCTTCTATGAATTCATCAAGTTCTTTTTGTTCATTTACGGAGATAGGGTAGACTTTGCAGTTGATCGGTTGCACGCCTGGTGTAAGTTCGATTGCATGGTCCCATGGTCGTCTTTGCGGTAAAGAATCAAAGTCCTCTTTGCTAAATACGTCGGAGTAATCATGATAGTGACTCGGGACGGTATTTTCAAAGGTCTTTGCTTTGTGTTTCAGACTTTCTTTGATTGCTAGATCAGTGGCTGTGGTACGAATGCGTGCTGCTCCCGTAGCGAAGTATGTTTCGTGGTCTAAAATGAAGATTCTATCACCTTCTTCTAGGCGAGCCTCCAGATCGCTGGGCTCTCCCTGATCGGCATCAATATCAATTAACCAGGCAGCATATTTGCAGGTAATCGGGCACCGATCAAACTGAATGACTTGTTTCTGCCAATCAATGGATGGATTATGAATCTGCAACCACTCATGTCGAAGGAAGATTGGAGTCTTCCCCAGATTGGTAACTGCGAACGGGAGTCGTTCTACATGGTCCTGAATTTCCACTCTTAATTCAACAAAGTTGGTGATAGCGCCTCCGGTGTTATGCGTGCCGTCTGCATTATAGACAGGGATTGGTGATGGCAGTTTTTTTGTAGCGATGTTGTTATCGCGGACAAACTGCGTATCAATAGAAGATCCGGTACATCTCGTATCTAATAGTGCTTTAACCGACAAGCGCTGCTGCGTGTCGAGGGTGGTGATGATCATAAGGACGTCCATCTGTGTCCCCTTCCTTCCTCGGATAAATCGAGGCTGCTTTCGCAGTTCATTAAAGAAGTCTATAGCTTCTTCTTCTTTCATCTGCCTGATTTGGTTCATACAGGCTTCGGAGGCGTCAACACTCTTCTTTAAGTGTACCCATTCAGTCAACAATCTAAGTGCTGCAGCTTCTTTGCTGATTATCCATTGGCGGATCCAAGCCGCCATCCAGGATGTGTGGCGCTGCCACTGCGTAGGTTCAGTCTGATGTTCTGGTGTAGGTAATTTTTTATTCGGAGGAATTAAGCAAGAGGGTTGTGCCTCTCCGCGCCGTTCTACGGACGCCCCTTTTTCTGGTATATACATAGCTACTCCAAACTAAGAACACAGATAGTTCGTAAAGTTATGTTCAGTCAACTCGGCTACGCGCCCGGCTGACCGCTTGCAAAACCCTTCATAGCCGTGCAAATTTCTTCACGAATTGCCGCCTTCCAATCAAATAGTTCTGCCGTCGCGGCAGGAGCTTCGTTGAGTGATGCGAGTGGTGTGAATGCATTGGTAGTGAGAACTACCGGGGTTTCTGCGGCTCGTACTTGTTGAGCTTGTTGCCGATTAGGGCAATTGCGCGAAAGGTGCCCCTTTTCTCTGCATCGGAAGCAAAGGCCCAGGCGTCGTGCCTGGTCTAGCTCCATTGGCTGACCTCTGCCACCGAATGTGACACCTGTCCCATCATGGCGTGTTTGAATCAGGGCGTTTGCAGTTGGCGCGGCTACTTTAGCCGGCGCTTGTGGTGCGTTTTGTGCCTGCTGCTGCCGAGGCTGGAATTGCCCTTGTCGTTGGGGCTGCGGGTTTCGCCTACGGTACTGCTGCTGGTTCAGGTCGATGCGCGCGACCCGTAGCTTATAGAGCGCATATGTCCTGGGGAGTTCTTCCGAAGAGTTGTATAGGAGCCGAATGATGTCGGCCCGTAGTGCCTTTTCCAGTAGTGACTTGAGTTCCTGGAAATGCGCTTCAAAATCGTGACTATTCGCCTGGAAGGTGCACAACTCGAATTTTGAGAAAAACTCCTGCGCAGATAGCGTTCCCATCTGCATTGCTTGAAGCTGATCGTATGCTTCGGCTTGTTCATCGATTAAGAAATGCTTGTCTAGATCTTCCCACAATGTATTTGTGGTTTGTATCACAGCATTCTCGTCCGTGTCGTACTTTTTCATAAACGTGGCTACGTATTCGCCAGCGTGTCCTTCTTTCATGTAGGACAGAATCATAAGGACTCTGTCAAACTGTTCTGGTAGTTGCTTCCTCTGCGTGACTACATACAGTTTTATCTGCGTTTTCCAAGCGATGTACTTGGATTTCGTGCCGTCGAAGGCATCTGGTTTCATCGCGCTTCCATTGAGGAACGCGGCATTGTCTTGGTTCTTGGCCATTGCGCCAGAATCGGATGGGGATGAAGGTGGAGTGGGGGAACATTGGGAAGGTGGTTCTGAGGCTTCCAAATCTTCTACCGCTTCTTCTACAGGGTTTGGTGGGCCCTCTGGTGGTGCTTCGGATTCTCCGAGGGCAATTGAGCGGAGTTGATCGGTGACTGATTCAAGGGTATCTCGTCTGGTTCTGGGTTCTGAACCAGATGCTACAGGTTGTGGGACTGTGAGAGATTCTGAAGGTGCTCCTGTGGGAACTCTTTGTAGCAGTTCCCCACGTAATCCTTCTCTACACCAGGGACAGTGAGTACTATTGCCTGGGGAGTGTGGACATGGTTGTTGCACGCAGTATCGTACGTTATCGCCGCGTATGTAGATGGATCTCCCCTCTAGTTCTCGGTGCGTATGTCCTCTACAATCACAGGAAGGTGTGGTCATAAGTTGTTGGGTCCGTGAAGCTTATCTTGCAGCAACTCTGGGACCAATCGTGTTGGAACGACCAGATCAGAGGTAGAGTTTGCCAAGATAGGGAATGGGTCGGTGTTTATACGAAATTTCGAATTTTTACAGTTCTACGATATAGTTCAAAGCCCCAAGAGAGCAATTATGTCTCTCTCGGTCCGACGCCCAGGGTAGAGATCGCCGATACGAAGCTTTGTCTCTTTTCCGACGCCCAGCCTCAGCCGGTTGCCATGTCCCAAATTTCAAATCGAGCTTCCAAGGCGCTCGCCTTGAAATGATCTTGACGCCGTCTGAAAGTCCCTGGAGATTAGATTGTAAGATCGGGAGAGTTCCCTAAACGGCTTTCAAGATGATATCATATCTTAGAATTGCTTATTTAGTCTTATCGCCTGTGAACTCCTTGTAAGTGCACGCTATAACCTCAAGGACGTTCGAACGCTTCCCTCCTGCGTCCACCTGTGTTCCCCCCTTCCTAGATTTACACTTAACACTGAGCCTTCGGCTTGTACAACGTGAGGGTATTCCTATTTTCTCCTCAATGTGCTCACAGGATGTGTCATCCATGTTGAGCTTACTGTCCCGTGCCGCATGCAACTGAGTCGACAGGCTTGCGCAACCCCTGCTCCGTCCTGTCCGCATTTAGGCATGTACGATGCCCGTCTCCCGCACCAAAAAGAGCAGTCGCAAGGTCTCTTCTGAGCGAAAGATCTGTCCATTTTGCCACAGCGAGTTTGGAGTGAACGGATTCACGAAGCATCGTGCAGCCTGCCAACGCAGGGCCAAGAACAGAGCAATTGATGAAGCTCTTGAGGAAGAATTACTGCATTTGCGCATTTCGGACCATGATTGTGGTGAGTTTGATTCCAATGCTCGCCTGGTAAAGCTGCTGACACGACTCACTCTGCTATCAGACACGGCCCATCTGAACGCTATCGAGGAGATTAATCATGAAAGCCCCTGTAAGTATCCTCTTAAGCTCTTGCATGCCGAGGCGCAGTAGTCTTACACTGAAAACCTACCTTACAGCCTCGCCAGTCCATCAAGGTACCACAGGTACGTAAATATGTTACTGCCTGTCACCAACCGTTCATGACATGTCTATATTGCAATTTAGCAAGACTTCTTCCGTTCATCCTCTCTAGGCTTGATTTCAACGAGGCCGTACCATTTGCCGATGCCGATAACGACACCTTTGTACAAAACCCTACGCCAACACTGCTTCAGTCTAACAGCCACGAACAGCCCGCGGCGGCGGGTACCTCACATAACGAAGAGCCAGTCTGCCAGCAACCACAGCCCTCCGGTCCAGAGAATGCCAGTGACGTACCGCAGCTCAATGACTTCAAGGTCGAATACCACCCAAGCAGCGGAATACCAGCACGCACCTATCAGTTTGACAAATATCAACAGGAGCGCCCAACAGCTCCACCTCCTGCCAAGCTTCTTGAGTTCCTTGCTGTACCATGGCATCCATTTCGCTGCCGCGACAACTTCGAGTTTGCCGAGGTCGTTCTCGAGGCTGGGATGAGTCAACCGCAGATCAGCCATCTGCTCGCAGTAGTGAAGCGCATTCAGTCCGGCAGCTCGGAGTTCTCTTTCACTTCGCATAAGGACATTACTACCGCTTGGCAAAGAGCTTCACAACATCATGCTCGGGTATGCAGAGCTACGGCTGGCCTCATCAATGCTCATACCCCTCCGCTGACTGTCTAGTACATTTAGTTTAGCAAATATACTGTATCTGCCATGTACAATCAAGAAGAGCATTCATTTGATGTCCACGCACGGCCTCTGTGGGAATGGGTCCTTGATCAGGTGAAAAATCCCCTCCTTGCCTCTAGCTTTCAGTGGGATGCGCAGCGTCTCTACAAGCACGACGGAACATCTTGGATGCGGTTTGCTGATGATCCGTACACAGCAAACCGAATGTGGGATGCGCAGGTGCGTGACTCTCTTATCATAGGTATATATAGGTGATGTGGTGTTGATACATTGCCCAGTCGGAGCTACCGCAGGGCGGAAAGCCTCTTGGACTAGTTTTTTCTGCCGATAAAGCAAAGCTCTCAAGCTTCGGTACACAGAATGGATATCCGGTGATCGTGTGGATCGCAAATCTGGACGTGAAGACGTGGAACGACAAAGGTGCCGGTGGAGGACAAATTGTTGGGTTCCTTCCTATAGTACGTTCCGCCGCTGTTACATTCCCACATTGAGTCATAATTGTTTTATAGGTGCATGAGAAGGCATTCGGCCATGGAAAACCAGAGTTTGTGAACTTCAAGAATGTTATTTGGCATAAAGCATTCTATAAGGTTATTGAAACAATCGAGAAGCTCTCACGCGTAGGTTTCTTGGTAAAATGTGGTGACGAAGTGGCGCGATGGCTATTTCCATTTATTGTCATCCTCTCTGCGGATTATGAAGAACAGTGAGCAATATTTTACCTGGCGTGTGCAATCATTAAATGAGATGGTAGATGTGTCATGGTACTTATCCATGACATTAACGGCAACTGTCCCTGCCCTGTGTGTCTTGTACCAAAAGACCAACAAGCGCAAGGTCGTAGCATGCATCCCCCTCGAAATGCGACTGATGTACAAGTAATTTTTGCTGCGAAACTCAAGCGTGGCCAGAAGAAGAAATTTCTCAAGCGCATCTCACTTCGAGATGTCCAGGTACGTGAGCAATTGTTATTGGTATCCTGCACCAGCTCAGATCTGAACAACCACTTGTTTGTTGTGCAGAACATCTTCTGGAACCTCGCTCGCTCAAATCCACACAAGACCCTTTCTTTTGACCGACTCCATGCCTATCACCTGGGGCTTTTTGGCAAGCACCTCTGGCTAGAGTTCAAGCTAGTGGTTGAAGAGTTGGACAGAAATGTCCGAGTAGCTATTGACAATCAGTGAGTGCATAGCTACATACAGGTGCTACACATGCTAATGATTCAATTTGGGGGGCCAGAGCGATAGCCTTTCCATCATGGCAAGGTCTGTACCACTTCACAAAAGGTGTTCTTCACATTGAGTTTTCCGATGGCTCAAAGTATGAGGATCTGTCGAAGGTGTGTGCTTGAACAGATTAATTTATGATATGTTCCCAAAGGTCCCTCTCAGATCCTTGTGTTTATTTCGTTCCGGACATTGACCCCAGAAATCAGTAAACGTGGTTATGTCCTGCTGAAGCTCATTCGCCGGTATGTTGAGTGCGATATGTATGCAAGCTTCGAGGTACATACAACCAAGACTATTAAGGCCTATAGGCAGTCCATCCAGTAGTTTTATGAGACCCTCAAGGTGTGTTGTATCTGCCTGAATACAGGATCCATTGCTCATCATTGTCCTGTGATTATTTTAGGAGTATACTCCACTCTGTGTTGGTGATAAAAAGCTCAAGGACTGGAATTTCGCAAAGAACCATTCGCATATCCATGCCCCCAATGATATTCTTGCCAAAGGGGTCATGCGAAATTTTAGCACACGGGTCAGTGAGTCAATGCAAGGAGGTATACGGGATATATACCATGACCACTCAAATCAGAGAGATGTGGAAGGCCAGGTGTGCTATGCTGTTATTTCTTGCTTTGTTGTTCTCACCATAATTTTGTCTGCTGCAGCTTGCAAAAGTTGATCACTGGTTTTTCTGTGCTTACTCACTCCGGGATCGGATCAATGCATACAATGATCTTATGGACAGCATTCTCGGCAAGAACAATGACCCCGTCGACCCAGCTACAGGAAAGCCGTGAGCAGAGCGTTTCCAATTCAACCAGGTCTATACCGGCGGCCGAGAGCACCCAGCATCCCTCGAAACAGTCGAGCAAAGCTATGCAAACCACCCAGCTTTCCGTAACTTTACTTCTCGCCTCAATGACTATCTGACTGGCTGGTTCAAAGAGTTACCACCAGAAGAGCTTCCAAATATTCCCAGAGACGCTTCTGGGCGCATTCAAGCGAAGCTGAAGCTTTTGGACAAGGTCAGACTCTAGTAGTTTCATTGATGCACAAACTAACTGGTTATTTCACAGATAATTGAATGCCACTATCTTCGAGTAGACTACGAGTCCAAAGTCACCTGGAAGATGGTCACAAACTATCTACGATGCTCTTCAGACTTCCACAAAAAGCCGCGGTACGACGGAGCCATTGTTGATGCCGGTGGTGGCAATTATGTCATTGTCAAGCTCCAATTTGCATTTGTTGTTGAGTACGGTGAGAAACTCTACCCTCTCGCATTAGTGCAGGCTATGCAAAGCCCCATGTGTACTCAAGCTCAGCGTAACATCGACCGCAAGCTGGCTCTCTACTGCGTGAAGGCAAAGAGAACCACCACCTTCATACCTCTGCGATCTATCATACGTGGCGCGCTTTTGTATCCTGATCTGGCACACATTGATGAGTACTTGGTTGTAGATACAGTTGAGACTGGAGATATGTTTCTGCGGCTAAAGGAGATGTTCCCACAGTAACCGTAGCTCACTCCCTTGTAGTAGTTTATACTATTAATAATCATGGCCAAAACTTACCATTTATTCTATATAAAGCATTGCTACTTAACAGGCTAATAAAAAGATGGCAAAGTAAGGCATGTATATATTGTGCCTCTTTCGAAAAGCGAGTAGACCTTTGTGGCACTGCCCTGTTTGGCAATGGCGCAAGTGCCAACTCGGAGCCTTTGACATATAGCCATCAACAGGTTTGCCAATTCCAGGACACTGCCTATATCAGAGACAGAGACAGTCTAGCAAAGTAGGTCATCTATTTTAGCAATTGATTTATGACACAGTTTGCTGCCACAGCGAACCATACTCGGCTCGATCCCTGTGCCCGTGGGCGCGATCCGAGTCAACAGTAAGCAGCTGTTGCCCAGCATGCGCGTCATGAATGGTTCACACTTGTTGGGCTCTAATGCGACATCTGTGATTTGACTATGGACATCAACAGGTCTGCTCCTAGCAACGCCAAGGCAGGACGCTCAAACTGCGGCGCTACCCATGCTTCCGACCACTGTTACGGTGGCATCGTGGTCTAAAGGATGAGCTTTGCTGCAACGCCTGCACGCTCTACTACACGCAGATAAGTGGGCAAGTAATCTTCCGTGCCGCCGTCTAGAAGTGTGCTTAAAGTAGACTGCAGCGACTAGGAGCATTGAAGGGCCTCAGGCCTCTACTTTCCACCGCAACCACCTGACAGACATCATCCAGCTGTGCACTCTTAAACGCGTGCATGAAGAGGATGCAAAATAGAGCCGCAACAGCATGCTCCGCCATATGAAGTTTATCTTCAGTGTTGACCGGCTTGCTTCACCTGCGACCTAGATGCCGTGTCAATCTCAAGCCTTCTGCCGAGTTCAAGGACAACAAGTGAGGCCGCCCAACTACCTGTGAGTTTAATGTCAGCAACGATGCAACAAGAAGTACTAGCTACTCACTCAGCGCAGCTGTAAGTATTCATTTGCCAGGGTCAACAGCAATGCTAATGATGCCAACACAACTAAAGACTCTGCATCCCTTCAATTTTATTCTCCCTTTCCCTCCAATTTTGGTCCTTCTGCTCGACTGTATCCATCACACATCCTCACGAACGTCATTATCTATGGCGTAGACCTCAGCACCAACACCCACAGCAGCTCAGACAGATTTTCTACTCCCCGTCCGACTATCGAACTCCTGCTCGACGAGATTCTCAACAGCGACAGACCTGGTGACTGGTAAGTAGGCTCCAAGGCTTGCCAAAGCAGTGGTTCAACTTTATCAGGAAGAAGATATGAAACCTGCAACAAACGGCGCGCAAGTTACCGCCTCTGCTCCTATATATGATGACCATCCGCATGAGGACGAGTCGATGCTCTCGTCAGCAAAGCGCTGCACAGCATCGAGGATTTCGTGCTACAGACGATCACCCCGTTCTGCCTCGGCCCGAGCCTTGTGTCCAGCGCGATCCCAGTCAACAGTAAATGGCCATCGCTCAGCCTGCGCACTGCAAACAGCTCGCGGTCTTGACAGTGAGCTCAGCTGCAACGCCTGTGTGCTCTATTGCAAGCTGGCAAGTGTCAGCTGCTGTGTGTCCTCACCTGTTTTTTCTGATTTGCATTTTCACTACAGCACATTAGGCATAAATGCCCCATCCCAAGAGCATGCACAACAACTACGGTGAGCGCTGCTCGCGGACTGCCCCTTATCAGGAGTCGCAAGAGGTCGTTGCACAGTGCTACAGCTGCCACACCGCCGCGACGCCACTTGGGCACAAAGACAACGAGGGCAAGGCTGTTGGCAATGTGCACGGTCTCTAGTAAGTGCGGCCCTTGCTATCTGTGCATGCTAATTGGCTCCCTCCCGCAGCTACAAGTTTCATGGCTCGGCTCATCCGATTTCCATGAAGTTTGATGTTATTTGAATGCGGGCACGCCAGTTGCTTGCCGCGCTAGCGACAACACCTCCGAGACCCCTTCCACTAGTCCCGAGGTCAGTCACGACGCCTCGCCTAAGGGCAGCTTGAACATGCGAACTCTCGCGCTCGATTCAATAACTTGCTCCAGCTACAGCAGCGAGAATCAAAGTGACTGCTGCCCATCAGCTCAAATAAATATAAACACGTTCGCAAATCTAGCCGCACAGAACCAGTAAAACTGTCAAGTTAACGGTAGCAGCATGGATGGCAGTGACCGGGGCAAAATAGCAACTCATGAATACCAGCTTCCTTGCTCTCGTGCCCTGATCTTTATCTCTGACCAACTGACACAGATGTACAACCTGTCGGCTGAACTCCAGCACCATGACGCCTCTCACTGCAACATCGCTGAGCAAATGCGGTCCATGAAGCATCGCCAGATGAGCAACAATTTTGAGTTGCCATCGTCTGCCAGGAGCTATTGCTCATACGGCACTTGCTTGTATTCCTCAGCGTTGTCGATGTCCCACTCATCGCAGCGATCATCGTCATTGGATTTCTCTCAAGCTACAATGGCATCACTGCTATGCTTCGGGAAGCTGACTATCAATTACACCGCCAGGGAGTGGTGGCGGCCTCGTCAAGCCAACATGCCAATGGCTAGCACCCGCCGATGCTTCGCCCGTTCGCGTTCGTCGGGTTCTAGTGCGACACCTGTCAACTCAGCTACGAACACCACTAGCTCTGCCCCTGGTAGTGTCAAGAAAGAATGCTCGAACTGCAGTGCTGCCCGCGCTCCATTGTGGCGTTGCAGTCTCAACGATGAGCTCAGTCGTAACGCTTGCAGGCTCTACTGCAAGCTAGTGAGTGCCAGCTACTGTGTGTTCTGTTTTTGTTTTCTCTGACCTGCATTCTCATTACAGCAAAACGCCCCCATCCCAAGAGTATGCTGATGCGCCCTGCCGCACTTTATACATGTACTCTTGCGTAGCGCCGTTCCGCACGACAACCTAAGCCCGCACCCGGAGCACGTTCCCGCTGCAATCCAAATTGGCCCGCGCAAGTGCGATTGCAGACAGCTATCCGCATGCACGCCACGACAACCAGGAGTTCGCTGACAAATGCATCTACCGAGAAAGACAGGCGTAGTACATGCCAGTGCGAGCCGCCACCTAAGATGTATGTGTTGCACAATGTGTCCACTAGCAAGGACGCAGCTTCGCCTGCGTTGGACTTGAAGGTCGGCCTCTTCAAAGTATACCTTAAAACTGACGTGGCGCGCCGCAAATTTTTACTGAATTTTCTCATGTTTTCTGTAGATTTTCGGACCAGTAGTATGTAAGTCCCGTGTACTCGTAGCCTGAGGCCAGAACATGACTCCCCCCTCTCGCACACTTGAAATTTTGCGTTCAAATCTCTGCGTCTGCGTTGCTGCGTCCCTGCGTCCTTGGCTCTCTGCGTCTTTGCGTCTTTGCGTCATCCCCTCAAAGCTCTATTTCTACCCCCTACTTGCCCGCTGACTGCGGCTCACGCTACTAAAAAGCTTTATTTTTCTCCAGAGACATTGCGCTCGCGCTATACGTGCGAGTGCCATTATCGCTCGCGCTCACATCATCTGCGTTTGGACCTTCGTGCGGCCCGTCCCTGGTACCCCAGTCGCCTCGCTCCTTTTATCCGGGAGCTCACACACCTTTAGGCTTTCCACTGTTCTCTTCGTTCTACTTACTCCTATTCACCACGCGCTCTCCTCTTGTGCGAGGGCTGGTTTTTTAGGTAGTCCTTCCAGAGTTCGGGCATGTGCCAGCGCCTCAACGCGCAATAACCGTGGCGAGGGCCACTCGCAGACTGCTCCTTGTCAGGAGTCGCAGGAGGTTTCCACGCGGTGCTACAACTGCCACACCATTGCAACGCTCACTGTGGCGCAAGGGCGGCGAGAGCAGCAGTCTCTGGTAAGTACAGTCTTTGTTGTCTATGTATATACATGCTAATGTAATTCCCGCAAACGACGCTTGCCTGCTTCGCAGATTCCCGCGCTTGCTCCTCGACAACGAAAGACTCGCAGCGACGCTCCTGCGCATGAGCCACAAGTATCACGCACACAAGCTACGCGCCGCGCTCCTGGCTGCGCTTGAGCTGTACTTTCGGGCCACGCTCCTCGGCTGGCAACGCAGGCGGCAAGTGATCAGTGCGCGGAATCCCTTCAGTAAGAAGAGTGCCATCATCCACCTCGCGAACACCGCCGAGCACGCTGCGCCACACCTTCTGCCCACTGCGCTGCTCGCACTCGTACCCTTCTATGCGCACGCTTCCGCCGAGTACCCGTTTGGGCGAGGCGTCTTCAAGAGAAGTCAACGGTAGCGGCACAAACAGCGGCGACCATGGCAGCAACGGCTGCATGCAAATACCAGTTTTTTTCGCTGTCTTATCCTGGTTTTTATCACCCTGACCAACTGGCGCAGATGTAGAGCACGTCGGTCGAGTTCCAGTACCCTGATGCCTCTGATTACAACATCACTGAGCAAATACGGTCCATGAAGCTTTGCCAGATGAGCAGTGATTCTGAGCCGCCGCTGTCCATCACAACTTACAGCTTATACAGCACCGACTTGTATTCCCTGGTGTCGTTGGCGCCACACCTGCCACAGTGATCATTATCGCCGAACCCCAACTGGCGGCATGTTCCAGAATGCTGTCCGTCAACAGCACTACCAGAGAGCAGCGACGGCGACCGTGCTCCCTCAGTCACTCCAGAAGTCGTTGACGAGGAATACCACCTTGAGGTGTGGCACAAGCGCAACACAGATGCGGCGCACGGTGCCAGGTGCAGGGTTGGCCAGTGCGCGGACGTACAGCGTCTGGCGCGCCTCGTCGTACTCGTGACTTCTGCCCGCCGCGAGGCCCTGCACGACAACCGCGCCGCCGTACATGAGGAACGACGGGACAAAGATCTCTGTCACGTGCAATGTCAGCGGCAGGTGGCCCGCAAGAGGCGGGCGGTGCACCGACGGGCAATCCACGGGTTGCGAGGCAGGCGGTACACCGATGGGCAATCCACGGGTTGCGAGGCGGGTGCATCAGATAGAGGCTTCGGTAACAGCTGGCACCTGCCAATGCTTCCCCAAACATTTCACTGCAGTTTGTCCACCCGTCAATGAGTTGACAATGGACTACCTATGGATACTGCAGCATGACGACATGGAGGAGCTCTTGAACGCATACCTGTACTCTCCGATGCTGCCATCAAGCCCTGAGGACTACCGAAGAATGTGCTCGACTCACTTCTGCCTCACCTGCTGATGCTCTCGCACGAGTGGGGCACCATCTATCACCTGCACAATATCGTGATGCAGGCAGGCTAGGTATTAACTTCTTTATCATCTTTTGTTCTAGCTGATTACATCCCTGACCCGGGCATTAAAGACAGATGCCCACGTTAGATACGTCACAGAATGTGTGCATCATCTTCTGCATGCATACATTCCCCCATGCTCAATGAGAATAACAGCCATAAAGTCATCAGCATGGTCCGACTCATCACCTAGGTGTGTATCTCATTTTGCTGGCTAGCCCGAAATCTCTATTCACCGCTCTCAGACTGAGCTGCTCGATCACTGCACTGGGCAAGGGCCGCCACAACTTTGCACTGCGCATCGAGATCAAGGTGACACTCAAGCAGGACACAACCCTTTGTAATGGTAGTTAAGGGCTTGTATCACTCCGGCTTGTGCCATTTATTAAAACACGGAGATCTTGGATGATGTGAGTACATGCAGCAAGGCAATCGAAGTCTGTTAAATACTGTTTACAATATGTGCGGTCTCTAGTAAGTGCGCCCCGCCATCTGAATCTGCATTTCACATGCGGCAGTGAAAATATTGAAGACTGCCCTCGGTTATGTGTATCATCTGTTAGCCACCCTGCAAGCGGAGCATCGAAGGCTGGTTCTATAACTGTGTCGCTTACCAGAACGAGAAAGCGCAGCTTGAGAAGCAGAGAGCATATAAAAGGTGCACGCATTATTGCTTGGTGAGGTGGCTCAGTGAGTCACGCCTGTCTCATCTGATGAGCTCACAATGTGCAGTTACAGCATCGAAGCTCTTTCAATTGGCTTCATTATATGTACAAAGCACAAGGGCAGTTAATTTAGACCGGGGTATCTAGGTAAGCAGCAGTATTCTCAGTTCAAGAACAAAGCCCCAGCTGATACATGCTGATGTGAATTAAATACATGAAGTCGGCTCGCAATGAGAACCCAAAACTGAGTTTGATTGTGCTGAAATAAAGACATGCGGCCAGTGCATGGTATATGCGGCCACCCTATATCAT